AACCTTATGATACAGCACGCGCGTGCTAACCATTCGACCATCCAACTCCCCTACATTCAAACATGTTACAGAAAGTTATATAGGAATGGGTAACAATAAACTAATTGAATGTTATCCATAAAGCTGTGAGTTATTGTATATACTGCTTTTACTTAATACCCATTAAAGATTGTAATATCGATATTGATTAGTAAGATCTCAATGTACCGGTACATTATATGGAACATTAACAGTCATTAATAATATTATCAAATACAAGATTATATGTCATATTTTTTATATACTGACTATGCATCTGATAGAGCGCTGATGAGTTTAACCTATATAATTTTCACTAAAAGGGCAATAACTCTGAAAGTTATTATCAGAAATAGCAATTTGTTTTAACGTTTTTTTAACCCTTACTGTACACAAACCAATCATATCATTACACTACAAATATTTACAATGAATAGATTTCATGTATAGTGAATAGAATATTTATATAGATTTTATGTATATACAATATTTATAAAGAACATGTAAAGTACTACAATACAATATTCATAATAAGTGTCAAAAGAAATCAATTTAGGTATTATAATATTATACGGTATATTAATTGAGGTAGAAGGGTGCCAAAGGCTCAATCACACTTATGATAATTTTGAATCCTGCATATTTCATTATTTTAATAGCCATGTATGATTTGCAGACTCTATGCCATAGTCATCAGTAGTGACATTAAATACCTGGGTTATAATTAATATAATAAGGATTTGCCATAATTTACATTTTTAACATTTTTGTTATTGGTCACTATGGTAACCAGTTTCTTCTGCTCATTACCATTACCGGTTATTAATAATAATAAAATCACACTCGGAAAGATGGAGACAAGTGACAAGATCCTATGACAAGACCCCAAGGAATGACAGTTCCTTATTACTATTGGTCTATATGTATGGTTACCAGCTTACTTTTGCACTTTGCTTTCCTAGGCTATTTATTATAAAAATAGAAAGGGGTTGGTTGACCAGGCCCCAAAGTAATGAAAAGCTTAATGACTTGAAAGATTCTTTTAAAAGATTATCCAGTGAGCGATTAACTTTAAATTAACAATGGCATAAAGTATTACATGTACACAGTTTGGGTTCAGTTTTTAAGGTTACATGTACACAGTTTGGGTTCAGTTTTTAAGGTTACATGTACACAGTTTGGGTTCAGTTGTCAAGGCTGCTCCGAAGTTAAATTTTTGGTGGATCTGTATTATTGCAAGTTCACATAGCTTATTGAAGTGCAGACCGTGATGGCCTAAACTGAATCGATAATCTTTTTGTTAATCTGCATTAAAGTTCTGCTTGCAGTTCACTGTAATTTGTGTAAAACACTTTAGTCCATATTCTCAGAAGCTGGGTGTTAAGTGCGATTTGAAAATACATTTAGGATTATTTAAAGAGAGTATCTAATAAACTACAATAAATCACACTTCTTATAAAGTATGCGAAAGTTAAAGAGAGGCTGTTTCAAGAAACAAGGACAGAGAGTTTAAAAGCATTAATCATATTTTTGTATTATATATATATATAAGCTAATCTATTACCAAGTTTATTAATTAATATTTAGTACCTACCTCATTATTCATATTGTTGTTTCCACAGTACCGCTGCCATGCAATATTGTATAAATCGCGTCATGTTGAAATGTACATGTACTACTAAGTACTGATTTTTATAGTATGTCCGGTACATGTATTGCTGGTTGAGGTACGATGTAATATAATTTTGTAGGTAATTCAAAGGATTTCTATTATGTACTATAATACTATGTCATACTTGAGAAAAATATTTTTCATAAGTTTGATAAGGTACTTTACATTCACCTTACAATCAAAGTGACATAACTATACTTAAAATACAGATGTGACACAATTCTTTAACGTTGGCGTACCATTATTTCAAATAATGGTACAGGCAATGTGCCAAGCGTCCATTATTTATATCAGTTAAAATTTTGGACCCATGTGATGCATTTCATTGCAAAGCACATGCGAGTGTATGTATTTTAAGTTGTTTAATGGTCTTGAGCTAAAAACATTGCATAATATATTGAAACTACAAGTTGTGACTATGTCACTTGTGTTGTTTCAATATATTACTTAATGTCTTGCTCTCGACCATTAAACCACACATAAAAACTGATATTCAATAACATATGATTGTCCAGATTGAACACCACAGGGTATTCATAAAATAACATAATATTGTGTTTCTAGTCTAGTCTATTGATCATTTCCATTCAAATGTCTAAAGGCTGTCTTCAGACTTCAAATTACAAATATCCCTTTATGCAGAAAGAGTACATTTTTTATTTGAAATTGGTCAGGTTATAAACAACTACAGAAGGAGAGTGACATGACATTTTATAGGACGTACATGTAATATAAAGGAAGTAAAATGTACCATTTATTCACAATTTAATGTTTTAGACTTGTATACCCAGGCTTAAAACTTAGGATACCATACACATAATCTAATCTCTAATGATCAGAGAATTCAATTATGTTCAACCCCATTCTGTGTTTGATAAGATTGAACTGCCATATGACAATTAATAATGAAAATAGGTCATGACGTATAAAGATGTTCATGAATATTTAATAGAACAGCGTTGGGTAAACTTCTATTTTCATATGATAGTCAGTGTTCAAATAAAAGTGTTATCATGGCCTAATAGTACAAAGCTAAACATTTGCTATTGAATCAACCCTGAATAACTGTACAAGTTTTGTATGACTTTGGCAAATGTCCAATCAACTAAAAATGTGTTTGGGTGGGGATGTGTAATTTTATCAATGCCCAAAAGGGATTGCTTAAGTTACATGTTGATGGTCTATGTGACATTGCTTTATCTTGCTACTAGTAAATGGGATTATAGTTTTAATATTGAAATTAGCCCAAAACTTTTGACATGCAGTTTATTCCCAGTATCATTTCTTATAATTCAAGGCCTTAAAAATAGGGAATTAAATTTAACACCCCAATTTCTTGTAACCAAAATGAATAAAGCATGACTTTATAAATTTCGCCCTCCTGACCCTTTTCTGGATTTTTTTTTTTTTAAAACAAATACAAAGCTATAATACTAAATGAATTAAAGTCCAGAGAACTTAAGCCCCTAGACTCCTACTATAAGGGGTATATCGGATATATGCCTAGAACTAGCCACTAGTTGCAGTTTAAAAAGGCAAACAAATGCTTCCGCACCCCCCTATTCCCTTTTCCAAAATGGGTGTATTTGTCCTTGTAATTAGGCTATCATTAATAGTCAGCCACATTAAGCTAATCATATTCACATTGACATTTATTAATAATAAACACACAAATAAGTGTTAGACTAGTGTGTCAGCCAATTTGCAATGACCATATATCAATATATAATACACAGTGTATATAATATGTACTTAGCAAATTGCTAATGTCAATATCTAGGCCACTTTTAAAGGTACTTATCAACAAGGATCCGTTCCTGAGTCAGTCACTATAAATAGAATAAATAGACTACCCGATTTCACAACAATCCATGATAAACATTGTACACAATAAAACAAGTGTTAGGGTGTCTGTATGACCCTGCTCTTAGTTTAGAGAAAATTAAACTTTAATACATACAAAACAGTATAATGAAAATCAAGTACTTATACTAAGAGAAGTATATTGTAGAGAACTACATTATAATGTATCATTTACTTAATGCCAAATATAGTAATTCTAAAGTGAACACATTTACACCAATAATATTTGATTATTGTTCATGAGCATTAACCTAATTAAACATACATTATGCAAGAGCTAAATCTGCCTTTTGTAGGTCTTTAGGCCTGAGATATACATGTAATTAATGCACACATTTTGTCAAACCTTCAAAGGCTAATATCTCGCTGCATTCGCAATAGAGTAATTTGAATGTAATTTTCAATATATTAATTTTTCATTATCTATTTTTGAACTATTATAGCAAGAATGCCCAGCTCTTTATCTAAATCTTACATAATGTATCTTTAATTGACTGTGGTAAGAAATCTTATGACAAAAGTTGAAAACTAATTGGAAGTATGTGTCTGACCTAGCTAATAGGTGGTTAGATTACGATGATTAATAGTACAAACACATTAAAGACTCTTTATGTCAATTGAGGGATTGGTAATATCTTGCAAACTACAAGATTGGGAAAGTTTGTTCTCTAAAGCGAATATCAGCCTAACAATTGTTCAATTCTGTTTAGTGTGTGTACTGTGTGTACAAAGATCTGATAAAAATTTCGCAACGATAAAAACTGTCAAAACAGATGTAAACCATGACGTGATCACTGGGTTGATTGCATTCATTCAAAACAATTTCAGAATATAATCATGGATGTTGCAAGACTTCTTTTTTTTATTTATGAAAATATTTTATTGTGAAAACTATTTTTTAAGTGAACAGAGATAACATCAAGTTCACTGATAAATAGTTTTAGAACTGTTTAATGGCAGTTGCTCAGTTCTGAAGTAAACTAAAAAGCAAATGGCTTCTATAGAGCATGCCCAAACATACTGAAAAGAAAAACATAGCAAGCATGGTTGCTCCACAAAACATATAAAGTTGCAAAAATTATTTTAAATAATGAAAAAAATGTGTGAATTGTAGTTTCATGTTGACCAGGATCAAGCCTGGAAATAGGCACCTGTCACAGACTCATTTTGTTCGGCACTGATTTGTCTTTTTTTATTGATGTTATTAATACGTAAGTCCGACACTTAAGTTGGAAATGTCAAGTACTATTTATTAGTGCCTGACATTTTGTCAGGTACATCTAAAACCGTTATTTCCAGGCCTGACCAGGACGATTGACAGGTGAATGGATTTGATGTACATGTACTATGTTTTTTTGTTCTTTTTGTGTTCACAATTCTATCTGACAATATAACATAAATCTTCTCATGCTTCTAAACTACCGTTAATACATCCAAACAAACTTACGTGGGGGATAGGCTGGGTTCTGTGGAGGAGGATATCCTAAATAAATTCAAAAAAATAATTAGATTTTGTAGGTATAGATGTTTACAAGATTAATTAAATAAATCTGAAATTTAGAAAATTTGATAGAGGCAACAATTTTTCTATCAATTTGGATGTCTACTGTAACCTAGTGATTATTTTCTTTTACACTTAAAGCCCAAATATGCCTGAATAAAATTTAAATATTGATGTACCGTACACAATCAAAAGTATGAATGTACATGTATGTAAAGTGATTTATATTGGATTTCTGAAAAACAATTTGTAATTTCTAATCAATTATGTTTGGTAAAATAAGTGAACCGTTCAAACTGAATGGCAGTCGTTTACGGCTGCTTAGTGCATTCTATACATTTTTTAAATTATTTTTCGTTTGTGCATCAGCCTTTACTAGTAATTAAATTACTTCAACATTGTGTTGCAGAATATGTTTTTATTTATTCATTACAAAATGGCACCTGAATCCATGGGGTACATGATCACTTGTGTACCGATTATAAAAGTTGATTGTGTCTTAAATATTGGATATTAGGATCGTATAGTTTCACGGCAAGATGGTATCTATAAACAGTCCTACCTTGTTAAAGAATAATCCTATTAATCCTATAATTCACTATTGCCAGTTGAGAAATTGGCAAAAATATCATTTTCAACTTCAAATTCAAACGTTTGAAGATAGCTATTCCATGTGGGGAATAGAAAAATAAGGGTGGTAATTGTGTTATTATTTCCGGGGGTGAATGATTTTTAAGTATGAGAATGATACCTATGATCGTATAATAGTGAGTTGACGGCCTATTGAGCAAAAGACAGAAATAATTATTTTTTGACTTTCTTAGAAAATATGAAATTCTCACTTTAATAGATTTTAATTAGTTTGAATTTGTTTTAAGTCCAAATAAACCATCAAATTACCCAATTTTTACACAGGAAGGTATCTTTAAATTACTACAAAATATACATTTAACAACTTAAAATTAAAATTCTTCAGATCTCAAACATCAAGTAATAATTCTCAAGACAGATATCAACTATCTGGACCGATTCCCCATCCTGTGCACCCCTTATTCAGTTAAGCTTCCCCAAGAAATTCCCCTTATAAATTCAAACGTGTACAAACCTTTCTGTTCATTTCCTGGATATGGTGGAGGTGGTTGAGCCATGATAGATAATCAACTCTCAGTTTAACAATAAAATTAAGTTGTTATCTGAAAATATAAACAGTACGCTAAATAAAATAAAATATTATGGAAGATTAGATAAAGTACTGGCAGTTCCCACAAAAAAAAACCTGTTTGAATAAAAAGAAATGATGGTGCCACAAAAGTATTGTGAATTAGTTTTATACTATTATGCATTGAACTATATACTGATGTCCAAAAGAAAGTATTCACACTAAAAGTATGACTAAGTTTTGTTTAGATTAAATACATTTGATAAAGCATTACTGAGTTTGTCTCTTGCGTCCAAACTCAACATTTCTAAGCAAAATAAAAATGTGAAACAAATTGACATTCTACCCAAATACCGTATACCATGGAAAAACGACTTTGGTTGATGCAGCACAAAATGCACAGTGTATACTTTCTTTTGGACATCAGTATATTATGGCTGTAATTAATAGGTCACAGACTCGTATTCAAATATCGATGAATCATTGGAAATCTACTTAAAGGGGCATTATGGGAGATTAGATAAAGAGCTGGCAGTTCTAACTATAATAGTTAAAAACTAGATAATGTAAAGGGAATATGCTGAAAATTTCAATCAAATTTCTCCACACTAAGCCAAGAAAACCATATTTTAAAATCACTGTAGCCTTGATTGTGATTGTCATTGCTACTGCTGTCATGATAATTAATAAAGTACTGATTATCCATGTTTGCAGTTAACCATCAATCTGCGTTGAACAGCAGATAGGATTCAAATCCAATGAAAATCAGACACATAAGATGGCATTGAGAGTTGATTATGGTCTTGTTATGTTAATAAATGTCTAATTAATAATTTATATAATTAAAAATAAATTGTACGATATACGGTAATAGGATTACATGTAGACCTCTTTTATCAATGACTATGAATGTTTTGAAGTACTCTTCTCACTGTGGTGATTAAAATTAAATTGTAAGATAATAGGATTAGACCTCTTTTATCAATGACTATGGTGTCTGGTATATGTACATGTACATATGATACTGGTGAGTCAGTGACTCTTCATATCAATTAAATCGAGGGCAATTTAATTAAAGATGTGTATGTAAGATTTAGATCCAGAGCTTGCTATAATATTTAAAAAATAGATAATGAAAAATTTATATAATGAAAATTGAATTCAAATTATTTCATTCTGAGCGAAGCTTACAGAGTTTGAAGATGTTGTGTAGATTGTTTATTATCGTAGCAACAGTACTTGACAACCTGGACTAAAGCTAGATTATCCATTTTTAAATCAAATTATTACATGGAGATTGGGTTTCAATCCATAAGCTTAGCCAAAGAAAAGACCTACAATAGGCAGATTAAGCTCTTACATACATGCACATACATGTATGTCAATGTTATTAAGACTTTGCATACTTGTTCCATGTGTAAAATAACCCAGAGGTCACGTAACAGTCCGACCATTTGTTTTGTAATAATGGAGATCACAAGCGGAAAGAAAAAAAAACTATTTATAGCAAACGAGAGGGTTTGAATAAATTATAAAGTTGTACACATTGGTGACATGATCCACAGTAAACAATCACAGTATTAAATAATGAACACACCAGATTTTTATTATTGATGGAAATGTCATGATACTTCTATATTTTTTTTTATTCGCTATAGGAACCAAAATGACTTAACAATAATTTCATAATGACCATTTGTTCGAAAAAGAAAAATTAAAGATACATTATGGGAGAATTTAATAGAGAGTTTGCCGTTTTGGCTATAACAGTTCAAAATAGATGATGAAAGAAGAATATATTGAAAATTTCAGTCAAATTACTTTATTCGGAACAAAGTTATCACCATTGTAATTTTTGACTAGAAATAGGAGTCAACTCTCTCTTCACCGTCTCCGAGAATGGCCGACCGTTTGATTGACAGGCGTTAAATCCACCTACATAATCTCAATTATCAAGTAACGTTTTCAATGGCTGTGGTACCATTAGTCATTCGGTTTGAGACGGGGTTGCAATCCAATTCGTATCACATTTATTTTTACTCCAATTCTACATGTATTTGTCATTTGCCTGGTGAACCTGTGCAATTCTCATTTAGTCATTACCCTGGTGAAACTGTTATTTTTATCATTTGTCTTGTGAATCTGTCATTCTTTTTGTCATTCATCTGGTGAACTTGTCATTCCCCTGGTGAACCAGTCATTCTTTCTGTCATTCCTCTAGTGCATCTGTTATTCATCCAGTGAACTCATGTCATTATTTTTGTCATTCGTATATTGAACCTCGTTGACTCAGGCACAGCAATCAGGGAAACTTAAACTAAGTTACAACCGAAATTTTAAGAAATACTGCAACATCATTGGATATAAGCAAATTGATTTTACTGGTCAGCCAATCGAATGCAGTATTTCTTAAAATTTCGATTGTATCTTAGTTTAAGTTTTCGTGAATAAGGGCCCTGGGCAAAAAGGGACATTTGAACCACAAACCACCCCAGCCAAGAACCTATTATAAGTTTGTTCTGTATAATTGAAGCTAATGTAATCACACTTGACTTTATTGTTGTACTTAAAAAGGAAAATAATAAAGTCTTATTTATATCCTTAATATCACTATCACTGTATCAGTTTCATTGGGGGAGCAGTGGAGACCCCGAGGTCGCCACTATTGCACAATAATAATTCCATTTTCATTAAACCCATTCCATGAAATGATTTAATTTTGTCATGAAGGGAGAAGTTATTGTTTAGAAATTTCTTGTCATTAGTGATTCGGTTGCCATTCGTCATTCAGATTACTAGGAAGTCCCGTTTTAATTTTTAGCACGAAATCCGCCCTATTACTGAGTACTAGTGAAATTCCACTGATGAAAAATCTACAGGTTGATAGAAGAGTCGAGATAATTGAGACTAATAATACCAGGTAGGCCAAAAAATATGGCGGATATTTATATTCCACTTCGCGTCTATTTTTGTCTTATTATTAACAACAGAAAGATTATGTTCGGCGTCACAATTAATGGTTAATAAAATAATGCCGACTCTTCTACCTAATATAATGCCATGACAGACGCCCTATGCAGCTCTGTATGTCAAAGAGACCGAGACGAAAAGTCAAGGTGTAAGAAATGGAAAATATATAGGACTATGCACATCCGGCATTCGTATTCGAAGGGATGGGTCACAACATACAATAGGAGTCTGAAATTTTGACAGCACGTTTCACAACTAAATATACGTTACGATTATAAAATCAAAGTAGAAAGAAACAATGACCATTTAATTCTTTAACTAACTGCAGGCCTATAAAATAAAAACTAACGTCTTTCTCCCAACTTACCGTGTGTGTGTGTTGTCAAAACAGATCTGAGGTTCGTGTGCAAAGAAAACATTGCGACATACACTAGTGAGTCGTTTCGCCCTAAAAACATTTTATTTGGATTATTGCCACCGGTATCTATGGTTGTTTCATGCCGACAAATTCGTCCCTATTTCAGTTATAACCACTTTGCTTTAATTAAGTCAAAATGAAACATTGAATTGGGTTGATCCATAGGGCAAACACTACAACCAAAATTTTTAATGATATAATAGATTTAAGTGATAGAATGAAACCTTAAGAAATTGTTCTTCACAAGTTCACAGTGAAGACATGCATGGTGACCAACGGTGGCCATACATTTCTTTTTTATTTCATTTTAAAAAATGCTTATTTTCTAAAAAAAAAAAAAAAAAAAAAAAAAAAAATTTATTTGAAATAAAAATATATTGAAAATTAAAAACGTTTTATTTTTTAATAAGGTCCTTGATTTTATTTAGATTTAATAATTAAACGTTTTTTTTTTTAAATCTAAATAAAATCATGGACCAATCATGATTTTATTTAGATTTAAAAAATAAAACGTTTTTAATTTTCAATATATTTTAATTATAGATGAAATATAAACAGGACTGCAAAATCAGAGTTCTCCCATAATAGGGGAGATAACTTTCAATTACTTTAACACAAATCATTGCAAATTAAATATTTATTTTTATTTTCTATTAAAATATTCAATAGCGAATAAGTAAACATACTTGACATACTAAATCCCAAGTAGAATTGAACTATATTATACGTAAGTTTCATACATTTTTATTTCATAATCAAAAATTATAGACCTCAAATGGATCGATCCAGGGGAGGGTGGATGACTCACTTGTTAGCGCGTGGGCGCTGCATCTTAAGGACTTGCCATTGAGTCAAATGGCATGGTTTTGATTCCCTAGTTGTATGTGACAAGGAGTGGGGTCAACTGTCCAACCTCGTGGGTTTCCTCCCACTGCTAAAAAACCCTACACGCAAGCAAATTATTGAAATAAAATTGAACAATGTGTTAGACCCAAAATGACCTAATTTGTGTCGAGTGGATGTTAAACCCCATTTCTCTCTCTCTCTCGAAATGGTCCAATTGCCACAGACATCAGACATAACGTAACATCGGGGGTACGTATCTTAAAATTTTGATACCATAAATATCGTTTCTATAGCTATTATACCAATACATATATATTGTTCATGTTCATGGAGCTTCGGTGGCAAGAGTATAAACCAGGAGTAGTAGTACACTTTTGCGTGCACGTAAAGGGGCCCATGACAGTTGGAATACGACAAACCCAGTTATTGAGTTGAGGACATGGCAAGAAATAGCGTCTAGTCATTCGGATGGTATGAAAACCAATATTCTGTGTATACGTGGGGGGTTGGATGACTGAATGGTTAGCGTGCGCGCGCTGTATCATAAAGTCTGTCATTTAGTCGACTGGCGTGGTTTCAAATCCCCGGTTGTACGTGACAAGGAGTAGGGTCGCCTGTCCAACCTCGTGGGTTTTCTCTGGGTCCTCCAGTTTCCTCCCACTGCTAAAGACCCCTACGCGCAAGCGAATTATTGAAATAAAATTAAACCATATGTTAGTCCCGAAATGACCTAATTTGTGTCGAGTGGACGTTAAACCCCATTTCTTTCTCTCTCTCTGTGTATGCGTTGAGGTGCACGTAAAAGAGCCCCCTTGACAGCTTGAATTCGAGAAAGGTTATCTTTATTATCCTGGTTGGTGCAGAAAAGAAGGACATACACTATAGCGTGTTAAATGACCACACTATATATTTGATTCAATGGTATTTTATTCTCACTTCCATTAGACCATTACAATACATGTTCTCGCTTCAATGTACAGAACACTTGTGCACGCTTTACCATGACAGCTAGATCTACGATTGCGCACACACACACACACATCTCATTACTATTCATATATTCAAAGGTCATATTCATGTTAACATAGTGCTGCTGCAGAATTTCAGTTAAAGTGTTTATTAATTATATTGCTTTACATTTTGATAAATTGGAAATGTGAAGATGAAAATGAATTGAAATGGGGTTTAACGTCCTACTGTTCTGCTCCGAACTGGGCTAATGAAGACGGGCATACGCCATACAGTGTGCTATGAGGGAAATTTTGCCCGGACAGTGGCACTACGGCCTACTCTTATATCGAATTCCAACTGTCAAGGGATTTTTTACGTGCACGCCAATATGTACACGGGACCTCATTTTTTCGTCCCATCTGAATGACTAGACATCTGTCCTTGTCAGGCCCTCCATCCTGTATCACTGACAAGGGGAACCACGCCGGGAAATCTGGATGAACTTTCTCGGCCAATGCAGGGATCGAACACCCGACCTCCAGGCTAGCGAGCCAGCGTCTACCCACTTAGCCACCGTGACCCCCATGAGAAGATGAAGGTCAAACTGAGGACAATAACGTCCTTTAGTCGTATTTTAATCAACAATAATATTACATTCATTAATCAACTCATATTATTAGTTGATATTTCTTTAATTTGCATAAGATGTACTTAAACTGAATTGGTTTTTAAATTTTTAATGTTTATCAATCTTACAAAGTAAATGCATTTGACCAGTTGATACTATTCCTTCCAGGACTTCTTTTTTAGGGTTGTATGGTTAGCATGTGCATGCTGTATCATGAGATCTGTCATTGAGTCAAATGGCGTGGTTTTGAATCCCCGGTTGTACGTGACAAGGAGTAAGGTCGCCTGCCCAACCTCGTGGAATTTCTCCGGATCCTCCAGTTTCCTCCCACTGTTATAACAATTAAATAGACGAATCCAGTTTCTGTATGTTGGGTATTTTACAAAGAAATAAAACCGAGAACAACAATCAAAAGGAGATGTTTTGTTTACCTTCAAAGATCACAGCAAATTGCATTGATTCCATTGGCTGATAAGTCAGTCAGTAGTTATTCGCCTGTTGTCATCGCTGCATCCGCGACAAAACAAAATCCTAAATTAAAATAATTTGGATATCTGTTTTGCAGGTTTTTTGAACCTATGAACTCATTTCAGCAACTTGGATACTTTATTGAATTATTTAAAATGGAACAAAAAGTCATAAAAATCTGGCCCAGCTTCTGTCCTATAACTAAGATAACTAGAACAAACTTCGATGTTCACTTCAACAAATACAATCAAATTTTAATGTATCATGAGTTTGGGGTGGCCTCAGCAATGGAGTTGATAATGTAAAACGTTGAATGACGTCATCAGTATGCAGCTGAGTAACTCGAATTCTATTACGAAAATCGTGGACAGAAATGTGCATCCCATACCCATTTAATCCCTGTTATTCTACTTTTCTAGTCAAAGGTTGAACTCTTCTTTCATAATCAGTAACTTACTGTCCTCAATACACAGCCGTTTTGAAGGGGTTAAAAAATATCATCATTCCCTACAGTATGGGCTGTCTCTGCAAAGTAGTGCCCGGAATTTGAAATGGGTCGCTGTGCGACAATGGCAACTTGCCATGTGGGGCCAGGCGTCCAGGTGCATCCAGAAGAGCAAGAGCGATCTCGCACCTTTTACGTGAAGGCCTGATTATGTACCAAAATCGAACCAGTCAAGATATTTGGGATATAAATATATATTTTAATTTTCATCAAAATCGGATAACAATTTTGACCTCTAGAATGTCCCCATATACTTGCCATGTGGGATGTTGGGGCATGCTGCCGAGCCCCTCTAGAAATATTTCTGGATCGATCCAGAGCGCTTGATAACTTACCTTTCAAAAACACCTGATACCACTTCTTAAATTCATATAGCGAGAGAGAGAAATGGGGTTTAACGTCCACTCGACACAAACTAGGTCATTTCGAGACTAACATTGTTCAATTTTATTACAATAATTCGTGGCACGTATGTGTCTCTAGCAGTGGGAGGAAACCGGAGGACCCGGAGTAAACCGACGAGGTTGGACAGGCGACAAGTTCATATAGCAATCTATTTCGCTTCATACGAGTATTAAAAAAGTCGTTTTTATCCAAAAAGTACTTTCATAATTTTATTACAACAGTAAGAGTATACTTTTAAACAATACATATAGCAATATTTAATTCATATACATTGACAAATCTTGAGACATTTACTCTTTATTCATTATCTTACATTGCCCCCAATCTGTCAATAACAACAACAATCTATTTAATATAAATATCTTTCTCGTCACTTGGTATTTTCATTTATCCAGCCAATAAATGATGAAACTCGTGAATATACACCAGGCGAATTTGGTTTAGCACATCCATTCCCAAATGAGGTAACTCCCATCAGAGTAAACTTATCTAAAATTATAGAAAACATGTATTAAATGGTATGTATCATTCATAAAATTATAGAAAACATGTATTAAATGGTATGTATCATTCATAAAGAGAGAGAGAAATGGGATTTAAAGTCCACTCAACATAAACTAGGTCATTTCGGGACTAACATATCGTTCAATTTTATTTCAATAATTTGCTTGCGCATAGGGGTCTTTAGCAGTGGGAGGAAACTGGAGGATCCGGAGAAAACCCACAAGATTGGACAAGCGACCCTACTCCTTGACACGTACAACCGAGGAATCGAAACCATGTCTCCGGCCCACTTGATGTGACCCCTGAATCGAAGTGAGTTTGACACCTCTGTATTAGATAATATATGAGTAATAATTTTACTACATGTACAGTATGAAATGAAATGAAATGGGGTTTAATGTCCTATTATTCTGCTGCAACTGGGCTAATGAAGACAGGCATACGCCATGCAGTGTGCTATGAGGTAAATTTTGCCCGGACAGCAGTGTACAGGTTAATCTTATATTGAATTCCAACTGTCAAGAGATCTTTTATGTGTACACAGGACCTTGCCAGGGACCACTGACAAGGGGGATGAACTTTATCGGCTAACATCAATGGAACATGGGACCTCCAGGTTAGCGAGCCAATATCTTACTCAGCATGCACAGGACCTTACTAGGGACCACTGTCAAGGGGGATGGACTTTATCGGACATCATCAATAGAACATGGGACCTCACTGAACCACCCAGTGGAGAGGATATTCCTGAAGCAATGGCCAGAGAAATCCCTCTCTGGCAAATGCTGGATTGGCTTCTGATAATTGAGCTTTTGAGGGAGCGTGTCTATTCTTCCCGTTCAATCAAATCTATCCCAAGTACAGCAACATGACAGCCCTTTGTTTAATCTGGGGTCTTCCCTTAAAATTTGTTTTTATAGCCTCGTTTGTCACGTAATTAGTTGTTCTGCAATATTCTGCAATGAACTGATTAATTGGGAATAATAAAATCGTGAGTCATGACGTAACATTATGTACACATAATTTGGTCCAATTTAGAGCTCTGTTTAAAGCGTAATGGTAATGATATTGTTACGTAGTTGGCGATTGGTTGTCAATCGGAGTTTTGACCAGTCATAATTTGGAACAGAAATTTGCATCGTTTACAGCTGTGTTAAATGGGATTAGGTATAATCAAACGAAATACTGCGAGGAGTATGAGTGGAGAGTGGCGACAGATTCTGGTATCTCGTCATATTTATTACAGATATAAGTTTTGTATACAAGAGTTGTGTTTAAAATTACCATTTATTCTACAGGCAAGTGGTCCACCTGAATCACCTTGACAGGTGTCTATACCACCTTCAACATAACCAGCACATAACATTCTATTAGATAGACCATATCTATATAATCTATTACATAATCTTTTATCTAATAATGGTACTACAGCAGCCTTTAATAAATCGGGATAATAACCTGTAATAAACATATAGACTTTAAAAAATCACTTTTAAAATGAGAGAGAGAGAGAGATAGAGAAATGGGGTATAAGTCCACTCGACACAAACCAGGTTGAGGTCAGAATCACTACCAACACTACCAATGTCTATATATGTACAATAAAACACAAGACTGAGGTTATGCTGGGGAAAGAAAGACTGAAGAAAATAACCTGAGAAAAAGGAAAACCGAGCCCTGCAGGCTGAGGCTTTTCTTTGTTTTTTTTTTCAGAAGTCTCTCTTACCCAGCATAACCGAAGTCGAGGACTTTATCTTGTATACTGTTTGAATGGCATTTAGTAATTGAACACATTAAAATAAACACAACAGTTCTATGGATAACAATTACTATATTTCTATTAAAGCATATGGTTTCATCATCCATATGCATTATGCATATGGTTTCATCATCAAGATCAAAGGTCACTGTTCTAATTTATGGTTTCATTGAATGTTTGGATTGTACATAGTATATATATTTCGTTCCTTCTGTCTGTATCAGTATTGTGCTTGATAACGACAACAGAATCATTGTTGAAACGTAGCTTTAATAGAAATATAGTAATTGTTATCCATAGAACTGTTGTGTTTATTTTGACTTTATCTTGGTTATAATAAACTGTCTATGTTTACATGTACGTAAAATGAGAATATCCCAGAATTCCAGTAAGTAAAACCTTATATCATGTTTTCTTATGGGGAAAAAAAAACCTACCCTGGAAGAATAACCAAAAACTTTCAGAAGAATAAACCCAAATTCCCCTGTATATATTCAAAGCCGCCTGGGCATAGAATATACCACAAAAGATGACAGAGATTTACTGTTGTTTATAAGATTACAGAAGATCAGGATATATAATCAACAATATATATAAATTATATATCATACCTCGACCAGTATCTCCCCAACCAGATACTAAACATCTTGCACCAGTTGTATATTCTGTATCTGAACTAGGTAGACATATTGGTTGTACATAATCACTGAATATAATACCTTTCCCATTCTTAGGTTTGATTCTTATTAATGCTACATCAAAGTCATGTGTTCTTCCTGTAATACATGAATTGATTAATATAAAATCTAACAAGTGGTTGCCATGCAATTTATGACCACATTTTGCAAGAGATGGACAGAGAATGAGTTAAAATAAAACAAAACAATTTGTTGAACAATCAGGGCCATAATCCAGGAAGTTATGGTCCGATAATGTGCGAATATGGAAAAGAACCGAAATCTTATGGATATAAACATATATTTAACGTTTCATCGAAATTAGATAAAAATTGTGACTTCTAGAGGGTCCACAACCTTGGTATTACACACTTTTACACTATTTGCATAAAAGGAGCAGCCATTTTGTCAGGCAGTTTCAGTCCGATTTTCACAAAACTTGAATTCATGAATTCAACCATCATTAGGGTGTAACTGTGCAATATTTAAACTGACTTCTAAATCAGATAAAAATTTTGACCTCTAGAGGGACCAAAAGCTAAAAACTTGATTTTTCGTACAATCAGGTGCCACAATCCAGGAAGTTACGGTGCGATATGCTTGAATATTGAAAGGAACCAAGATCTTGGGATATCAACATACATTTCAAGTTTCATCAAAATCGGATAAAAATTGTGACCTTCGTAGTGTCCACAAGATAAAAACAGGATTTTTCATACAATCAGAGGCCATAATCCATGAAGTTATGGTCCAATTATTGGACTCCAATACATGCCAAAGGAACCAAGATCTTTGGGAGATAAACCTATATTTCAATTTTCATCAAAATTGGATAAAAATTGTGACTTGTAGAGTGTCCAAAGGGGGCGACGACAATATACATCCTAATTATAGCATGGATTACTTCAGGTTCCTGAATAACTTCAGTCTCTAGAGAGTGTCAAAAAAATTTTCAAATTGATTAGGGGCCATAATGTTTAACAGTAATCATTGGAAATTGATAACTTTAGCCTTTAGCGTGTATCCAAGCAATTGTGGACGACCGATGGATAGGGTTGATGATGAAAATATGAGGTACTAGAAGAATGCCCGGCTTCGCTTGGGGGTCATAACCCCGAAACCGGAAGTGGTAGACTAACACCACCTGGCCTATGTTACTCCCCGGTCCGAGCTACCCCTATACCCCAAATTTCAGACTCAGGGCAGACCTAGTGTAGCCGCCAACCCCCAACAGACAGACAAACAGACAGACAAACGACAGTCACAAATATTAGTATAGATAATTAAAATAATATCATACTGTTGTAGTTAAAATGAGGTATAAGTTCTGCTACTTCAAATTGTTGTTCACTAGTATCCTGCCTCTTGTGACTGTGATCTCCAACATTTACAACTATTCTATTTTTTCTTAAATTACTGCAACAAAATATGTAAATAACTAGTTATATTAGAAAATTTTAACCATCTTATTGCTGTTTAATATGTACATTGACAGCTTAAAAGAATGTGTCCCCAACCATTGATTTAAGTAGCCTATATCAGACCTCAGTTGTAGAATCAACACCACTGTGAGTCTGAATCTCACAAATAAACCCCAAAACTCCACTCGGCACAAACTAGGTCATTTCAGGACTAACATATTATTCAATTTTATTTTAATAATTCGCTTGCGCGTAGGGGTCTTTAGCAGTGGGAGGAAACCGGAGGGGTTGGACAGGAGATCCTACTCCTTGTCATGTACAACCGGGGACAGACCCTAACCATCCGGCCATCCACCCCCCCCCCCTCCTTTTTACAACCTAAGTAGCAACTAAACAATATTATGTAAAATATTCACTGAAGGGGTGAAAAATGTAGAGATTTAAACCATACAAAATCAAAAACCATATTGCATTGACATCTTGTAAAATATATCTGCTTTGAGATGCTTTGTAACCAATAACTCTTCAGATCAATTGATTATCTAACCTATATTTTCAGTTTTAATTATTCTTCTTCAAAACAGTCCTTATTTTTGTTTAATGTAAACAATGAGTTTTTTTTCCATTTAACATCCTTTTTTATAACAATAACACCTGATACAACAATTCAATAATTTTAAAGGAGCTAAAACGTTAATATTTGGGAACTAGAAATGGGGTTTAACGTCCATTCGACACAAACTAGGTCATTTCAGGACTAACACATGGTTCAATTTTATTTCAATCATTCGCTTGCGCGTAGGGGTCTTTAGCAGTGGGAGGAACCTGGAGGACCGGATGAAAACCCACAAGGTTGGACAGGTGACCCTACTCCTTGTCACGCACAACCAGGGAATCAAAACCATACCAGTTGACTCAATAACAGACCTTATGATACAGCGCACAGGTATCATAAATGGATCGCAAAGTATATATACTGATTTTCATTCAATCGTTTCCGTTTTTTACTCTAATTTCAAATCAGTTATGTTCGGTGAAATACCCCAGAAGTCTCAATCGAATGGCAATCTCTAGCGTCTGGTTATTCCAGTCTACACTGATAGTATTTATTGCACATGCTCTCCAGATAAGAATATGGCATTACCATTTCACATGACTTGTGGAACATGTCTAACCTCCTTCTTTGAGTCTCTTGTACCAATGGTAAAATGTTTATATTTTGTCTTAAATATTAGCTATCAGAAGCCCATCTTTCCCCAGTAAGATCATAACATGAATGTTGATTTAAATTGACAAATAATTTGTGTTTTCAATGTCAAACACTTTGGATGATATTGAGTAAGAGACTTAGCTACTTTAACTAAACTAAGGGCTAAAAAGAGTTTTTCAGATAGTAATCTAGAGTATTAAAATAAAAACCCAGGTTAGATGCCATCTTGAACTTACCTTTTCTTTTGACTGATCAATATTAATAATGTTTGGAGCAATATGTTTTTTTAAGATAAAACCTTTTAATATGTATGGATTGAAAGTCTATATTTGTCCTGTAGTCTATTCCCTTCTACTAAACTTATGATAAAATATATATATGGTACTATGAGTTCATTCTGTGTTCTTTGATTATATCTGTACATGCAAGTAGCAGACATTTTGAAATTTCTGTGGTAGACTAACAGTCAAAGTCTTAAGAAAAACTTACTCATAGCAATGGGCTGCACTTATTAACCACGTATCACTCAAAATTGCTGCCCCACACTGACGCTTTGCAAAAATGCCAAACAGAATTTTGATTACATTAGCTTGCCATGGAATGGAACCTTCTACTGTTAAAAAGCCACCAGCTATTCGAGGTGTATGTTGATTAATGGCACGTTGACCACATGTATCTTTAGCTACAAGTAGATCTTTATTAATTAAACAATTTAAAAGCTACGATCATTTAATGCTCACGGTACATTCTCTAATTTTCGTTAGTTTAAACACCTATAAATAATGTATAAAACTACATTCTAAATTCTAAGCCACATGCCTTTCCGAAACATTCTGAAAGTCTGTACTTCTCAAAAAGCTGTATCTACATTTATGTTTCATAAATTATAGTAAATGTTCATTTAAATACGATAAATAAGAAAAGCTTTAAATATAGTACTGCCAACAACTACGACCAAATATTCCCTATATAGTACTAGATTTATTAGTAGTACTAGACACAAACATTCTTATTTACTCAATGAATTTATTTAACTCTTAAAATATTTTTTCAAAAATGTAGAAAGCTGAAAGGTATAAAACATAATTTTCTTAAAAAAAACTGTTTCCATGCCCAAAAATGAGAGATTGTACTGTTCACATATAAGCCATATAGAAATGCTGTCCATTGCTTCGAGTAAGATATTTCAAAAGTCGGTTTTGTTGTCATGGATATTGAACATAAATAGTTTCAATATATATATATATCATATTACCTATACAGCACAAGTATCAATAATGAGTTTTGTATCACAAATACAACATGCTTTTTATAATAAAAACTCATATTTCATGAAACTGATATTTAATTAAAATTTTGATGAATTTTGCTTGTGAGGTGTGATATGTGACTAAAGCTACTGTGACATGTGCAATAATAAACATTTGGTAAGTGATTTATCTGTAATTATTTTTGTGCTTTTATGTGAAGGGACAAAAGACTTCAATGTTTGGCAAATTAAAGGAGATGTCCCTGATGTATTTAAGTTGATTGAATGAGTTAATTCCATGCGGAAGACCCTAAGAAATCTTTTTCTTAGCCCTGTACATCTATCTGAAGCTCTTTGTTACTTTTTAGCAGAAATACAAAATTTCATTTTAAATTATAAAAAATGAAATGAAATGAAATAGGGTTTAACGTCCTACTGTTCTGACCCTTCTGGGCTAATGAAGACGGGCATACGCCATACAGTATGCTATGAAAGAAATTTTGCCCGGGCAGCGGCACTATCGCCTATTCTTATATAGAATTCCAACTGCCAAGGTATTGTTTACGTGCACGCCAATGTATACACAAGACCTTGATTTTTCATTCCATCCAACAACTTGACAGCTGTTCATGTCAGGCCCTCTGTTCTGAACCACTCGCAAGGGGAAATCAGGTCGGAAAATCCTGATGAATTTTCTCGACGAATGCAGGGATCAAACACACGACCTCCAGACTAGCGAGCCAGCATCTTATCAACTTAGCCACAGTGGCTCCCCATTTTAACAATAAGTTTAGTGATAACCTGGATAGCCTTGTCTATATGCTTGCCTAATTTAGAGATTGGTAATGGTAAGTGATCTACTTGATTATCAAGCGTCTCATACAACTGAACAATGGAATTACTTAAATGAGTTTTAAAAAACCCTGTTAAGTAAACACAGTGTTTACTTCATATTAGATAAAGTTATTTGTTCACATCTTTGCGTTTTAAAATTTGTATACTTAACTGCACATTTACCAATGGATACCCTGTAAAATCTGGGACATCTCCTTTAAGTATGAGTGATGTGTCCCTTTAACATGTGTATCGTGTCATATTATAAGGTCTGTGCTAAAAGGTATTCTAAAGAAACCTATCATAATATACCTACTTGAAGCAATGGGCAGCACTAATAATCCAACTATCACTGATAATAGATCCCCCGCACCAGTGGCCAGATATAATTTCACCGTTGTCATAGCGATTGTACACTTTACGGACGCCAACTTGCCATGGATATCTGCCATGTTCAACAAGATCTCCACCAACTATTTTCTGGGCAACTGGGTAGTAAACTTGCTCAGTTTCTCTTCTGATTCTGGACGCGAAATCTGTTTTCTCGAGCGGTATTAGACCACACTGCCCAACTACAACAATAAGATCTACTTTGTTCTCAAATCTAGTTGAAATGCATGCATAAAGATGTGACAGATAGTAGATTCCTTTATACACATAGAGTTTTTAGTTGACTAAGAGATAATTTAAACATGCATTATGCAAGAGCAAAATCTGCTTATTACAAGTCTTTCTTTAGGCCTGAAATGTTATCTAAATTATCAATTAGACATTAATTAACTTATCCAGACCATAATAAACTCTCGATGTCAAGGCTAGCCTTCGATGTTGGCTGGATTAGATTCCTATATGCCACTTAACGGCCATTGATAATTAAATCAAAACAGTGGATAATCGAGACTATGCTGTTTATATTAATGATTTTAGTAATGATGACCGAGACTATGTGAAAATTTCACCCGCTTCGTTCTCGGCTCATAGTGGATCAATTTGACTGAAATTTTCAGCAAATTACCTTTACACTATCTAGTTTTTAACTATTATTGCGAGAACTGCCATCTCTTTATCTTATCTCCCATAATGTATCTTTAAATCAGCAGAATCAATGAATAGGTCTTTATTTTCATATGATTAATTCCCCCATAGGAACATATCTTAAGGCTACATTATGGAAGATTAGATAAAGAGATGGTAGTTCTGACTATAATAGTTAAAAACTAGATAATGTAAAGGGAATTTGCTGAAAATTTCAGTCAAATTGCTCCACTCTGAACCAAGATATTATTGATTGAATTTTAGGCCTAGCCTTGATCATCATTACTAGAGTCGGCACGATAAAAAAAACATAGTCTTGATTATCCATTTTTGGATTAAATCATCAATGAGCGTTGAGCACCAAATCGGATTCATATCCAGTATTACAATCGCAGGCTGGCGATGACATCGAGAGTTGATTTTGGTCTGGATAAGTTAATTAATGTCTAATTAATAATTTAGAAAACATTTCAGGCCTAAAGAAAGATCTGCAATAGGTTGATGTAGCTCTTGCATAATGTATGTTTAATACTACACATTTTACAGTCTTCACAGTATTAAGGTAGTTCGACTGCTTTTAATTTCCTGATCACTGTTCAAAAATTAATCATTATACATCATTAATCAATTGGGTTGTTTATTTTTTAACAGTGATTGAGTAATTAAACACTTGTAAATTGGACACTTATTATCAAAATTAGATGGTCAGCTTTAAACTGGATAGAAGTACAAATTAAACGATTTATGGTGATTTTAAACAGTTTTTACAAATTTTTAAACAAAGATTGGATATTAAACGAATGTGAAAGAAATTAGTGCTAGATACACAAGATTAAACGATACCTGGGTTACAGTGATACAATATTCTGTGATTGTGATTGACATCAGTACGGAGCTAATGAATCGGAAGTAAACATGAACAAGCCAACAGTGAGGCTGATGTCCCCCGCCGAAATAGGAAAATAATTAGAGGACACATATAAATTTATCACAAATTATCTTTTACAAAGTATTGAACAATCAAACAGTATATCTTTACTTATAGTCTAAGCATACAATGTTTTTGATGGAATAATTATAGCATATTAAGGGGAAAACATGCTCTATGCCTACAGATCTAGAGTTTGGTTGTATCAACGGGTCTATTTTCCATCTTGCTGCAAGTTGTGCAAAGTTCACTGTTTTCTTTCTGTCATTAAATGTCAATTCATTATTGCATACTACATATTTAATTAATTTATAATAGTTCTCACTTAATTATACTATTCAAAAAAAGTAGGGGATATTTGATTTTTAAGTGTTATTAAAGTCACCTAATGAAACTGACGAAGAAACAAATGACAAAATGAAATGAAGTTCACATTCATCGATTTATTCCAAATGATCGTTAGACTAAGTAAGGCACAGACTGACCATTATAAGGGTAAAATGATACCCGGGGTCAAACAGCAAAGTTACCACAGCATCACAACCAAGTCAGTAACGGGTAAATCCTCCTCTGTTTGCCAAACAAGCATTGATCCGACATGGCATACTCCTAATGAGACGCCTAAGGTCATTTTGGTCCAGATTGTCCCATTCCTGTTGCAACGCAGCAGCAAGTTCTTGGACATTGGCAGGACGTTGTTGACGTTGACGTAACCTCTGTCCAAGCATGTCCCAGACATGCTCGATGGGGGAGAGGTCGGGACTCAGTGCTGGCCAAGGTAATGTGGTGATGTTCTGTTGTTGGAGGTAACCTGTAACGATCCTGGCCCTGTGACATCTTGCGTTGTCATCCTGGAAGATGAAACGGCGGCCATGACGTCGTGCGAACGGCACAACATGGACTGTCAAGATGTTGTCCCGGTAGTACTGGCCTGTAACACGCCCTGCAACAACATGTAAAGCCGTTCTTCCAGCAACAGTGATGCCTCCCCACACCATAACAGAACCACCCCCAAATCGATCATGTCTGATGACGTTAACGTCTTGGAAGCGCTCGTTTCGACGACGCCACACCCTCCTACGTCTGTCCAAAAAATCAACAGTGAACCTTGACTCATCTGAAAACATCACATTGCTCCAGCGTCGATTATCCCAGTGTTGACGATCCCTACACCAACGACGTCTTGCCTGAATGTGATGATCTCTCAAACAAGGGATCACGCGAGGACGTCGGGCGCGAAGGTGACCCCTATGCAGTCGATTCCGAATCGTCTGGCCACTCACTCTCACACCAGTGTCTGTTTGAAGACGAGCGCTGATCTGATTTGCTGTGATGACACGATTTCTCAAGGCCAAGGTACGGATAAATCGATCCTGGGCTTGAGTTGTCGCCCTTGGTCGACCTGAGCGTGGTCTGTCCTGTACAGATTGTGTATCACGGTATCTGGACCATAGCCTGCTTATGACAGACTGAGAAACATTCATCGTCCGCGCCACAACCGCCTGTGTTGTGCCGATCTGTAGCATGCCAAGGGCACGTAACCTTTCATTTTGGGTAAGCCGACGCATATCAAAATTTGTTTTCTGGTCACTAAAACAATTAAACTGATGTTTCCACCCTGGAATTCAATGCCACAATGACTGTAACATTCAAAGTCAGAGTCGTGCAAATCTTGGGTTGGACCCCCATGATGATCCCAAGCATCACCTGCATTCCATGCGGTAGCTATTGGTGCGTTTGGGCGTCACATGTAACTGGAAATGTTTCTTCTGTTAGGTTCTATAGTGACTTTTTTCGTAGTCATTTGCATATTTTAGTATTATGCCCCCAAAATCAAATATCCCCTACTTTTTTTGAATAGTATAGAACTAAAGTTATCGTGTCCCAAAGCATCAACCAATCAAATTGCTTATCTCTGCTTACCCTAAGCGGAAAATGCTCATCTTCGAACTCCATCAAGGCATTGACCTAATCAACACATACACCAAGTTTGAACATTCTAGCTCAATTAGGAAGAGAGTTATCGTGCCCCAAAGTATCAACCAATCAAATTGCTTATCTCTGCTTACCCTAAGCGGAAAATGCTCATCTTCGAACTCCATCAAGGCATTGACCTAATAAACACATACACCAAGTTTGAACATTCTAGCTCAATTAGGAAGAGAGTTATTGTGTCCCAAAAAGTGTGACGGACAGACAGACGGACAGACAGACGGACGGACAGACAGACGGACGAACCCATTTTAATAGTCCCCTGCTTTCTTCGAAAGGCGGGGGACAATAACACTCGCTGAGGCCAAGCGGTATGTTCGGAAGTTTCTGACAACTTTTGGGGAAATAAAATACGCAGTTGGGTGAGCGATTATGGAGGACCGAGGAGAGCAATAAAATATGCATCACTACATGCTCGCCTGGGAAAGACAGGCCTCGCGATTTTACCTTAACTTGCCTGTGAAAGAGGGGCTTACTCAAGTTACTGTGAACGATTGGCATTCCAATGTTCAGAAATTATTCCATAAAATATATTTAAAATGTAATAACAGCATTAATTATACGGTAATATATCACCTATAGACACGGTTTGATTTTTCTCTGGAGCAATAAAACAATGAACTCCAGCATCTTCATCATGATCACAGTCATGTTCAAACCAGTGAGAAGTATCACATTCTTCCAGTGAGCTTTCTCTACCAGTACAATCAACTTCATCAGTAATAACAGGTAGCCTTGATCGTCCACCACCAAATGGTGATTTTACTAAAGCTTTACCACCTTCCCTACAATTATATAAAAGACATTGTATCCTATTTTATATACAAAGGCTTTTAGCTTTACCACCCTATTTTATATACAAAAGGCTTTTAGCTTTACCACCCTATTTTATATACAAAGGCTTTTAGCTTTACCACCCTATTATATATACAAAAGGCTTTTAGCTTTACCACCCTATTATATATACAAAAGGCTTTTAGCTTTACCACCCTATTATATATACAAAAGGCTTTTAGCTTTACCACCATATTTTATATACAAAGGCTTTTAGCTTTATCACCCTATTATATATACAAAAGGCGTTTAGCTTTACCACCCTATTTTATATACAAAAACTTTAAGCTTTACCACCCTATTATATATACAAAAGGCTTTTAGCTTTACCACCCTATTTTATATACAAAGGCTTTTAGCTTTACCACCCTATTATATATACAAAAGGCTTTTAGCTTTACCACCCTATTTTATATACAAAAACTTTAAGCTTTACCACCCTATTATATATACAAAAGGCTTTTAGCTTTACCACCCTATTTTATATACAAAGGCTTTTAGCTTTACCACCCTATTTTATATACAAAGGCTTTTAGTTTTACCACCCTTCCTAGAGTTATATATAAAATAAATTGTATCCCATTTTATCAATATACCACCCTTTCTAACATTATATATTAACTGAATTTAAGCATCCGCGCTCAACAGCAGCTGTTGAGCAGGGATTCTTATATTCATTTTTATTTACTCCTCGTCCCTGTCAGTATCTTTTGCTAGATCCAGTACCCTTGTCAAGAGAGTGATGCGGGGATTCTTAAATTCATTTTTATTTATTCCTCGGCCCCGCCGGTATCTTTTGCTTGATCCAGTAGCCTTGTCAAGGGAGTGATGCGGGGATTCTTAAATTCATTTTTATTTACTCCTCGGCCCCGCCAGTATCTTTGGCTACTAAAGTTATTTATATAAAATTGAGTTGATCCTATTTAATCTGTACATGTATATACAAAAGCAATCTGTTTAAAAAACAGATCCTATTTTGTTTCGTTTTTTATATTTTAAAATTTCGTTTTACTTGTCTTTACTACACTAGGATCTGGAAGAGTTGTTATATAACCCGCGTTCTTGATGATGTGGGGGATTAGCCAATGAAACTGCCTGTTACAACAAATTTTTGGCGTGAGGTGCACGGAACTGTGGGTAACTAGCTAGAAACATTAACACTGATTGGTTAATCAAATGTCTGACGACATATGGTCAAAAGCCGTTCATATGACCCCTGATGCAACCTTCCACTACAACCGGTCAGATATTCATGTAGTAAAGGCCATCGAAAGTATAAAAAAACGAAGTGAAATATAGATCTGTATTTTAATCAGATTGATACAAAAGCGCATCAGACAGGAGATAGAAATTGGGGATATGGCCCAAATCCTGGATTAAGTTCTTAATCTAATACAAACAGTGCCATTAATATTTTCTAATTCACAGAAGTTAAGGAGCAATAGTTAGGATGACCCACCATAAATAAATATCTCCAAATATCTTGACAATTACACCACAATATTTATATATATACCAAGCCTTAAATCAGTTTCACACAATTATAGTCACTAAATAAACGATCATGTTGTACTCAATAAGCTATGATCATTTAATCATCTATAAATAATAGACTGAAACTGGTTTCAAGTGCCGTCCATAACATCCAGACACTTTTGAGTTAAAGATGGGTTACGTTCCCTTGTTTTGAAATTAGTCTCGCTTAACCAGTGTACCGACCATTCTACGTCTGATTGACAGGTCGGGATAATCAAGACTACCTTTTTACGAAACATAACAGAAAGCTGGAACAAGAAATTGAATTTAGAAACACGCACGTCAGCCAGCTTAACAATTGTTTTAAGAAACTTGTAAAAGTAAAATGAAACTACTGTTAGTATCATGTTCCTGCTAACGAAAGTGATTCAGAGATATTATTTGTACTAAACCAAAAGATGCAGCTCTTAACGGTACAGTTAATGATAAAGCAATTTAAAAAATAAAACGAACCTAATTTCTAAAGCTGCTGTAATAACCAAGAAGCTAAATTTTACTGCTATTCAAAATCGTCAACAATAGATTTTTTACGGCTGTAATAGTTGATAAATTTGTAGAGAATTGCACGTGCCATTGCTATTTATAGTATCATACACACCACCGCTGATAGTTCGAGACACAACCACTGAAGCGTGCACATTAGCCGTGTCGAGACCAACTTTCTGTAAAGCGACGGGTCACCCTACATTGGTTATTAGGGGCTATATCTTACCGATATCCCAGCATTCTACAAATAACTGTAGCATCCTTATTATCCCAGCCATCATCACATATAGTTCCTCTCTCTCCATTTAATGTGATTTCTACACGACCTTCATTTGGTGTTTTACCATCTACCAATTCAACTTTTAATTCTGTAAAATCAACTATTGTTATCAATATTTCATACTTAAACATACATTACGCAAGAGCTAAATCTGCCTATTGCAGATCTTTCTTTAGGCCTGAAATGTTATCTAAACTGGGTAATCATCAATTTCAACAGATTGTGTGACAAATTTATCTAAGAATATCTGACTATCTGGAAACTGACCTGTTTCTGTCTCGGAACCAATATAACAGAAAACACCTGCATCTTCTTCATGGTCACAATCATGTACACCCCATGCTGGTCCATCACACCATTCTATGGACGTCTCAGTTCCATCACACTTGACATTATCTAACCATATAATGCCACTGCCTTGACCAAATGTTCCTTTCTTTACCACTTTACCACCTAACCTACGAGTACATAATATAAATATTATACACAGTGCATATAATGTCACAAAATCTACACTTAACATTTATTAAAATTCCAATATTCTTGGTCACTATCTAATTAAATTGATATTAACCCGTTAAGTGCGTAGGTCGTTATATAACATCCTGGACAACTGCCACTCACTGTGTGTAGGGTGTAATATAACGCCTTGGAGGTATTTTTCCCAACCTATTCTTAGAACATAGTTTTTCGTCACTTCGTCAAATTAATTACACAATAGGGGGTAGTTAACGTTTTAAAAACGTCATGCTTAACCGGTTAAAATCTAACTTTGGTTTTAATTTGTTGGTTGTTTTTTCTCTCTTGCTACACTACTTTGTAAACTATCACATTTATTTAGATACAGCATTGTATTCTAACATACTTTCTATCACATTCATTTTGACACTACATTTGAATCTAAAATACTTTCTATTTCTATCGCATGTAGTTCTACACTACATTGTAATCTAACATAGTTTCTATTACATTTATTTTTACATTGCATTGTAACCTATTTCTATCACATAGTTTTACACTACATCATTATCTAACATCACATAGGTTTACACTACTTTGTAATCTAACATACTATCACAACTGTGTTCTGCTAGCAAGAGTTGTCTTTACACCAGACAATCCTAGTCACTATTATATAATGGGTCCTGACTATATCCTAGTGGTTTAGGATATCAAAATACTCTCAAATAAATGAAATGAAATTGGGTTTAATGTCCTGCTATTCTGCCCCGACTGGACTAATGAAGATGAGCATATGCTATGTACAGTGTGCTATGAGGGAATTTATCAGCACTATGGCCTACGCTTATATCAAATTCCAACTGTCAGAGGTTCTTTTACCTGCACACCATTGTGTACACGGGACCTTGGTTTTTCATCCCATCCGAATGACTATGCATTTTTAAAATCTCCCAATTAATATGCACATTTCGGTCTAAGCTGTGTATCTCTACACCAATTAGAACTGTTCAGTCTTAAGACCAACTAGAAATCAGCCAGATTTCTTCAAGTTTGGGAATGTGACCTCAAAGATTTGTTGAAGAGAATCCTGTCATCAACCTCTCAAAGACAATAAATTGTAGCCCAATTATTATCTATTCAGATGGTGTATTGTATAAGTGTCATATTACACTGCTCTATATTTAGAATGTAAAACTAAAGCTAGATGGGTTTGGAATCAGATTCTATGAAATTTGAATAAGAGAATAAGAAAAACTATAAAAGACAGAAATAAACAAATTTAATAACAATTAAATAAAATTAAAAAAAATTGATTCAAATATTACATAATGTAATAATAAGCTTATTAATTTGATGTAATATCTACAGCAGCTTGTCTAAGCCAGGGTATAAAATATCTTACATTATTTTACTCATATACTTTGATATTGACCAATTTGATGTTAACCAATTAAATGATTTACACGGAAATATTTATTTATGGCTAGGGATATGATATCATATCTTTCTTATCTAAATTAGATCCTGCTTTTATTTATATATATATATATATATATATATATATATATATATATATATGGTTAACATCAAATTGGTCAATATCAAAGTATATGAGTAAAATAATGTAATATATATATATATAAATAAAAGCAGGATCTAATTTAGATAAGAAAGATATGATATCATATCCCTAGCCATAAATAAATATTTCCGTGTAAATTTCCACATCAAGAACTCGTAGTATTATTCTTACAATTTCTCGTACAATAGGGGCCACAAGGCAAGAAGTTAGGCCCGATATACGCGAACATCAAACCCAGATCTTTGATACATAAACATATAATATTAAGTTTTTTTTAAAACCGGATACAAATCGTTAGAGGGGTCACAGCCTTCGATCCGATTATCACAAAATTCAAACCCAGGGTGCAACGGTGTATATTTAAACGGTTTTTAAAATCGGGTATAAACTGTAATTTTTGGTACACCCAGGGTCCATAATCTAGGAGGTTACGGACCGATATGTGTGAATATGGAAAGAAACAAAAATCCGTGGAATATAGACATATATTTTAAGTTTGATCAAAATCGAATAAAAAAATTGTGACTTCTACAGTGTCCACAACCTTGGTATTATATACTTTTATACTATTTGCGAACAAGGAGCGGGCAGTTTCAATCCGATTTTCATGAAATTCGAACTCAACCATCATAAGGGTGGAATGGTGATATGTTAGAACAGCTTTTAATATTGGATAAAATGCCAATATCGAAAGGAACCGCGTGTCCACAAATAAATTGTGGGCTGACAGGGGCGACTCAATACACGTCCACTTGAAAATATGGGCGTACAAAAATAGCTCAGCATGATAAAACTTGGTTTTTGGAAGACTAAACAACTGATATCAAAGACTTTATATGAAATGAGATTTTTATTTTAGAAATTAAAATGTTAAGTTATTTGATACTCCCACTGGCCGGTTAATAGTTGTCAACGCTTATGTAATTTATATTAGGGCAATGCTACTCAAGACGGACATGTTGTTTAGATCAGCATACCAAGCAATTAAAATCAGTGAACCGGACCAAACCCAAACATCCAAAATTTAGCACTTTTTCCTAGAAAGTCCTAGCACTGTGTTCTGGGTATCATGTGTCCAAATGTTGTATCTTGATTTGTGGAAATTTTGAAATGCAAAAGGTTCTATTTCTTAATCTTTAGAAATTCTTAGATACACCCTTTTGACACTTCACTGATGAAATGAGCTTTAAATATATAAAATCTACAAACATACTTACTTATAACCTAACTCCTTACATACAACTTCAGCATCTTGTTCACCCCATTCATCATCACATACAGTACCCTTAATACCATTTCTTATAATCTCTACTCTACCTTCATTAGGTCTCGTACCGTTCACTAACTCTACTATTATTTCTATATAAAAAGAGAGAGAGAAATGGGGTTTAACGTCCACTCGACACAAACTAGGTCATTTCAGGACTAACATATGGTTCAATTTTATTTCAATAATTCGCTTGCGCGTAAGGGTCTTAAGCAGTGGGGGGAAACCGGAGGACCTGGGGGAAACCCACAAGGTTGGACAGGTGCCCCTACTCCTTGTCACGTACAACCGGGGAATCGAAACCACGCCAGTTGACTCAATGACAGACCTTATGATGCAGCGCGCACACGCTAACCATTCGGCCATCCACCCCCCGCCCCCTATTTCTATTAACATAGTATAATATATAATAACTGATCTTTAAGAAAGTGAGAGACTTGGCATTTAAGAAAATACTTTTTCATCCCACCCAAGCAAGACAAATGGAGTTTAATGTCAAATTGACACAAATTAGGTCATTTCTGGACTAACATGTGGTACACTTTTATTTCAATAATTCGCTTGTGGGTAGGGGTACTTGTGGGCTGAAACCGGAGGATCCGATAAAAACACACGACAATAGACAGGCGATCCTACTCATTGTCAAGTACAAGTATGGGATCAAAAATTATGACAGACCTTATGAGAGAGAGAGAGAAATGGGGTTTAACCTACACTCAACACAGACCAGGTCATTTCAGGACTAACATATGGTTTAATTTTATTTCAATAATTCGTTTGCGCGTAGGGGTCTTTAGCAGTGGGAGGAAACCCGAGGACCCAGAGAAAACCCACGAGGTTGGACAGGGGATTCGAAACCATGCCAGCTGACTAAATGACAGGCCTTATCATACAGCACACACGTGCTAACCATTCGGCCATCCAACCCTCCCCCGTTAAAGTACACACATTAGCCCATTTGGCTACCCACTCCCCATGTCTTAAAGAATATTAAATGCCAAAGCATTCTATTACTTACGTATACAACCATCCTCTGCTTCATCTGAATTATCACCACAGTCATCTTCTTCATTACAAACATAATCACCCCTAATACAATTACCATTATCACATAAAAACTGTTCGCTTTCACATACTGAAATATATTATACTGTGATATGATGACAGACAATAATTCCCCCCTTGAGTGTGTAATAACAATAATGCAATAACCATAAAAGGTCTATTTCACATTGTGAAATATAATTTGTATTACAGTGCAAGGGAGGTAACTCCTTTTATCATTCCTCAACTGCGTCATTTTGACAAGTGCACAAGGCAGGACTACGGCAGAGAAAATGTCTTCGCCATAAATAGTACAGGTTTTTTTTAAGATAAGAGTTGTCAACACTGGGGATACAAATGATATTTACCCAGTTTGGATAAATATTACCAATGGTTAAAAATAGTTAATACCTACAAAACTCCAATAGTACTTCTACTGGAGCAGTATTCCTGCAATTAATATTATCTGGTTTACCTCATTCTATTACAAGGCCATATACAAAACACTGGTTCTTAGACAACGAATGGGTAACATTACCTTTCCTTTCCCATAAGTAGCAAAATCCTAAAAATGGTGATGGACTGTATATAACTTGTATCACCCTCAATCAAGAATCACAACTTGGGCAATAAAGTTGAATCCACAAAGCAAGCGAAAGCTAGGATGTCTACTGACATTCCGAATAAGAAAACTGGACTCTTTACATAAAGAACACTGCTATCCCATGATAGCTTTGGGGTACTGAACCGTAATTGAGATTGAATCTACAGACAAGAATGTACTTTCCACTGGGAATGCAAAGGAGGACTGCGGAAGAAGTAGCGTAAGGGCATATGTCGTGCCCAGTTTTCATAAGCAAGAATATCTTCTATATGTGATGCTTCACATGTCAATGTGTAGAAATTTGGTCATGTGACTTCTGACTGGTTGTGTTCTGGAGGTTGCCGTATAGTATGTCAATTTATTAATAACCAGCGGTTGCAAGGCAAGATATGCCCACATTAAGCAAGAGAACAAACTAAAATAAAAAGTTAATTTTTTGTACAATCAGGGGCCATAATACACGAATTTACAGTCAGAATTGTGCGAGTATCAACAGGGATTGAGATCTTCAGGATATTAACATATATTTTAAGTTTCATCAAAATCGGACAAAAATTGTGACCTGTAGAGTGGCCACAAGCTAAAAACGTGATATTTTACGTATGATTAGGGGCCATAATCCAGGAAGTTATGGTCCAATATTAGCAAATATGGAAATGAACCGATATCTTTGGGTGAAAAACGTACATTTCAAGTTTCGGCAAAATCAGATAAAAATTGTGACCGGCAGAGTGTCCACAAACAAAATGTGAACGGACGGACAAACACACAGACGGATGGATGGACAGGGGCGTCGACAATATAATTCCACATGAAAATGTGGGGCGTATAAATATATCATTACCTTTTTCTGTTCTACAATATAAACCCACAGCTTCATATATGTTACAAGAATGTTTTCTCCATGGTGATTTATCACAATCTTCTAAACTTGTCTCATTTCCAATACATTGTACATCTGTTAACAGAATATTTCCTTCTCCTGGACCAAACTCGGCAAATACTGATAATTTCTCAGCACCTCTGAAAATAATAGTCTTAAATTTCCGACAAATATTTAACTACCGAACTACTGTTTAACAATCTGATTAAAACACAGATCCTATTTCGTTTCGTTTTTTATAGTTCAAAATTTTGTTTTACTTGTCTTTACTACACTGGGATCTGGAAGAGTTGTTATATTACCGGCGTTTTGGATGAACTGAGGGATTAGCCAATGAAACCATCTGTTACGGTGAGTTCTTAGCATGCGATGTACGGAACTGTGGGTAAACCACTCGAAACATCAACGCTGATTGATTAATCAATGTTTGACGTCATAGGGTAAAAAGCTGCTGGTTAGATCTTCATGTAGTGTAGGCCATCGAAAGTATACAAAATGGAAAGAAGTATATATCTGTATATTAATCAGATTGTTCTGTTAAATTATTATTATATTTAGAGCAATTACATGAATTAAATGTGTAATCTCTGTTAGAAAATGTTGTAGAATAGATAGAGAGAGAGAGATGGTTTAACGTCCACTCAACACAAACTAGCTCATTTCGGGAAAAACATATGGTTCAATTTTATTTCTATAATTCGCTTGCATATAGGGGTCTTTAGCAGTGGGAGGAAACCGGACGACTTGGAGAAAACCCTACTCCTTGTCACCTACAAGCGGGGAATCGAAACCATGCCAATTGACTCAATGACAGACCATTCGGTCCACCAACCCCCATGTTGTAGAACAAGAATTGATGGTGCCACCAAAGAATTGTGAATTAGCTTTATACTATTATGCATTGAGCTATTATGCCTAAATTTAATAGGTTAAAGTTGGGGTGGAATTGCAGAATGAATCATTGGGAATATACTTAAAGATACATTATGGGAGACTGAATAAAGAGCTGGCAATTCGCACTATAATAGTTGAAAACTAGATAATGAAAAGGGAATTTACTGAAAATTTCAGACAAACTGATCCACACCGGAACGAGAATTTAGCGATTGAATTTTAGGCCTAGCCTCGATCATCATTACTAAAGTCGGTACGATAAAAACATAGTCTCAATTATCCATTTTTGGATTTAATCATCAATAAGCATTGAGCAGCATATCGGATTCAAATCCAGTAAATATCACAGGCTAGCAATGACATCTAGAGTTGATTATGGTCTAGATAAGTTAAACAATGTCTAATTAATAATTCAGATAACATTACAGGCCCAAAGAACGACTTGCAATAGATTGATTTAGCTCTTACATAATGAATGTTTAAATAAAACTGATCTTTCCGGTTATGATGTGTCAATGCCGTAATAATTCCTAAATTCTTAAGGGGTGAGGGTACCCGAAAAATGTTTTCTGAAATTCTAAAACTATTGAATTGAAAATGGCACAAGTAGTTAGGAAATGTAATAAACAAGGGAAGACTAACAGTAAAAAAAAAGAAAAAAAAGTTGTTGCCAGGGTAACACAGTTTTTTGGAAAAAGTATGAAAAACATAGGTACACCATATCTCTGATAATAATAAAGATAAATTTCTCATTTTCGGACTGCTTATTCTTTAATGATAACCCAAAAACCAGACAGAGAGTTTTTCTCTATAATTTTTACAGTTTCTTGGATAATGGTGTTCAAAACATTTGCCTCACTACAATATTTTCTCTTTGGAGAAATATTTGGTAACTTTTGAAATCATGGAAATTCAAATTGCTTTCTGTCTGATTCTGTGGTAGATATTAGTTTATATACCCGGCAAATTTGATGAAGACATCTTAATTACGTAACAGAGATATAATGTACCTATGTTTTTCATAATTTTTTCTCCAAAAATAAGTTACCCTTGCAACAACTTTTTTTTAATGTTAGTTTTCCCTTGTTTATTACATTTTCTAACTACTTGTACTATTTTCAATTCAATAGCTTTAACATTTCAGAACAAAAATTTTCGGATAGCCTCCCCCGTTAAATATACACAGAATACTTACGGATATCCCAGCATTCTACAAGCTACGTTTGAGTCTTTAATATCCCATTGATCATCACATATAGTTCCCCATTCGTCCATATATTTAATCTCTAATCTACCAGAATGTTCTTCACTTCCCCCAACTAATCGTATTTCTAATGGTGATGTTGTTGTATCTATAATAATACAATTAAAGCTCGCCTGAAAAGCTTCATAATTCTTTTAAATAATGCAAGTAATTATTTCAACATATAACTTCTATAAGTATAACACGATCCCGATTGTCAGTATTACCTGCTACAGGTAAATTTCAACGTTAACGATTTCAGTCGTTCTCAGTGAGTAGTCGTATCTTTCTGCCAATAAAACAGCTGTGACATCATTTTCGTCCTTCAGTTCATAGAAATATAGACTAAAATATGAGCGGAAGAACTAAAATGACGTCACAACATCGACACCCATATGCAATGGGGGCATAGTTGCAATGTTACTTCTATAATTATAATTTATTTAGCTACCTACCACAGTCCTGTTCATCTGAGAAATCATTACAATTATCTTGTCCATTACAGACATCTGTCATTGGTATACACTTGTTGTTTTTACACATAAACTGTCCGGTACAATTTTCTACAAAACATAAACATGAGGCATACAATAGAATATTTACAATTATTTATTCCACGGAGGAAACAGTGGCAAGCCAAATGACAGGGAAAATGTCCCTCAAATAAGCACATGTTGAACAGTTAGGAGAGAGAGAGAGAAATGGGGTTTAACGTCCACTTGACACAAACTAGGTCATTTCGGGATTAACATATGGTTTAATTTTATTTCAATAATTCACTTGCGTGTAGGGGTCTTTAGCAGTGGGAGGAAACCGGAGAACCCAGAGAAAACCCACAGACGACCCTACTCCTTGTCACGTACAACCGGGGAATCGAAACCACGCCAGTTGACTCAATGACAGACTTTATGATACAGCGCGCACACGCTAACCATTCAGCCATCCACCCCCCCTGAACAATTAGGACAATTGAGTGGAATTTTTTTTACCCTGCTGTTAGATTGTTTCAATCTGATTAAAATATTTCGTTTCATTTTTTTTATACATTCAATGGCCTCTACTACATGAAGATCTGACCGGTAGTAGTGGAAGGTCATGTCAGAGGTCATACGAGCGGCTTTTGACCCTATGACCACAGACATTTGATTAACCAATCGTGTTGATGTTTCTAGTGGGTTAACCACAGTTCCGTGCACCTTACGCCAAAAACTAACCGCAACAGACAGTTTCACATCATCCAGAATGCAGGTTATATAACAACTCTTCCAGATCCTAGTGTAGTACAGACAAGTAAAACGAAATTCTGAACTAGAAAAAAAGAAACGAAACAGGATCTGTGCTTTAATCAAATTGAGATTGACCAGGACCACTGTATTAAGAGAGAGAGAGAAATGGGGTTTAACATCCACTCGACACAAACTAGGTCATTTCGGGACTAACCAATGGTTTTAATTTTATTTCAATAATTTGCTTGCGCGTAGGGGTCTTTAGCAGTGGCAGGAAACTGGAGGACCCAGAGGAAACCCATGGGGCTGGACAGGCAACCCTACTCCTTGTCACGTACAACTGGAGAATCGAAACCATGCCAGTTGACTCAATAACAGGCCTTATGATACAGCGCGCACATGCTAACCATTCGGCCATCCAACCCACCTCCAATGCATTAAGAGTCTAAAACTATTCAACAGAGTTTTAAATCTACATCATACCTGTTTGTGATTTAACTTGATAGTAATCATACTTCAAGCTGAATTCAAGGTCACCATTTTGAGCATTAGAATCAGTAAAGAAACAATCCCCACTATCCTCACCATACTGGACAGATCTACATACAAAATCTCGTGTCTGTAAACATTTCTTGGCACACTGTAAAAATAAAAAAAAAGAATCATAACTATAACCATTTCTTGACACACTGTAAAAATTCATAGAGGCATTATGTGAGATTAGATAGAATGTGTTATAAATTTCAGTCAAATTCTTCCACTAGCCTCAATCATCATTACTAAAGTCGGTACGATCAGATTCAAATCCAGTGAAAATCGACATGAAATCGAGAGTTGATTATGGTCTGGATAAGTTAATTAATGTCTAATTAATAGTTTATATAACATTTAAGGCCTAAAGAAAGAAACGTCCACTCGACACAAACTAGGTCATTTCGGGACTAACATATGGTTTAATTTTATTTCAATAATTCGCTTGCGCATAGGCGTCTTTAGCAGTGGGAGGAAACCGAAGGACCTGGATAAAACCCACGAGGTTGGACAGGCGACCCTACTCCTTGTCACGTACAACCGGGAATTCGAAACCACGCCAGTCGACTCAATGACAGACTTTATGATACAGCGCGCCCACGCTAACCATTCAGCCATCCTACCCCTCCCCCCCCCAAAGAAAGACCTGCAATAGGCAGATTTAGCTCTTGCATAATAATGCATCTATAAAGAATCATAACTATTATAACCGTTTCATGGCACACTGTAAAAATTGAAACAAAAAAAAAGAATTATGACTAAACTATACTGCTAATTATGTTAATATATAGAGAATCTCCTACAAGTCTTTTTTGATATCAAAAAAGAAAAGTAGGAGATTTTAGTTATCATCCAATCCCTTCTTACATGCACAAATAAATAAATATAATTCTTTGCTATAGATTTCACTTTTACTGAACCTGATTACATTACGGTGTAGTGATACATCATTTTTTGCCAGCAATTCAACCATTGCAAAGTCTTTCATACTGACCCAGTGTTTCCATCAAGGCCAATTAAATAAAAATAGTTCCTTTTTAATAAGAAAGAAGTTACATTTAATAAAAAATGAACTGTTCTTTGAAAATAAAAATAAATAGTTCCTTTTTGATTGACCAATCAAATTCATGTAAAACGATATCTCCTAAGGAGATATCAAAATGAATATGTAATTTATGTTATTTTCTTGTTTGTATTAATTCAAACACTAAGGTGAAACAAACAGATTACAGGCATGAACTGAAAAATTATATATAGATTGTGTACTTACAAATTCTAAAGTTGAATTAATATAATCAATTCTATTGTTATATTCTGTTACAACTCGGTTTTGTAGTTGAACAAAGTCATTTATTGCATAATCTACATTATAAAAAATAAATAATTAAACTAAATAAGCCAACAGTGGGGTTAATGTCAGTTGGCTTAATCCCAAAATAAAGGCAGGGGACAATAACAAAAATAGAATACTATTGATTACATGGGCAATAACTCCACAAAAAACGGATTTGTGTGACTCTGAATAACTCATCAAACAATCCTAAGAGTTTTCCAAAAAAAAAAACCCTCAACTTCTACAGTAATTACAATATTTAGATGACAAGGGTAATAACTCTGAAAGTCACTTATTTCGGTATGGTTCATGTTCATGACTAGTCTAATAAATTGACCAAGATCATTTTTGTACAGTGAGAGGTGATGACAAACTACAACCAATTAACAAAATGAACATTTTCTTACAGATTCTTAGTTGCAATTAGAGAGAGCGACATATAGGAATTACATACAGTTCAAATTTATTTCAATAAGAAGGGGTTTTAAGCAGTAAGAGGAAACCGGAGGACCCGGTGAAAGCACACAAGGTTTAGTCAGGCATCCTCATTTCTTAAGTACAAATATGACTAATTGAGAGACCTTATGAACTAACGCACATTCACTTTTTTTGAATTGACTGTCTGTTTGTGTGTCTGTCTGAAGGACCCTGAGAGAGAGAGAGAGAGAGAGAGAGAGAGAGAGAGAGAGGGTTTAACTTCACTCGACACAAACTAGGTCATTTCGGGACTAACATATGGTTCAATTTTATTTCAATAATTCGCTTGCGCATGCAGGTCTTTAGCAGTTGGAGGAAACCGGAGGACCGGAGAAAAACCATGAGGTTAGAGGACCCAGAAAAAACCCACAAAGTTGGACAGGCCATCCTACTCATGTATGTCACTGACTCAATGACAGCCCATTTGACCACCCAACCCAACTAACAGCAATAGTCAGTATAAACAGTGAACTTACCACAAGCTATCTCATCTTCTCCTTCACTACAATCTTGTTCTCCATCACAATGCCATTCTTTATTAATACATCTATAAATAAAGTAAACAGATTAAAAGGTAAATATGAACTATAGACTATACACTCAAAAAACAGTGTTAACAAAATAACAAAAAGCATATTGTATGAAATAGCTTTACTAAATGTCCGCTTCCACTAAAGTGATATTGCAGACAAATAAAGCAAACTAAAAGGTAAATATATCCAAGTGTGCAACAATCTAACATTGAGACTAGTGCATTGAGACTTTTAAACATACATTATGCAAGAGCTAAATCTGCCTATTGCAGGTCTTTCTGAAATGTTTTCTAAATTATTAATTAGACATTAATTAACGTATCCAGACCATAATCAACTCTCGATGGCATCAGATTTCTCTGATATTACATAGATTAGAACAGTTCAGCCATATTTTGATTTAAGCTAAAAATGGAGGAGCGAGACTTAGCTTCAAACAACCAGTACGGTGGTTGGAATTATTGTACACGTCGTCAAAACTTCAAAGGCTAATATCTTCGCTCGCAATCAAGTAATTTGAATGAAATTTTCAAATTATTAATTTTACATTATCTATTTTCGAACTATTACAGCAAGAATGGCTAGCTCTTTATCTAAATCTTACATAATGTATTTTTAAGTCTAATATAACGTTTTGTGTTCAATATTTGACATATAAATAACAAATCTATAGATAGAACAGATATTTCAAACTTTACATTAAGATTTAATCCTTGATCAATTGTCCAAAAGATAAAAAGATCTGTAACTTACGTTTTTTCTGCCGAACAAAAGAATTCTTCCCCAGGACAATCAGCATGTGTTTGTGTTTCTTCAAAACAAAAATTAAATTCCAGATGAATAGTGTAGAATATTAGAGATACATATAAGAAATATAATTAGGTTAAAAACTGAAAACTCGTAGCAAAGCATTTATGAATTAATAGTGAGGTATAATGTGTAATTATTAAATATAAATATATAGAATATGGAGACCCTTCAGGACCAAATCTTATGAAATTTTATAGCTGTTCGTTGCAAAAGTTCTTAATTGTTAATCCATTTCAATTTAAAATGGTTCAAATATTATCCAACGTGACATATCATTTATGTCTCGGTCGGGAGCAGGCATGGAAAGCCCATTATTTGTTTCGTAACATTTCTACTTGCATATCAGCCTTCTAAATGATTTGATTGGCTTTATTGGAGAGTGCACGACATGGGCTATTTCTCGGAATAGGATAATAGATGACATTTCTCTTGGGAGGGCTTCGTTATATAAACGATCGAATTTTGTTTCACTTTATGAGAGAAATCTGGGACTGCTACTCGCCACTCATAAATTTGTAATTATTAAAATTGATGCTTGAATTAATAAAAGGTATATATGGAACCTGTCTGATAAAACACATCATGTAATTATTAACAACCTTGATAAAACTTTTGTTACGTTGTTTGGGGTTCACGATGGGTAAGAGGGTAAGACGCTGACTCGTTAGTCTGGAGGTTGGGTGTTCGATCCCTGCATTGGCCGAGAAAGTTCATCCAGATTTTCCGGATGTGTAGGCTACACGAAACCCCGGTTTTTCGTCCCATCTGAACAACAAGACAGCTTTCTAGGCCAATGCAGGGATTAACACCCGACCTCCAGGCTAGCGAGCCAGCGTCTTACTGTCATATATACTCCTTTACTAAACCAACTTATTCATATTATTAAGGAATAGTGGTCTGAAGCCTTCTTGAGTTCGTTGTATTAATTGAGTTACTTCCCTTGATTAATAAAAGGCTTTGATCCTGGATGGAATTCTGGGATGGAGTGAAGTGGAAGATGGCTGTTTATAATTAGCCCTTCTGATTGTCATAAAAAATCCAGACCATCTTGTGACCTTTACACCCCAATACCACATTACTAATATACTAATACCTTGTGTAACTGTATCGTTGTTACAAGCAGGCACAGAACAATAACCAAATTTCATCAATCTATGATCAACCCAACACCAGGGTTTAGCATCACCATCTGGATTACGACATAAATTGTGTTGACCTAATCCCTGTCAAAATAAATATTTTTAAATTATCGCATACTGAATCATGGTCACAATACTAATTAATTTAAAACGATTCAATACTGTAAAAATTATGGATATGGCATATGGTGACTGAAAGAGGTTAATTCCATAAAGAAAAAATCAAAACGAGCAGCAGATATGTATAAATGTCAATTCAGGTTTTTTTGGTATATTTTTCCTTTCTAAAATGTAAAATAGAAATGTGTTTATATACCTTATCAGGGTGGGTTTGAGGATTGACCAACCTAGAATCTGTCCAGTTTAAACATAATGAGCCTTTCTCTGTGACTGATGCAAATCCTCTATATTCACTTCCATTAAGACTTTTATAACATTCTATAAGATAATTATTATAACAGCTATAAGATAATTATTATAACATTCAATAAAATAATTATTATAACATTATATAAGATAATCATTATAACACAATATAAGATAATTCTATAAGATAATTATTATAAAACATTCCATAAGACAATTATAACATTATAACATTCTGTAACATAAGTATAACATTCTATAAGATAATTATTATAACATTCTATAAGATAATTATTATAACATTCTATAAGATAATTACTATAACACTCTATAAGATAATTATCATAACATTAACATTATTGAATTTGTATTCAACTTTCTGCAAATTAAATCATATTCACAAATTATGTATTCAGTCATGAAACAATAATGACGGATATGCCACCAAAATGTATTAGAAAGTGTTCAACTAGTACCGGTACTTGTGCCACATGCAGAGATAGTTGTTATAAAAGTAAGCTTTAAATCAGTTTGAATGATTTTGAATTAAAAGGAGCTCAACCTTTTTGATAAAGTTTTGAATGAAAGATACATTATGGGAGATAAGATAAAGAGCTGGCAGTTCCCACTATAATAGTTAAAAACTAGATAATGTAAAGGCAATTTTCTGAAAATTTCAGTCAAATTGATCTTCTATGAACCAAGAATTGAAGCGATTGAAATTTCGTCCTAGCCTCGATCATCATTACTAAAAAAAATAGTCTCAATCATCCATTTCATGATTAAATTATGAATAGAAGTCGAACAGCAAATGGGATCATAATCCAGTAAATATCGCGATAAGCGATGCCATCAAGATTTGATTATGATCTGGATAAGTTAATCAATGTCTAATTAATAATTTAAATAACATTTCTGGCCTAAAGAAAGACCTGCAATTAGCAGATTTAGCTCTTGCATAATGTATGTTTAAGTTAACCTGATGTATTATCTATAGAATTAAATCAAGTGGAAGTCAACTTGTTTACTAAACCCGTTACATCTTAACACGGCCTTTGCCTACAAAAGTAAAAATCGTCCATTTATATCCATTTATAAACAAAACAATAAACGTTTTCATATTACAAACCTAATGGTTCAGGTTGGCCTTCCTTTTCACAAATAAAGTCAAATCGTAAAACACGACTAGCACAAACTTTAGCTGCCCAGTAGAAATAATCAACTTGAACTTGTGTACCATTCGGATGTAAAAACATATCTGTTAATACCAGACAATAATATCTTCTAAGCGCTAACGGTTCCGCTGCATAACTGTTTGGACCCCAACCTAATAAATTCAAATTAAAGGTAAATTTGCTGAAAAAAAAGGAAGTCTCTAATATTCGAGAGAGAGAGAGAAATGGGGTTTAACGTGCACTCGACGTTAGTCATTTTGGGACTAACATATGTTTTAATTTCATTTCAATAATTCGCTTGCGCGTAGGGGTCTTTAGCAGTGGGAGGAAACCGAAGGACTCGGAGAAAACCCATGTGGTTGGACAGGTGACCCTACTCCTTGTCACGTACAACCGGGGATTCGAAACCACGCCAGTCTACTCAATGACAGATTTTATGATACAGCACGCGCACTCTGACCATTCAGCCACCCCCCCCCCCTCTAATATTCAAACAATGCATTATGTTTACCAGGTAAATGAATATGGAAGCTACACTCAACATAATGTCACCATCATCTCCACTACATGGATATGAAATTCACTCTCAATCAACACAGTGCCATATCTACCAGATTAAAAAAATATGCAATTCAGATATAAATCATCTGAATTTCTAAACTTTGATAATTTTTGGCAAAAGGGTCTCTATTTATGCGTCTATCTGGATTTTGGACTTCTAGAACATTACATTTGACTTTAATTTCGGCTTTAAAATTATACAAATATTTCATTAAATGCCTCTTTTTTTCTATTTTCATAGCTGTTAAAGATCAAATGAAATGAAATCGGGTTTAACGTCCTACAGCTATCCTGTTCTGACTGGGCTAATGAAGACTGGAAAGCCCAAATGAAAGTTAACTATTTTTGGAAAGGATAAACACTAGTGTGTATTGACTGTACAATCTGAGCTTTTGACAACCAATTGGATCAGGAGATTACCTTTATGTACCATGGTAAGAATGGTACTGTGGTGAGATTGCAAGAAAAAATGCACATGTAATTACTTAAATGAATATACTAAAATAATCACAAGCATCAAAACCAACAATTATTTTCTGCGAATAAACTTTGCTCTTCATTTCTTTTTTATCAAGACTAGCATAGATATTTAAATTTCATGAAAGTATACCGATAGTTTCATTTAAGTCAGATTTAGGCCTTTATGGAAGTAAGCACTGGGGCAGCTATTATTTTGACTACAGTTAGATATGCATTATGTAAGATTTAGATAAATAGCTGGATGTTCTTGCTATAATAGTTCATCAATAGATAACGAAAAATAAATATATTGAAAAATTAATTCAAATTACTTTATTCTGAGCGAAGTTATGACTGTTTGATAATATAGCCCAATTTGTTCATTATCGTAGTAATGGTACTTGCCAATCGAGATTTAGCCTTGATTGTCCATTTTAACATTAAATTTTTAAATCTGGCAGATGTTTAAATCCATTTAAATCTCGGCCATCCGATGTACTAGAGAGTTTATTATAGGCTTGTCATGTTAATAAATAGGCAGATGTAGCTCTTACATAATGCATCTTTTAAAAATAAATCTGGTAGAATTACCTGGAAACCAATTATCAAACTCCATGGCAGCTTTTGTTAATAATGGAGCTCTGGATTTTCTTCTACCAGGTAAACGTAATGTTGATGTCAGAGCCACTTTAAACCATTTCCAATCTCTTTTCATTCTTTTACCACCGGTGTACCATACATGAGATGCTGTTGATACATATTAGGTAAGTAAAAATATACATAAATCAAATAATATCAGATCCACAGGTGCTAATGTCATATAGTGGTATACTGAATATTATTGTGGTCTGAAACCTTATGTTTAAGTAGATATAAGTTGTCTCCCTTATTAAGTAGTTCTTCAGCCTTTTTGAGTAATGAAGATAGAGATTGGAATTCTAATATGGAGAATGGTTGTTTTTTCAATTTCACCTTCAAAGTTATTGTAACACTTTGGGATCCAATGAGCCAAATATAACACTACCTCGGACAAGTTTGAATACAGGACATTGTAATAGTGGAGAGTCCAGTGCCTTTACTGCTTCACTACCACAGCCTCATTACTGGTGAACAATTGATGGGGACATCCAACTCAATACATTTTTATCTTTGTTTATATTTTATGGTTCTTATTTTCTACACATAAGATCTAACATACATGTATATTCAGCATGGCTGCAGTTCCGTGTTCAATCTGATTAAAACACAGATCCTATTTCATTTCGCTTTTATAGTTCAAAATTACTTGTCTTTACTACACTAGGATCTGGAAGAGTGGTTATCATTGATGTGTTCTGAATGGTGTGAGGAATTAGCCAATTGAACGGTCTATTACGGAGAGCTTTAGGCGTGTTTTGCATGGAACTGTGGGTAATCCACTAGTAACATCAATGCTAATTGGTTAATCAAATGTCTGACGTCATAGGGTCAATATTCGCTTGTATGACCTCTGACGAGACCTATCGCTACAACCGGTCAGATCTTCATGTAGTGTAGGCCATCGAAAGTATAAAAAAAACGAAACGAAATATAGATCTGTATTTTGATCAGATTTTTCTGTGTTATGCCTGAGATTTCAAAGGGTTTATGAATGAAACAGTGGACAATGTATTGGCTAGACTGGGGGATTGATAGAACTGTGTTGTCACGTTCTGTTTACAATGCACAGGTAAGAATATGACACAGAATTACAAAATATGGAATATTATATCGATTTAATCAGAGCGAGAGAGAGAGCGAGAGAGAGAGAGAGAGAGAGAGAGAGAGAGAGAGGGTCTAACGTCCACGCGACACAAACTAGGTTATTTCGGGACTAAAGATGGTTCAATTTTATTTCAATATTTCGCTTGCACGTAGGGGTCTTTAGCAGTGGGAGGAAACCAAAGGACACGACGAAAACCCAAGTCGTTGAACAGGTGACCCTTCTCCTTGTCATGTAGAACTGGAGAATCAAAACCACGCCAGTTGACTCAATGACAGACATTATGATACGGCGCGCACACGCTAACCATTCAGTCATCCAACCATCCTCGATTTAATCAGACAGCCAATACACTGTCACTGTGTGCACACCTGATGCAGGTAGTTTACAGTACGAGTACATTTAAATCGGTTTTATTACAGAATATCAGATTATAACCATACCTCTAGCAGTCAATTTTATTACGTTTGAAAGAAAATTATTTTCTGCTTGTGATTGTATCGTAACCAGACCAGCATCTAATGCAGCACATTTTTCTATAGCTTGTTTTAGATTTCTGGCACCACCGAAGAATTTATAACAACTACCATCCCAGGCTACCCATCCAGGGTCACATCCTGTTATAAACAAAAAAACGAATCCAATATAACAATCATTATGTTTACAAATTATAAATTAAAGACATTAATTAACACAACAAGACCATAATCAACTTTCAATGGCATCGGATACTTAAGATTTTAACTAGATTAGAATGGTTTGCCATTTAAAAATATAATTTAAAAATTGGAAAGCGAGACTAAGTCTCGAATATACCAGTGCCCTGGTTACCACTATGCACACATCTTGTCAAAATTTCAAACAGTGATAATTTGGCTCAAAATGAAGTAATTTGAATGAAATTTTCAATATTTTATTTTTTTATCATCTATTTTTAAATTATTATAGCAAGAATGACCAACTCTTTATTAAATTCTTAACTAATGTATCTTTAACATATACTCTTTGAGCAACGCTGGATCAACCATGGTGGGGCCCTGGGGCCTGGAATATGTGGGGGGCCCCTGATCGCCGACCGCGGAGCTGTGGCTGGCCACCGCGAGCACCGAAATTTTCAGAAATTGACGGCCGGAAACATGATTTTCTGGCATTTCAGGCACTTGTGTCGGAGCCATTTAGAAGTACCTCCCCCAGAAAAAAATAACATTCTGCCACAAAATTAGCGCATTCTGGCGTTATTTCAGTGGACCAATCCATGCGAGTGCTATGAAATGAGTCCTCGGTCCGACCATGCTCGAGGCGCACAACTGAGATTTTTGTGGGGGGCCCTGGGGCCTGGGCCCCATTGTGCCCCGTGGTTAATCCGGCGTTGTCTTTGAGTAGCAGATATCCAGTAGCATGCAGAGGTTTGGTGAAGCCTAGGGCCAGCAACTTGATTGTATTCCCCCAAAACTCAAGTACAGGGCCTGGTACTAAGAAATGTGAGAAACGGGTGACATTTTAAATATTTGTAAAAGCAGATAAAATAAACTATTTATTCAAATTGAGTAGAGGAGCTTGTACACCAAAGTTAACGTGATAATTTCAAATTTACAAAAAAAATAATTTCAATTACACTCTTTGATTGGATGCCCACCCTCCACTGGATGCTTGGGGCTACCTTCCCTCCCCTTACCCCCCTGCACGCCAATGCAAATATCATATTAAATCCATGTTTACCGAGGGATTTAAAGAATAAAATTTTTTACCTTCATTAACTTTACATACAACTGAAGCAGCTTCTGATTTACTACAGTCGTGTACAGTTGTATAGGGACATGATTGTAATGTAGACTCTGATCCCTTACAGTTGACATTATCCATTAATATATCTGTATTCTCGGCTGGAATACCATAATATGCCTTTCCAATGGCTGATAACGCACCTCTAACAAAAATAGACAAATACAGATATGATTTAAATGAATGGACAAGATATTTACTTGTGCTTATAAACAGAGAGAGACTTCTCTTGTCATAGCTTGATAATATATGGAAACAACAATTTGTGATTACGTCCCACGTGTTGTTTCAATATATTACTTAATGTCTCGCTCTCAACCATTGAACCACACATAATTTGGCTACTTGTGCCCTTTAATAGTTGTTAGAAGAAAACTAAATATAAAAACAGAAATAAGAGATGATAAGATGTACATACTGTTTGAATCCTAATTGTCTACATGCTACTGATGCATCTTGTAAATCCCATTCATCATCACAAACAATACCCCATTTTCTACCACGATAAACTTCTATTCTACCAGCATTAAACGATGATGCATTACCACGCAATCTGAAAATATTCCCAGCTTTAAATAGATCTTATTGCAATCTAATTAAAACACAGATCCTATTTCGTTTTGTTTCCTATAGTTCAAAATTCAGTTTTCCTTGTCTTCACTACTCTAGGATCTGGAAGAGTTGTTATGTAAATTACTTTCTGGTTGATGTGAGAGATTAGCCAATGAAACGGTCTGTTATGGCAAGATCTTGGCATGCTGGGCATGGAAATGTGGGTATTCCACTAGAAACATCAACGCTTGCTTATTGGTTAATCAATTGTCTGACGTCATATGTTCAAAAGCTGCTTGTATGACCCCAGACACGACCTACCACTACAACCAATCAGATCTTCATGTAGTAGAGGCAATCGAAAGTATAAACAAAAACGAATCGAAATATAGGTCTTTGGAAAAGATTCTAAAATTTAACTTAAAAAGTCAACTGATATTATAAGACTTTTTTATTATACAGTAAGCTGTATGGTGATTCTCTAGGTTATATATCAATGGCAACCATTATCAAACAAGAAAAATAATACAATCGAATTAACATTCATCAATCAAGGACAATGCATAGCTAACCGAACATAATGGTACAACTATGAAGAGAAAGAGAGAGAAATGGGTTTCAATGTCCACATGACACAAAACTAGGTCATTTCGGGACTAACATATGGTTCAATATCATTTCTATAATAGGCTCGCGCGTAGGAGTCTATAGCAGTGAGAGGAAACAGGAGGACCCAGGGAAAATCCACAAGGTTGGACAGGTGACCCTACTCCTTGTCACATTCAGGCAGGAAATAGAAACCATGCCACTTGAGTCAATGAGTAAATTCATGGGCATGTTTTAAACCACTAGACCACACAACCACTATAAAGTTATGGTACTAACCTGATATAATCATGGTACCACTATAAAGATGTGATGGTTTATTCTATATAACTAACCTAATATATTCACCACAAAGATGTGATGGTTTATTATATAACTAACCTAATATATTCACCATTATAAAGATGTGATGGTTTATTATATATAACTTACCTAATATATTCACCATTATAAACATGTGGTGGTTTATTATATATAACTTACCTAATATATTCACCATTATAAACATGTGGTGGTTTATTATATGTAACTAACCTGATATATTCACCATTATAAACATGTGGTGGTTTATTATATGTAACTAACCTGATATATTCACCATTATAAACATGTGGTGGTTTATTATATATAACTAACCTGATATATTCACCATTATAAACATGTGGTGGTTTATTATATGTAACTAACCTGATATATTCACCATTATAAACATGTGGTGGTTTATTATATATAACTAACCTGATATATTCACCATTATAAACATGTGGTGGTTTATTATATATAACTAACCTGATATATTCACCATTATAAACATGTGGTGGTTTATTATATATAACTAACCTGATATATTCACCATTATAAACATGTGGTGGTTTATTATATATAACTTACCTAATATATTCACCATTATAAACATGTGGTGGTTTATCATATATAACTTACCTAATATATTCACCATTATAAACATGTGGTGGTTTATTATATGTAACTAACCTGATATATTCACCATTATAAACATGTGGTGGTTTATTATATATAACTAACCTGATATATTCACCACTATGAGGTTCTGGTGGTGCTGTAACAGATCTAGTTATAGGTCTCTCAGGTGCGCGTGGTACCATTCTATAACCAGCAGGAACTCTCCAGTAATATGTTTTTGGTGTCCGTGAATTCGCTCCTGCCTAAATAAAAGAAAAATCAAATTTGATCCAGGATTTTCAGAAAGGGGGGGGGGGGGCGTGCTGACCCCACTTGGGAGTGTGATGTGAAGCCCGGCCCTCGGTGGCTGGACTGATGGCAATCAACCAAGTCACCAACAGGCTCGTTTCGGGGTAAATTATGATGGGGATCACTACCATTTTTAAGTATTTTTCTTGTCCTTTCCCGCAAATTGTTTGCCACCGCAAAAAATAGGGGGGCATGCCCCATGCACCCCCCCCCCTCACTTAGATCCGCGCCTGAATACTGACTGATTATTTTACCGATACTGATATCTATTACGATTTCCAAAGTTTGTCAACCTGGGTTCTAAGATGTTGAATAGTTTGCAGAGTGACTTCTCAAATTGAGCATGTATAGACCTATTTTTATTTCCAGGTCTACTAAATTATGTCAAAAAGAGAGAGAGAGAAATGAGGTTTAACGTCCACTCGACAGAAACTAGGTCATTATTTCAACAATTCACTTGCATGTAAGGGTCTTTGGCAGTGGGGGAAGCCAGAGGACCCGGAGAAAACCCACGAGGTTGGACAGGCGATCCTACTCCTTGTCACGTACAACTGGGGAATCGAAACCACGCTTTTTGACTCAATGACAGACCTTATGATACAACTCGCACAGGCTAACCATTCATCCATCCAAACTACAGGCACTTGAAGGGATTAAAATAAAACTTCCTACATTACAATAAAACTTCCTACTTCTGCTTGACTATATATTATTACAGTATATATCATTACAGTACTTTCATCCAGATTTTCCGGCGTGGTTACCCCTTGTCAGTGATGCAGGACGGAGGGGCTGACAAGGAAAGCTGTCTAGTCGTTCGGATGGGATGAAAAACCGAGATACCGTGTACACATTGGCGTGCACATAAAAGATCCCTTGACAGTTGGAATTCGATATAAGAGTAGGCTGTAGTGCCGCTGTCCGGGCAAAATTTCCCTCATAGCACACAGTATGGCGTATGCCCGTCTTCATTAGCCCAGTTCGGAGCAAAACAGTAGGACGTTAAACCCCATTTCATTTCATTTTTTATTTCATTACAGTACTAGGAAGTTTTATTTTAATCCCTTCAAGTGCCTGTGATCCAAACCCCCAAATGTCAAAGGGGGATAGACCTTCACATTGATTTGTACCATACACAAACTGTTTACAATCTATTGCCTGGCAGAAGGATCTATTTCTAAAAAAGATTTATGACAGACATTTGACTTAGAAATGTTGATCAAAAACAAATAATTTTTAAGTGGTGACTGTGAAGGGTGAATACGATCTTGTCTCGTAAACACATTCAAATTGACAGTAAACAATAAGATTACTGTAAATACATTAAACTACTTACAGGTGGTGTTGTTCTTGCTGCGCTGATTCTATTTCGTCTATGACCTGCAGTAAAAACATATATTTCTTCTTAATCAATTTTTTAAATCAAATACATCTAAATGCAAAGGTTACAATGATCAATGTGCCAGTCCCACTAAGAATAGAGTATAAAACTAAAAATTAATTGAGTGTAAAACTCAAGAAGAACATAAGAGTACATGTATCTATCAATAAGAATAGATAGTAGACATCAATAAGAACTGAGAGTAGACAACAATAAGAACAGAAAGTATATATCAATAAGAACAGAGAGTAGACATCAATAAGAATAGAGAGTAGACAATAATAAGAATAGAGAGTAAACATCAATAAGAATAGACATAGACATCAATAAGAATAAAGAGTAGACATCAATAAGAATAGAGAGTAGACAATAATAAGAAAAGAGAGTAGACATAAATAAGAATGGAGAGTAGACATCAATAAGAATAGACATAGACATCAATAAGAACAGAGAGTAGACATCAATAAGAATAGAGAGTAGACAATAACAAGAATAGAGAGTAGACATAAATAAGAATGGAGAGTAGACATCAATAAGAATAGACATAGACATCAATAAGAACAGAGAGTAGACATCAATAAGAACAGAGAGTAGACAACAATATGAAAAGAGATTAAATATCAATAAGAATAGACGTAGACATCAATAAGAACAGAGAGTAGACATCAATAAGAATAGACATAGACATCAATAAGAACAGAGAGTAGACATCAATAAGAACAGAGAGTAGACAACAATAAGAACAGAGAGTAGACATCAATAAGAACAGAGAGTAGACATCAATAAGAACAGAGAGTAGACAACAATACGAAAAGAGATTAAATATCAATAAGAAAAGACGTAGACATCAATAAGAACAGAGAGTAGACATCAATAAGAATAGAGAGTAGACATCAATAAGAATAGAGAATAGACATCAATAAGAATAGAGAGTAGACAATAATAAGAATAGAGAGTAAACATCAATAAGAATAGACATAGACATCAATAAGAACAGAGAGTAGACATCAATAAGAACAGAGAGTAGACATCAATAAGAATAGACGTAGACATCAATAAGAACAGAGAGTAGACATCAATAAGAATAGAGAGTAGACATCAATAAGAATAGACGTAGACACCAATAAGAACAGAGAGTAGACATCAATAAGAATAGAGAGTAGACATCAATAAGAACAAGGGTAGACAACAATAAGAACAGAGAGTAGACATCAATAAGAATAGACATAGACATCAATAAGAACAGAGAGTAGACATCAATAAGAATAGACGTAGACATCAATAAGAATAGAGAGTAGACATCAATAAGAACAGAGAGTAGACATCAATAAGAACAGAGGGTAGACATCAATAAGAACAGAGATTAGATATCAATAAGAATAGACGTAGACATCAATAAGAACAGAGAGTAGACATCAATAAGAACAGAGAGTAGACATCAATAAGAATAGAGAATAGACAATAATAAGAATAGAGAGTAGACATAAATAAGAATGGAGAGTAGACATCAATAAGAATAGACATAGACATCAATAAGAACAGAGAGTAGACATCAATAAGAATAGACATAGACATCAATAAGAACAGAGAGTAGACATCAATAAGAATAGAGAGTAGACAATAATAAGAATAGAGAATAGACAATAATAAGAATAGAGAGTAAACATCAATAAGAATAGACATAGACATCAATAAGAACAGAGAGTAGACATCAATAAGAATAGAGAGTAGACAATAATAAGAATAGACAATAGACAATAATAAGAATAGAGAGTAGACATCAATAAGAATAGAGAGTAGACAATAATAAGAATAGAGAATAGACAATAATAAGAATAGAGAGTAAACATCAATAAGAATAGACATAGACATCAATAAGAACAGAGAGTAGACATCAATAAGAATAAAGAGTAGACATCAATAAGAATAAAGAGTAGACATCAATAAGAATAAAGAGAAGACATCAATACGAAAAGAAATTAAATATCAATAAGAATAGAGTGTTAAAGTCAATAACAATAGAGTGTTAAAGTCAATAATAATAGAGAGTTAAAGTTAATAATAATAGAGAGTTAAAATCAATAAGAATAGAGAGTTAAAATCAATCAGAACAGGGAGGTCTGTATCAATAAGAATAGAGTTAAAATCAATAAGAATAGAGAGTTAAAGTCAATAAGAATAGAGTGTTAAAATTTATAAGTGTACAATACAAAATATCAAGGGTACCTATCGCAGGAGGATGGGGACCAGGTCTGGGTTCACCATATGAATCTGTTCGAAACTGAAAAATTGAAAGGTTAAATTGATGAACAAAGAGAAAACATTTCAAATGTATTATTTTCAATTTCACTCAAAGATACCATTATAATTTACATAATAGCTTAGTTTTTCTGGGCTTGTAACTAGTGCTCGAACAAATATTCAAATTCTATAGTAATCCATTGAAAGAAACAAATATTAAAGGACAATATTGGTGCCAGTCATTATCACATATGTGATAAAACTGGTTAAACACGTTCCAGATATTACTTTATCAAAGAGATCATTGCTACCATAGCTGAGTAATACAGGTTTCCTGAATCGGAAGTGACGAACCTCAAAGGAAAACACGAGTCATCCCTCTATATAACTGACTGATGTGACGAGTGATAACAGATACACGGCCGAATTTCTGCTCACTAATAATTCCTTCGAAGACCAAAAGTTGTTATATGAGACTGTAAGAGTATATCTGATAATTCAAAAAAGTAATTGAATGTCATTAGATAAGAGAACACGAGAAAAATAGAAATAGTCCATACATTCCCTTGTTTTTATTCATTCTATACCTTATAAAAACATGGTAATGCACAGACTTTTTCTATTTTTCTTCCATGTTCTCTTATCTAGTGACAGTCAATTTTTTTTATGAATTGTCAGATATCCTTTCACAGTCTCACACAACAACTTTTGGTCTTCAAAGGAATTTTTAGTAAGCAGAAATTCGCCCATGTATCTGTATCACCTGTCACTTCAGTCAGTTATATAGAGGAATAACTCATGTTTTCTTTTTGCGTTCGTCACTTCTCATTGTTGAAACCTTGGTTATGCATCTATTGTAGCAATGATCTCTGTGATAAAGTAGTATTTGGAACGTATTTAACCAGTTCTATCACATATATGATTATGTCTGGCACCAATATTATCCTTTAAGATTGTTTCAATGGCATTTAGTAATTGCTTGATAATGACTAGAGAAGCCTAGTCGAAACGTCGCTCAGTAATAAGCAGTAATTGTATTCCATAAAATTGTGACCTGTATATTGACTCCTTGTAAGCAAAAAAAGAAAATATTTTTATTTCAGTTCTTTCATGATAAAACTATATCTGTTTAAATAAAGATACATTATGTAAGATTTAGATAAAGAGCTGACAATTCTTGCTAAAATAGTTCAAATATGGATAAAAAAATATAGATTTCAGTCACATTACTTTGTTCTGAACAAAATTATGAGTTTCTGAAGTTTTAACAAGATAGTTAGGATCGTCAAGTACCATTGCAACGATAAGAAAACAAAGCCTCAATTATCCATTTTATCCTTAAATCTTAAATGGCGAGAGGGTTCTAATCCATTAAATATCCAAGTCATCTGATGTAGTGTAGAGTTAATTATGGTGAATAGAGAGCCGCAGTGGATCAGTAAGTAAGAAATGAAAATGAAATGGGGTTTAAAGTCCTATTGTTCTGCTCCAACGGGCATATGGCATACAGAGTGCTATTAGGGAAAAATTGCCTTGGCAGCGGCATAATGGCCTACTCTTGTGTCGAATTCCATCTGACAGGGTTTCTTTTACGTGCACGTTAATGTGTACACGGCACCTCAGTTTTTCATCCCATTGAATGACTACACGTTATCCCTTACCAGGCTCTCCATCCTACACCACTGACAACGGGGAACCACGTCGGAAAATCCTGATGAACTTTCTCGGCCAATGCAGGAATCGAACATGCGACCTCCAGACAAGGGAGCCAGCATCTTACCCACAAGTAAGTAAGATGGTGACTGGCTAACCTGGATGTCCTGTGTTTGATCCTGGTGTTGACCGAGAAAGTTCATTAGGATTTTCCGACGTGGTTCCCTGTTGTCAGTGGTGTAGGACAGAGGGCCCAGCATCGGACATAGTCATTCAGATTGTCCGAAAAACCAAGGTTCCATGTACACAATAGTGGGCACATATTAAGAGTAGGCTGTGACATTGCTGTCTGGGCAAAAATTACCTCTTAGCACACTGCATGGCGTCTTCATAATCCCAGTAGGAGCAGGAAAGTAGGACGTTAAACTCCATTTCAGCTCAATTCATTTGTCATGTGAATAAACATCTAAATAATAATTTATATAACATTTGAAGCTAGAAAAATGACCTGCAATGGGCAAATTTGTCTCTTACATAAAGCATCTTTAAATTCATAATAACACAACTTTATGGATTTACTACTTCTTGGTTTATTACATGCAACGTTTCAATACTCTTACAGGTATCTTTATCAAGCAATGATCAATAATGAATATCAATAACCATACATTTATAGTACATCCATGAGTAAAACAATTTTAACAATGAAAACATCACATTAATTAGGACTTATAACAACAACCATTTATAGTACATCCATGAGTAAAACCATTTTACAATAAAAACATACCATTAATTAAGACTCATAACAACAACCATTTTCCTTTGAATGTGAGGTTGTTATTCATTATTATCATTGCTCGATAAAGATACCTGTAAGAGTATTTAATAAACTAAGAAGTAGTAAATCCATAAAGTTGTGTTATTATGAATATTATACATCTACTTATAAATGTCATTCAAGGAACTCATCTTTAAATTGTTTATATATATTGAACAACTACTGACCTTTCTTCTCTTTTTACCATCGGCTAATAAAACGAATACCAACAACACAACAAGTAATAAAATATATCTCATATTGTCTATATTATAGTATGTCTATTAGTACATGTAGTAGTGCTTGTTATTGGTCCACATTAAATCAAGTTTAAAATAATAGAGGAAAATAAACGTGAACTTAACGTTCACAACTACATATACTGTATGTATCTGTCCTTATATAACATACATAAAAGGATATAGATATAGGAGTGGATCTTTCCTGTAATGGTGGTGACCTTTGTAATATGATGCTGTTAATCAGTTCATATTAATTATCTTCCTTTAAAATCTTAATTAAACTATATCTTTTACTTATCAACTGTGCCAATTGTCAACCATATTAACACCAATAATTGTTCTTCGAGAATGAGTAACAAATTAACTAACAATACCCTTTCTTTTTATTCGGTTATCGCAGAAACACCCTAATTAGTAATAGACCTGTTAGAATTTGAACTCGAGAATCTGAATATGGTAAAATAAACATGTGATTGCAAGTGATAAATCTCTGGTCTCTACAAACTGAATTTTTTCGTTTGTAATATTTATAAAGAATTTTATTGTACAGTATATAATGCTGCTGAATGTATCCGCTTCTTCAAGAATTTCCTCTCTGGTCTCTCCAAAATGAACTTTTTTTTTTGTAATTTTTATAAAGAATTTTATTGTGCAGTATATAATGCTGCTGAATGTGTCCGCTTCTTCAACACTTCCCTTTAGGGGGGGGGGGGTGAGGTTTCCCAAAAGCTCCGGTCTCTACAAAATGAATTGTTTTTGTTTGTAATATTTATAAAGAGTTTTATTGTATAGTATACAATGCTGTTCAGTGCAGTCAGCTTCTGTAACACTTCTTTTAAAGGGCGAGGTTTCCTATGAAAATATATAGTTGTTTTTTTTTATTTTATTGCTATTGAATTGATAAGGTACAAGTAGTTACGAAATGTAATAAATAAGGGAAAACTAACTTGAAAAGTAAAAAATAAATTGTGGTCATGGTAATGCATCTTTTTGGCAAAAATTATGACAAACTTAAGTACATCATATCTCTATAACTAATTAGATATCTACACCCAATTTTCAGCATGGATAAACAAATACCTACCCCAGAATCAGACAGAATGTTTTCTCTTTGATTTTTATATTTTCTTGGAAAACGGTGTTGGTCTCAACATTTTGCAATAACAGAGAGAGAGAGAAATGGGGTTTAACGTCCACTCGACACAAACTAGGTCATTTCGGGACTAACATATGGTTTGAATTTTTTTATTTCAATAACTCGCTTGCTCGTAGGGGTCTTTAGCAGTGGGAGGAAACCGGAGGACCCGGAGAAAACCCACGAGGTTGGACAGACAACCCTACTCCTTGTCACATACAAGCGGGGATTTGAAACCACGCCAGTTGACTCAATGACAGGCTTTATGATACAGCGCACATGTGCTAACCATTCGGTCATCCAACCCCCATTTTTGCAATAACACAAACACAATATTATATTTTGCCATGACAAATTTTTTTTGATAACCTTGGAAAAATGATGATTCAAATTGCTTTCTGTCTAATTCTGTAGTAGATATTGGTTTATAAATCCTGCTAATTTCGAAGAATAATCTAAAACTTTTTTGTTCCTACCAGGTCTGTTTTGACTCTGAAAAAGGTCAACTAGCATATTATCTATTCCCACATATTCCCCTTACACAGTATGGACTACAACTATGTTGAAATAAAATGGGGTTTAACGTCCTACTTTTCTGTACCGACTAAGCTAATGAAGACGGGCATACGCCATATAGAGTGTGCTATGAGGGAAAATTTGCCCGGAAAGCTGCACTCCAGCCCACTCTTATATCGAACTCCAACTGTCAAAGGCTGATTTGACCAACTGTACACAGGACCTTGTTGTTTTGTACCATCCAAAAGACTATACACTGTCCCTTGCCAGGCTCTCTGTCCTGCACCTATAACAAGGTGGAAGCACGCAGGCAAATACTGATTGAACATGGGACCTCCAGGCTAGTGAGTAAATGTCATACTCACTGAGAGACTGTGGCTCCCGACTATATCAAAGATAGGTTGCCAGGCAATGAAACATACGCCCACAATAGCTAAATTGTCCAAGTGGTTGACAAGGGTTGTTGCATAGTTATTCTTATGTACGTAATGGGCAGCATTTACAAGACAATTTCATACAGATCATAATTTTCGTTGTTGGAGGGTTCACAAGGTTCTATAAATTGAAACAAGGGCCTCTTACCTCTGGAAGTAATTTAAAGAAATTGTTAAAATTTGACAGGCTTTTTCATTTTACTAATTCAAATAATGCATATAAATTTCATACAGATTGAATGATAACTTTTGTCGTTCGAGCGTTCACATGGTCCAACAAAGTGAAACAAAGGCCATAACTCCAGAAGTAATGAACAGAAAAAGATCAAATTCAATTGGCGTCTTTGTTTCACTAATTTAAATTTATGTATATAAATTTCATACAGATCAGAAGATAACTTTTGTTTTTCAAGCGTACCTCTAGAAGTAATTTACAGAAATTCAATATGTTCTTTGTTTAACTAATCTAAATGATGTACATTATACAAAATTTCATACAGATCGGATGTTAACTTTCGTCATTAGAGCGTTCACAAAGTACAACAAAGGGAAACAAGGGTCATAACTCCAGAAGACATTAACAGGAATTATTGAAATTAAATAGGCTTCTTCATCTTACTAATGTAAACAACATATTATATAAATTTCAAAACAACTAGATGATTGTTCACAAGAAATGATGGACAACGGACAGGGGCGACAACAATATATGACCACATTTCCATGTGAGCGTATAAAGATCAATTAAGATCACAGATTATAAAAACATATCCATTAATAAACAATATTGTGAGATGTTTTATTTACACACTTATCGATAATATCTACATGTATAAACATATAAATGTAGTAATAAATAAAAATAACCTATTATAGTCTATTCGGAATTTGTTTCTTAACGACATCCACTGTCCTCCTTAATAAAGTCAATCCATTCAAGTCATTCACTCCATCTTCTAATCTAATAGTACCATTTGATTACAAAACTCTTTACTTCTGGAAAATCATTTTGCTATTTCCCCGATAGCCTTTCAGAGACGTAAAGTTGAGGTATTTTAAAACTACTTATGAACCCGGCTTCAGCGTTTTTTCCTTCCATAACGTGATTTAGCATTCTGTAATATATCAGAAAATGGTGTAGCGCTCTCACTTGAAGTCTTTTCTATACGGAAAAAACGTCTGACTTTCGGAATTCTCAATGCCGCATTCTGTAAACACGCAAACAAACTTGAGGAAACCCAATAACAACACATACTCTGAAAAAAATTAATGTTTTATTGTTTAAAATCAAGTGGCAAAAAAAATGGTATTAAATAACATGAGTGCCAAATTTATTTGTTTAAATAATGTTGGAGATTAATCATGTTCCTGAAGCAACGATCGCGATTTTACAACATCTAGTCGTTGCTTCAATACTCAACAATTCCCGAATTTTTGCGCTCGTTGTGTTTACATGTGACTAATTAGCATTGTCCAATCAGAGGTTGTGGCACATAACACACTGTAAACAAATATGGCGGCCTCCACAGAAAAAGAAATAGACAAGTTTACAGCATTTGTTGATCAACCAGGATTTCCAGCAACCTTGACATTGATCGAACCTTGAACTTTGCAACTCGATTGTCACATGTAGACATTTTAGCTAGAAGCGCGAGACTTGATAATCCTAACCATATTTTTAACAAAGGAATCTGATAGGATCACAATCGAAATTAGTGCTAAAATATGCGGGGTATTAGTGAAGGGCTTGATAAGATGTACGTAGTTAAGGCGAGATCAAGCCTTCTATTGAAGATGGAGATTAATCTAAAGTACTGGATATATCAAAGACATATTTTCAAATATGCATCTGCCAATTCCCTTGGTGGTTGGGGTTTAAACTCAGATTTAAAAGGAGAGAGAGAGAGAGAGAGAGAGAGAGAGAGAGAGAGAGAGAGAGAGAGAGAGAGATGGGGTTTAACTCCGCTCAACACAAACTAGGTCATTTCGGGACTAACATATGGTTCAATTTTATTTCAATAATTCGCTTCCGCATAGGGGTCTTTAGCAGTGGGAGGAAACTGGAGGACCTGGAGAAAACCTATTAGGTTGGACAGGCGACCCTACTCCTTTTCACGTACAACTGGGAATCGAAACCACACCAGTTGACTCAATGACAGACGTTATGATATCGCGAGCACACACTAACCATTCAGCCATCCAACCCAACCATACAAATGTAGATTACAGAAAACAGTTTGTTTGTTAGATATATGTACATGATCAGAAATAAAATCTAATTGCATTCTAATTCATATTAGATGTTCTTTTCATACAGTTTATTTATCTAATCATTAAATGAAACCTGAATATTTCCTGCTCCTATTGTGGACATTACATCGTACCATCATTTATTTCACAAATTTTTTTTTTTTTGACTGATCAGATAATCAAAGCATTCAAATGATTTTTTGTGGATATCGTTAAGCAGAGTAATCTATCAGATCCACTCTAAAACGATATTTCATAGTAAAACAATCTATCAGATCATGCACTCAAAAATGGTATCTTTTTAAAAATATTACTAGCACACATATCCAAAAATAATATTTTATAGGCACATGTAGAGTAATCTAGCACATGTAACCTAAATGATATTTCATAAGTAGGGTAATCTAGCACACGTAACCTAAATGATATTTTTTAAGTAGAGTAATCTAGCACACATACCATAAACTGAGTGATATTTTATTAGTAGAGTAATCTAGCACACATGCCTTAAAATATTATTTTATTAGTACAATGTAGAGTAATCTAGCACACATATCCTAAAATTATATTTTATTAGTAGAGCACCGGGTAATCTAGCATGCATGCCTTCAAATGATATTTTATAAGTAGAGTAATCTAGCACACTGATATGTTATTAGTAGACTAATCTAGCACACATACACTAAAATGATATTTTATAAATAGGATTATCTAGCACACATGCCTTAAAATGATATTGTATTAGTAGAATTATCTAGCACACATGCCTTAAAATGATATTTTATAAGTAGAGTAATCTAGCACACATACCCAAAAATTATATTTTATTAGTAGAGTAATCTAGCACACATACACTAAAATGATATTTTATAAGTAGGGTAATCTAGCACACATGCCTTAAAATGATATTTTATAATAAATTAGAGTAATCTAACATAGCATGCATAACCTAAATGATCTTTTATAAGTAGAGTAATCTAGAACACAAACCCTGAAACGATATTTTATTTATAAGTAATCAATACATACCGAAGGAACAACACTGGCAATAGGTATCATAAGAATTGACATTACTCTAAAACAATATGTCACTCTTTTAACAAACTTGCTTATATCTATTCTTTGTAAATAGAACATCTGAAAAAAAAAAAACCCAATTTATTGGAGGAAATGAAATGAAATAGAGTTTAACATCATATTAACTTTAGCCTCTCCACAGATTTGAAAATAAGTAGGTTTCGTCTCATGACCTTTGTGTATAAATTTAAAGTCAATCGGATATTAACTTTAGCGTTTAGATAAGATTGAAAAAATGTAACAAATTATATATAGCAAAACATCTATTATAATATACTATAAGATGTATAACAGACTTTAAAATAAAAATCAGAATTAAATAAAGGCCTAATCAAATTGTCTAATAGAGAGCTGAGATTACCTCAATATTAGTAAAGGTAATAAGACCAAGTAATACAGGTAAAATATAAGTTGAATCAGGTAAAGTTAAGTCTGTAAACCATAATGTTCCTTCTGTTTTAAAATCTGAATACTGAACAGATGATTCTACAAAAATTAATACCAACATGTAAAATCACATATATTGAACCTACGATTAAAAAATATATATTTATATGTAGAGAGAGAAAGAAATGAGGTTTAATGTCCACTCAACACAACTAGGTTGTTTCGGGACTAACATATGATTCAAGTTTTTTTTGTTATTTTAATAATTCGCTTGTGCGTAGGAGTCTCTAGTTGTGAGAGGAACCGGAAAAGAATCCACAAGTGGAAAATTGAAACCACGCCACTTCACTGAATGACAGACCTGATGATCTAAAGTGTATGTGTTAAACCATTCGGTCACCCAACCCCCTAAATGATATATAGAGAGTCTCGGAGCCTCGGTTTTTTTTTTACTTTATCGACTTGTGTTGATATTTTTTTATATCAAAAAAGACTTGTAGGAGATTTTATTTATCACACAATCCCTTCTTACATGCATAAATAAATAAATATAATTCTTTGATATAGATTTCACTTTTACTGAACCTGATTACATTATGGCGTAGTGATACATCATTTTTTGACAGCAATTCAACCATTGCAAAGTCCGTTATATTGACCAGTGTGTTTCCATCAAAGTCAATTAAATAAAAATAGTACCTTTTTAATAAGAAATAAGTTACTTTTAATAAAAAATGAACTGTTCTTTGAAAATAAAAAAAAGAGTTCCTTTTTGATAGGAGATATTGCAGTAGATTATGAAATTTATCACACAAGCGATATCTACTGTAGAATGTATTACTGGGTGATAAATATAAGTATTTATAGGGGAAATCTGTTGAACTATCTCTTAGTTCCATTATATCATGTATGTTATATTTTCAAGCTTTCAACTACTATAATTTATAATCCATTTTCAACATCCATAATATTATTATTTTTTCAGTTCAACAAAAAGTTTGGTGTAAAAGATAACAGTGGCCTATAATATTACTATTATTTCAGTTCAACGAAAGGTTTGGTGTAAAAGATAACATGGGCCTAAAGATTTGAGCTCTGAAGGTCTTCTCTGGATATGTAAAACAGTCAATTTCTATATGACTATAGAGTTATTTCTTGCATGTTCTTGCAAGTTTGAAAAATCTCAGATATTCAGAAAGCAGAAACACTTGATTGAGTCACAGACTTAGAGCATAGGTTGGAGCATGCACGTCTCCCCATCAAACAAAAAACCAAAGCCAAAACAATCATTCAGTTGAAAATCAATTTTCAGTGAGTAAGTTCTTCAACATATAAATCTTATTCCATTTTAAAAGAAAATGAATGTTTTTGTATTCAAAATTTAAAGAAAACATCTAATAATAATGGTTAATGAAAGATGTGCAAAGGGAGATAACAAGGAATATTTATGGTTTTTATTCACCAAATGCATGAAGTCATCCTACCCATCATGATGTACATGTATACAGAGCGACAGAGAAATGAGTTTAACGTCCACTCGACACAAACTATGTCATTTCGGTTCAATTTTATTTGAATAATTCGCATGTGGGAGGGGTCTTTTTTAGCAGTGGGAGAAAAACGGATGACTCAGAGAAAGCCCAAGAGGTTGGACAGGCGACCCAACTCCTTGTTACGTACAATGATAGAGCTTATGATACAGTGCACAAACACGTTAATCATTCGGCCATTCAGGGGATCACGTGGCTAAGTGGGTAAGACGCTGGCTCGCTAGCCTGGAGGTCGGGTGTTTGATCCCTGCATTGGCCGAGAAAGTTCGTCCAGATTTTCCGGCGTGATTTCCCCTTGTCAGTGATGCAGGACGGAGGGCCTGACAAGAACAGCTGTCTAGTCGTTCGGATGGAACGAAAAACCAAGGTCCCATGTACACATTGGCGTGCACGCAAAAGATCCCTTGGCAGTTGGGATTCGATATAAGAGTAGGCCGTAGCGCCACTGCCCATCTTCATTAGCCCAGGTTAGGAGCAGAACAGTAGGACAGTAAACCCTATTTCAATTCATTTCATTTTGGCCATTCAACCCCCCCCCCACTCCCCCATGATGTATACATGTACATACATGATTACTAAGTCCACCAGACTACTTACCTGCATCTATCACTGGACTAGCTCCACTCATATTTCTTAAAGCAAAGGATAAACAAATCCACATTGGCAGTTGAACGTAAGCAACTATATTTGTCTTTCTTGGATGGCAGTTTTCTCTTATATACAATTCTGATACTTTCTTCTTCATCTGATAAAATACAAAACTGAAAGTTAGACTGAAAACTAATCTGTTTGGTAAGGTTTGTGTCAAGGAACCCCAAGAGTTGCAAAAGGCTGTGTCAACCCAGTAAATTACGCAAATTTAGAATCGATCTTAAAAAATCCAGAAAGTTTACCTAGAACATTGCAGTCTTGATTCCTGTAGGTTTTCTGCTCAACTGACTGATTTAGACTAATTTTAGATGCGTTTTAAAGATATGTTCCCACATGGTTAATTTGGTCAGCAATTTGAACCTCAAATCCCATCAGAAATCAGGATATTAAAATAATAGATATAGGATGTTTATTCAGACAGTGTAATAAACTGAATAACAATAAAAGTTCTGTTTTTCAACTAGTAAAGAAAAGGCAGTGCTACTGATATCGATGTCCTTGTAAGAGGTAAACATTAAAAACAGTCTAAGCTGGTGTGTGATTAACATCTAGATGCTATATGTATTTGAAATGACAAACTGATAGATATTTAAAAACAGTTTGTCAGGAATTCATATCTCTGTTACACGCCAAGTTTTGTGTTTAGTAGTCTGGATATCATGATATAACAGAAAGTTGAGCAATTTCAGTCCTGATTCACAAAGGAATATATTTTACATGTATACCATTAATATAACCTAAAACTTGTATTAAAAATGATCATACAGATAATTTTGTTTTCATATACCAATTGTCAATTCAGAGTTTTGTAAAATCATTATTTATGTGTCAAGTAAATAGAACATGTTTCATTTGAAATTTGAATATAAATAAACCTAATTGTAGGGTTGTGTCAATTATTCAAATACCATTTGGAATACCATATGATAAACAGAAGTAATCCATATTTAAATAATTTACTCACAGCTGAATTAAACATCATTCTCGTTTTATTGTCACTCCAATTATATTTTGATCTAGCATGTTGAGCATCGAATCGTATGCGGTTTGATATTTTCTGTATTTCTGGCTGTAATTTCTCCAATCTTGTCTGTATTTTTGCGGTGTAAATACTTAGAGGAAAGGTTATAAATGTTCTTAATGTAAAGGCTGTCAATACTATACTTCCCCACCATGGGAGACCAGTAAAATCATGAAATGTTTCTAAAGTTTTTTCTGCAAAACCGATAGGCGGGACATCTGAAGTAAAGTATTTATTGTATGTTTCAATAGACAAATGTCTTTTCTGGCCATTTGATAAACTTTTCCGGTGACAAAAATATACATTGCTAACACATCTGTTATTATCTGTTGAAAATATTGGAAGACTTTTCTGAGATAAAATAGTTAGATTTCTATGCTGTATATGGTTGTAGATGGCTAATCTATGTAGATGACAAATACTCTCTTTATGTCTACTAAGAGAAACAAAACACCTGATCTGAAACATAAAAATGAAATTATGCATCTATTTTGGCATTGTTCATGTTGCCGGATCTGACTACTTTTTTAGGCGACCCTTTTTTCACAAATCGACATGACAAGTATTCTATTGATGTGATATTTCTATGAAAATAAAAGCAATTTTCGCACATAAATGTAATTAATGTTTTGCGGATTTGAAATTTTGCCCCATGTTCAGGTCTGAAATAGGTGAAGCGCTCATTTTTCAATCCCAAGTTAATGGGCACTAACCCTAACCCATAATCCACATACAAACCTAAGACTAAAAGGGGAAAATGGAGAGTCTGCAGTGGGTTTAACGTTCTGCTCCTAAACTGGGCTAATGAAATGAAGACGGGCATACGTCATACACTGTGCTATGAGGGAAATTTTGCCCGGGCAGCGCCACTATGGATGGACTACTCTTATATAGAATTCCAACTGCCAAGGGATCTTTTACGTGCACGCCAATGTGTACACGGGACCTAGGTTTTTCGTCCCATCCAAACGACTAGACAGCTGTCCTTCTCAGGCCCTCCGTCCTGCATCACTGACAAGGGGAAACCACGCCGGAAAATCTGGATGTACTTTCTCGGCTAATGCCGGGATCGAACACCCGACCTCCAGGACCAGGCAAGCAAGCCAGCGCCTTCTTACAAATCAACACAATCAATATCATTCCTAATTCTTATGTCGAAGATGACATTATATAAAAGAAAGGCTAAATAACAGGAAAGTACATAGAAATGACATTGGCGTACGAATAGCATCTGCGGTGTGCAAATAGAAGTAAATTAAACCAAATTTATTGAATTTTCATAATTTTCCTTACCATGGGCGCTGCCATTTTGAAAGTAATTTGCATCCATATTATGAATCATGAAAAACATACGATACGAATACGACGAAAAAAATAGAAAATGATCCTTACCAGGGCACCAACAATCAGATCCCCCTAGCGTATGAATTAATACTATAATATAATGAATGATGTATTAATGTCACCATATATGAGACTGTTGAGAGAAAATAACTAATATTGATTACATTTGCGTCTGTCATAAATTTTAATTCAACCTACGAAAACAAACATAAACTTCCGTTTAGTCTCGTTCATCCAGGCATAAAAAATATTATACCTGTATACCCAATTACCTGTGTGCAACTGCAATCTGTTTGGGAGATTGGTGTGCAAGATGACTGACCTTTAATAATAAAGTTCATATATAGCGTTCGCCACATCACATGGCGTCAAAGATTGGTCCGGGCATTTTATAGACTCATTTACACTACATAGTAAATATTTTTTATCCAGATATACTCCAAGCACCTTTATTTATTTTTCTATTACTTCAAAAAAAAAAAAAAAAAAAAAAAATGCAGAAGGAAAAAAGTTAATATTGCGGGCTCGTTCACCCGCACCATGGACCTTATATTAGCGGCATAGCGTATATTCACTGCGTTTCTTATCCAGATGTTGTAAAACTCGCAGTCGTTCAGGAACATATGGGGGAAGGGAGAAGGAGCTGTTTTGACTTTTCGGTTGGTTGGAAAAATCGTGTCGATTTATATTGCGGGCTCGTTCACCCGCACCATGGACCTTATATTAGCGGCATAGCGTATATTCACTGCGTTTCTTATCCAGATGTTGTAAAACTCGCAGTCGTTCAGGAACATATGGGGGAAGGGAGAAGGAGCTGTTTTGACTTTTCGGTTGGTTGGAAAAATCATGTCGATGCGGAAGAGAACAGTCCAGTTGGGGATGTCATTTCCTTACGGAAAGATCATCTATCTGAAATTACGGACTGGTTTAAAAAAAAAAAAAATTATATATAATCTTTTTGCGGTGTTGGGTGTGGATGTGGGGTGGATTTGGGCGTTGTGGGTGTTAGATTTCCATATAATTCTAAAGACACGTCTGACCTGATCTATGGACGTGTATAAATATTGATACACCTCCATGGTCTAGCCTACTCTAATTATTGTGGTGCGGAAAAAACTCGACTCTTGGCTCACTATTGGGCTCTGTCCAGACTAGACAACAATGTCGATAACCTGTTGAATAATAATAATAATCTTTAAAAAAAAAAAAAAAAAAAAATAGAAATAAAACAGCACCATTAACTATAAGTCGGTAAAATAATCCACTTTAGATATAATTTCAGCAGAGTTGCTCGACTCTCCCACCCCTATTCAGGCCTGACACAAATTTTAAAATAATATGACATTAAAGGGGTGTGTGTGTGGAGTCCCCATTTCATTCATGAATAAAAGTAATTGGTTGCAACTACATGTGTATAGACCTATATAATAAACTACGTGAGTGAGAGAGAAATGGGGTTTAATGTCCACTCGACACAAACTAGGTCATTTCGGGACTACCACATGGTTCAATTTTACTTCAATAATTCGCTTGCGCGTAGGGGTCTTTAGCAGTGGAAGGAAACCGGAGGACCCGGAGAAAACTCACGAGGTTGGACAGGCGACCCTACTACTTGTCATGCACGCCAGTTGACTCAATGACAGATCTTATGATACACGTGCTAACCATTCGGCCATCCAACCCCCCAATAAACTACGTAAATTATAAATATAGGTGATATATATACTTTTCAAAATATTTTTTATTTTTAAGTAAATTTTAGTAGAGAAAGACTTAGATGAACTTTACAAACCGTAAAGATTTTATGGAATAAAACTGTACAAAAAAAAAAAAAAAAAAAAATTCCAGTGACAAAAAAATATTTAAAAACGCTAACAAAATTATTATTTTTTTAAAGCTTGCCAATTGCATAAACTATAAAATGTCATTATATAAGAACATAGTAATGCTTGTTAAACCATTTATTGGTATGCCCATTGTTGTTACAACGAAATATTTCATCCGTTATTGTTGTTTTTATGTATTTAGACTATATGATATCGGGCACAATAAAGTAATTATTGTTTTTATGCATTTGTACTTGCGGTATTATCGGGTTGAAGCACTATAAAGTTATTATTATTATATAAAGCGACTATACATACATATAGACATGGATAAAGAGAGAGAGAGAGAAATGGGGTTTAACGTCCACTCGACACAAACTAGGTCATTTCGGGACTAACATATGGTTTAATTTTATTAGCATAATTCGCTTGCGCGTAGGGGTCTTTAGCAGTGGGAGGAAACCGGAGGACCCGGAGAAAACCCACGAGGTTGGACAGGCGACCCTACTCCTTGCCACGTACAACCGGGGGATTCGAAACCACGCCAGTTGACTCAATGACAGACTTTATGATACAGCGCGCGCACGCTAACCATTCAGCCATCCAACCCTCTAGACATGGATAATATATAGATCTACATAAATATGTGTTTTGCATTATATATAATATGTATTTCTTATTGTTGATATGGAATAAACTTTAAAAGCCAAATAGCCCCGGGTATTTATGGCATATGTGACTACATGAAATGAAGTTTAACGTCCTACTGTTCTGTTCTGACTGGGATAATGAAGACGGGTATACGCCATGCAGTGTTCTATGAAGGCACTATGGCCTACTGTTATATCGAATGTATACACGGGACCTCGGGTTTTCATCCCATCCGAACGACTAGACAGCTGTCCTTGTCAGGCCCTCCGTCCTGCACCACTAGAAAATCCGAAATTAACTTTCTCGGTCAATGCAGGGATCGAACACGCTACCTCCAGGCTAGTGAGCCAGCGTCTAATCCCGCTTAGCCACAGTGGCTCCCTATATGGCTAAAGTTGGAATAATTATCGCGTGTAAACAACATATTATTATGCAGCAAATCAAAGAATATACAGTTCAAGACTTTAAAAAGCACTGTACCCCAGAATTACATTTCTTAAAGACAATATAAAGACATGAAACAATGGAATAATCCTTGTTACTCTATGCATGCGGTTTTACAAGAACTCTGTTGTAACTGAATAATATATCCCAATCTTTATTCTGGTCAACAAATTGTACTATTTTACAATATTCCAGTTAATTGATGATACGAATTTCATCTTAACACACCTAATTTAAAAAATTGGAAAAATTCAACTAAATGATTTGAAAAGCCTAACGTAAACCTTTTCAAATGTGACTTGGATTTTAAAATATTTTCGAACCCTCTGGACAAGTAAAATAGGATGTAATGGATAATTTACACAACAGGTAGGACACGTAAACATCTAGTACTTAGAATAAAGCTATTATTTATTTTCTGGAGCTGTCAAGCCAGCAAGAGTGCCATTGTCCCTTTAAACCTCATTTCATTTCATTTAGATGATCTCGATGAGCAAAGAATTGTGCCAAACAAGGTTCATCGAGTCAAATCGCGACATCAGACTACGCTTCAAATACGAAACCCGACACTCGCACAAATTATAATCTCTTTAATGCAAATTATCGGCCGTGCGAAGAGTTTGATTTATAATTCAATAAATTTTCTCTTATCAATGTGTAATATACAACTGTACTATTATAAACTCGAATAAGTATAACACGTCTACATATGTTGATTTCCCACAGCAACCTTTACTGAACAGAATGAATTTTATAACATTGTTTATAATTCAAGTGGTTTGGTTTACACAAGGTAAGATTCTCAGTCTCCATTACTTGATCGTCTTAGAAAAGTAGGAAGGGTAAACCCCATTTCACGTTCTAGTTTAAGCCTTGTTCGAGGGCGTATCCTAAGAAACTTACAGTAAATTAAAGGAAATGTTATCAGTCTGAACATTGACAGCTAGATTGCTTGAGAATATCGTAATAGAAAGATTATTTTTTTTCACAATGAAAGATTCGAAAATCTCATTGTAAATTATTAAAGCGCAAGTCAGTCTCGGTGTTCCGTAAAAAGAAGCGAATCTCATTTTTAGGTTTTGTTTGTTTGAAATTGGTTTAAGAATCCGTTGCACGAATAAACCAATTATTTAGCCCGGTTGAAATCCTTGATAGGTGTGTGAGTGTGTGTGTGTGTGGGGGGGGGGGGGGCTGGATGGCCGAATGTATAGAACATGCGCGCTGTATCATAAGGTCTGTCATTGAGCCAACTGGTGTGGTTTCGATTTCCCGGTTGTACGTGACAAGGAGTAGGGTCGCCTGTCCAACCTCGTGGTATTTTTCCGGGTCCTCCGGTTTCCTCCCACTGCTAAAAACCCCTACGCGCATGAAATAAAATTGAACCATGTGTTAGTCCCAAAATGACCTGGTTTGTGTCGAGTGGACGTTAAAAAAGACCATTTCTCTCCCTCCCCTTCATATGTGGTTACTATAAGAGTTTTAATTACACAGATGATCTGTTTTAATTTGTAGTTGATGGAGGGGCTGTTACATGCGGTTCACCCGTAGTACAAACACCAACTACTTCCAGAATTATTGGTGGATCTGCCGCGAAACTGGGTGCTTGGCCTTGGCAAGTAAGTTTTCTGTTATAAACCAATATTTTAAATGAATTATTCAAACAACGACTTAAATATATATCATTAGTTATCCTTTCGAAACGTTCGGCCCACTGTACGCTATTCGCTGCAAGGCCCTCCGTGACAACCCTGCACCACTGGTAAGATAAAAGATGAAGAACAACAAAAAGCCAGATAAGTTTCCATCGAAATGTTTCCAAAATTTCTGGATTACTATATCGCTTTTTTCATGCCAGTCATTACAACTAAACAATGGGCACAATTCTTTCTTTCAGTTCTGTTATCCTGTTTAGCAATTTTGGCGGAAATACTTGACTGTCCAGATTTAACGATGACTTTTATGGACAAATACGGTGTCTGCATAGAACATCAACAGTCAACATCGACCTTTTTCTTCTGGGGGGCGGGGGAGTTGGATGGCCGAATGGTTAGCACGTGCGCGCTGTATCATAATGTCTGTCATTGAGTCAGCTGGCGTGGTTTCGAATCCCCGGTTGTACGTGACAAGGAGTAGGGTCGTCTGTCCAATCCTGTGGGTTTTCTCCGGGTCCTCCGGTTTCCTCCCACTGCTAAAGAACCCTACGCGCAAGCGAATTATTGAAATAAAATTGAACCATGTGTTTGTCCCGAAATGACTTAGTTTGTGTCGAGTGGACGTTAAACCCCATCTCTCTCTCTCTCTCTCTCTCTCCTCTCTCTCTCTCTCTCTCTCTCCCTTTTCTTCTGTGTGGTTATCAAGATGGTTAATGGTTGACAGCTCATCTATTCAGTGAAAATGTATAGTCATGCAGTGTTGATATATTTTTTTTTTTTAACATACCGTCATGTTTTTAAGGTATTATTAACAGAGATCAACTTACCAGTATGTGGTGGAGCTGTTATATCAGAAAATATTATACTGACAGCAGCACATTGTTTTGAAGAGTAAGTGTTTTGTTTCTATGCTTTCAATCAACAATCTGATTAAAACACGGATCCTATTTCGTTTCGTTTTTATAGTTCCAAATTTAGCTTTACTTGTCTTTATGGACTAGGATCTGGAAGAGTTTTTATATAACCCATGTTCTGGCTGATGTGAGGGTAAACCACTAGAAACGTCAACGCCGAATGATTAATCAATGTCTGACGTCATAGGGTCAAAATTCGCTCATTTGACCTGACGTGAACCCCCACTATAACTTGTCAGATCTTCATGTAGTGTTGGTCATCGAAAGTATAAAATACGAAACGAAATATAGATCTGTATTTTAATCAGAGTGTTCAATCAATTGAAATGATTTATTTTAAAGGCATAAAACGCCTAGAGACGTTATATATTTTTCCTAAGTATTTCCTAAGTATTTTCCTAAGATTCCCCGGTTATATGTGACAAGGACTCTGAGGGAGTACAGTCGCCGGACCAATCTTGTGGGTTTTCTTCAGGTCCTTCGGTTTCCTCCCAATGCTAAAGACCCCTACGCGCAAGCGAATTATTGAAATAAAATTGAACTATATGTTAGTCCCGAAATGGCCAAGTTTGTGTCGAGTGGACGTTAAACCACATCTCCCTCTCTCTCTCTCTCTCGTCTTGTGTAATTGTTTGAGTGTGGTGCAGCCCCACTGCATTTACTATTAACATGCTACAATAATAAAACATTTTATTAGTCAGTTGAGTCAAGATCCCAAAAGATGGATGGCAACTGTTGGAGGAATCTATACCGACCAGTACGAGTACACACAGCGTACATACCACGTACAGAAGATTATTGTACATGAAGCTTATAATACATCCACGGCGGAGAATGACGTGGCTCTTCTTATTCTCTCTACTAATATGATGTATTCTAACTATATTCGACCTGTTTGTTTACCTGACGACAACGAATCGGTACCCGTAGGAACTATTTGTTACATCGCAGGATGGGGAGCTACAAGAGGTAAACTGTTTACCGTATTCCACACTAGATAACAAACCTCATCTCTCAACCTCCGTGTTTCGTAATACTAGTAATTATAAGAGACTAGAAGAATGCCCGGCTTCGCTCGGGGGTCATAACCCCGAAACCGGAAGTGGTAGACTAACGCCACCTGGCCTATGTTACTCCCCGGTCCGAGCTACCCCTATACCCCAAATTTCAGACTCGGGGCAGACATAGTGTAGCCGCCAACCCCGAACAGACAGACAGACAGACAGACAAACCAGACAAACGACAGTCACAAATATTAGTATAGATAGATGGTGCTATATAGTTCCACGTAGCAAAGCCCAACGCAAATCACATAGGGCCTGAGTAAGCAAAATTGGCAATATTTTGCATCAAAACAACGATTGATTATTGTTATTTAAAATATTTCTGCCACACCCACCTACAATTAAGCATATAATTCTACCTGTGACGGGTATAAATCATCGTATTTAAAATCGAGGCGTTAACTCGTTACTAGGAACGCCATTTTTAAACGGTAGATGTATGACGTTGTATGTCGGATAAAAACAACGCTTCATTAATTTAAACGCGAATATTTGGAGTTAGGTGATCGTTGTGCCACTACACTGGCCTCTGTTTTAGTCATAATAGTATAAAATTATGTTACATGCATTAATAAAGAAACTGAGTTTGCCACTTGGAACTGAAGGCACCCAATCGTAGCTAAAAACAGGCACATCAGTATATCTCAATGTTATTAGCTACGTATTCGTAGCTACCATATATGGTATTGTTTCCCCGTGTTACTTGTAGGAATATTATCTTGACCTAATCAAAGAGATAGTTTAACGTGCACTCAACACAAACTCGGTCATTTCGGGACACTCGCATGTTACAATTTTATTTCAATAAATCGCTTACTAGTAGGGGGTCTTTAGCCCGGGACAGAGCCCTCCGTGCAGTGGGACAAGAAACTCGGCAATTTGGGGGCGGGGGCGGCATGGGTTTCCGGGGAGTTTCTCATCCCCCGTGCTGGTACCAAATACATGTACTACAGGCCCGGGCTAGGCGCCGATTACCTGCAGGGGCCCGGATACCCTAACGGTAAAGAGAGTCCTGAACGGAACAAGGACGGGCCGTACAAGTGGCCTAAAGCTTTTGATTCACCAATTTTTTCCAAAATAAGTGGACTGACAAAATCCGATTCCAGTACTGCACACGCCTCTAGGTACCCAAATTCAGAAAAGTCACCGGTTTTCTTTTTTAAAAAAAATGACTCTGAATACCACGGGTCCCTGTAGGCTCCGGGTCCCTGGTCAAGTGTCCCAGCTGTCCCACCTCTCACGGGCCCTGGTCTTTAGCAGTTGGAGAAAACCGGGTGGAAAACCTACGGAGAGAGAAAGAGAGAGAGAGAGAGAGAGAGAAATGGGGTTTAACGTCCACTCGACACAAACTAGGTCATTTCGGGCCTAATACATGGTTCAATTTTATTTCAATAATTCGCTTGCGCGTAGGGGTTTTTAGCAGTGAGAGGAAACCGGGGAAAACCCACGAGGATGGACAGGCGATCCTACTCCTTGTCACGTACTACCGAGGAATCGAAAGCACGCCAGTTGACTCAATGACAGACCTTATCTTGTGATACAGCGCACAGGCGCTAACCATTCGGCCACCCAACTGCAAACCCATACTCATATGCGCCTCATAGCACACTCTATATAACGTAAACCCGTCTTCATTAGCCCATTCGGTGCAAAACAGTAGGCCGATAAATCCCATTTCATTTCATCTCAATTTGGAGCGTCTTTTCTTTTGGAAATATGGTTACACCGAGGACATTATGAACAATGTCATATTGTTACAGGAACTAGCAATCAAAATACATTGAATCAAGTTGCGCTGCCAATTATTGGAGATGAGACTTGTTCTAGACCAGATTGGTATGGTAAAGATTTCTATCCAGAAACATCTTTCTGTGCTGGAAGAGAAGCTGGTGGTATAGATGCATGCACAGTATGTATATACCTTTTTTTATTTTATGATCAGTAGTGGAATACCGCGTTTTATCAGTGAAATAAAAGTGTTATTCCACTGGCTAGCAGTAGTCCATGTTGTTTTTACCCAAAATGATTGTAAAATTATAAAATAAATAGAACATTTGTCGTTTTGTCGTGAATAACATATTTTATTTCATCTCTAAGCAAGAAAACGTTTATATTTTCACTCATGCTACGCATTCGTGAAAATATAAGTTTTCTTGCTTCTCGATGAAATAAAATATGTTATTCACTCTAAAACGACAAATATCCTCTATATATACATGTATTATTATATATATAGGATAAAGCACGAGACTGGGGTTATACTGTGGACGAAAGGCTGAAGATAATAACCCGAGAAAAAGAGAAACCGGGGCCGGCAGGCCGAGGTTTTTCCGCCGAGGGTTTTTTTCTGAAGTCTCTCTTCCCCCGCATAACCGAAGTCAAGGACTTTATCTTGCTTATAAACCCGTCGATGTTTACATGTACGCAAAATGAGAATATCTCAGAATTCCCGTAAGAAAAACCTTATATCATGTTTTCTTATGGAAAAAACACCATCTGGATCCGTGTTTTAATCAGATCGAAAACTGCTATTTGTCAAATACGAAGCAATATCTGTTATTTATTGAGAAAAAGATACTATTTTCTGGAACAGATACCTTTTGTTCCTGGAATATTGATTTTTGTTTTGTGACTGAAATATATCGTTTCATGCTTTCTAGATTACAGCAGCTCTTTTGCATCTATATGTAGTCTTAATATTTTGTTCTGTGTATTTTTTCAGGGTGACAGTGGATCACCACTAGTTTGTCAGAAAGGTTCTAAGTGGACAGTACATGGTAGTAATTTATTTCATTTATCGTGGGATGGAGGGAAGGGGTAGAGAATGCTTCACCCGTGCGCGTTGGATCATAAGGTTACGTTCTTCACCTTGTACGTGACAAGGAGCAGGGACGCCTGTCCAACCTCGTAGGTTTTCTCCGGTTCTAAAGACACCTACGCGCAAGCGAATTATTAAGATAAAATTGAACCATATGTTAATCCCGAAATGGCCTACTTTGTGTCGAGTGGACGTTAAACCACGTCTCTCTCCCTCTCGCTCTCTTTGACCGATCCCTATGGCCCCCTTACGAATAGGGGGGGGGGGGGGGGTGGATGGCTGAATGGTTAGCGTGCGCGCGCTGTATCATAAAGTCTGTCATTGAGTCGACTGGTGTGGTTTCGAATCCCCGGTTGTACGTGATAAGGAGTATGGTCGCCTGTCCAACCTCGTGGGTTTTCTCCGGGTCCTCCGGTTTCCTCCCACTGCTAAAGACCCCTATGCGCAAGCGAATTATTGAAATAAAAATTAAACCATATGTTAGTCCCGAAATGACCTAGTTTGTGTCGAGTGGACGTTAAACCCCATTTCTCTCTCTCTCTCCCCCTTACGAATAAAGGGAGATAATCACAATTTGGATGCAGACCACCATTAATTTCACATTTGACTTCATTGTTAATTTTCCCAGAATTTTCACGTGGCTGAACGCATTTCACTATAGACAGGACAACCCATGGTCATGTCTTTGCTCCAGATTGTGTATGAAGCTGACTAATAAAATTTTGAAAAACACAAACTTGAAGGAGCGCTCTAAAAACATGTAAATATGCACCACAAAAATCACCGTAACCAACCTCTTAACTCTGGTATGCTCCCGCCTTTAGATCATGAATATTTAACAAAACCTGACAGAATATTCAAAATCTCTTCTCCCATTCTAGACCAAAAAATCAACAAAAATGGTCATGCCAAAGGGGAGAGAGGCGAGAGAATTGTTATCAATAGACGAACTGCAATTTGGGCTAAAGCGATGGTGACATTTAATGGTGGTCTGCCTTCTTGTGTAGGCAGGCCATAAATTTCCACAATAATTTTAATGTCAATTCAGTTCTCTTTGCCTGGCTCCATCGGTGGAATAAGAGAGAGCAAAATATGCCAAAGGTTTCTTCTTAATAATAGCATCGTGTCTGGGTTAGAGGCGTCAATGTTTTTGGGGATCGGGAGAAAATGGTGGAAGTTGTTGCCCATGTAGAAGTTTCTTTTATACCAATAGAACCATCTGTGTCAATCACGGTGGCTAAGTGGGTAAGACGCTGGCTCGCTAACCTGGATGTTGGGTGTTCGATCTCTGCATTGGCCGAGAAAGTTCATCCGGATTTTCCGGCGTGGTTCCCCCTTGTCAGCGATGCAGGACGGAGGGCCTGATAAGGACAGGGGTCTAGTCGTTTCGATGGGATGAAAAACCGAGGTCCCGTGTACACATTGGCGTGCACGTAAAAGGCCCCTTGACAGTTGGAATTCGATAGAAGAGTAGGCCGTAGTGCCGCTGTTCGGGCGAAATTCCCCCCATAGCACACTGTATCTGGCTTATGTCGTCTTCATTTGCCCAGTTCGGAGCAGAACAGTAGGACGTTAAACCCCATTTCATTTTCTTATTATTGTAGGTTTATCTAGTTGGGGATATGGTTGTGCTGAACCAAGATGGCCGGGTATATACACAGAAGTCAGTAAATATACCAAGTGGATTAAACAACATCTAAATAAGAGAGCTTCTTTATTTGGTTAATAAATGTTCCACTTGACCAGTGGTTCATGAATTTAATTTTTGTTTTGCTTTTGTTCCATCTACCCGGACACTGAGCATTTATGTACCTTGCCATTGATTGAAATAGTTTCCAATAAAAGTATAGAATCATAGACATTGATGGGTTATTGGTTATTGCAGGGGTATGATTTGGAAATTAGATTAGTACAAATCATCATGATTATTGATATATTTCGTTTTTGATTTATGATGTTCCGACATTTCTGATTTGTTAATTTAGTTAAAGGAGCTATTATCTCTTTGATGTACGTCAGTTAAAGCACTAAGATGGTTTGATCTGACCTGTGATGGGACAAGCTCTATAAGATTACATTTTTATGCTCAAAGTGGAAGTCGGCTTGTTTATTATTTCTTGTTCAATTTTTGTTATATCTCAACGCATACTTCATCTAAAGGTAAAATTTTCGCCGAAGATAGATTGATATCTCACACAACAAATCAAAATATCAAATCTGTACGTCCGTCTTTTTGGTCACGCAAAGCAAGCACGAGTAGCTTCCGAAATAATGTTAATTCGGAAAAGGCAATATTTGCAGAATAAATGATTACAAATGTTTGTTAATCTTCAGATGACTGAAAACCAGTCCAATACAGGGGCGAATCCAGGATTTTCAGAAAGGGGGGGGGGTGCTGCCCCCACTTATGAGTGCGAAGCCCGGGGCTCTATGGGCTCGTTTCGGGGTAAATTACGATTTCCAACCTAAACTGACTCTTAATTCCTTTCCCGCGAGAATATATTGGGCAAAAAATTGTTCGCTACCCAAAAAAATGGGGGGAGAGGGGGCGCCGGGTGAAGCCTGGATCCGTCCCCCTGGATCCGCGCCTGCAATAAGAACTGTATGCAACGTTTTATCCCTTAATAAAAGTTTATCGATACGGGGGCAGATTCTGTTGCAACAAATACAATTTTCAATCGAATCCCGACAATAGTATATTATAGTTGTATTCACAACAAAAGGTTTCTGTCTGATCTGTGTCGGGACTTCTATGCATTTCAGAACTAGATCCTCAATGACATTAAACATACATTATGCAAGAGGTAGATCTGCCCATTGCAGGTCTTTCTTTAGGCCCGATTAAATGTTATCTAAATTATTAATTAGACACTGATTAACATGAAAAGACCTTAATCAACTCTGAATGTCATCTTATGTATCGGATTTTCACTGGATTTGAATCCAATCTGCTGCTCAATGCTCATCGATGATTAAACCCAAAATGGATAATCGAGACCATGTTTTTTTATCGTACCGACTTAGTAATGGAGATCGAGACTAGGTCTAAAATTCAATTGCTAATATCTCTGTTAAATGTGGAGCAATTTGACTGAAATTTTCAGGATATTCCCTTTACATTATCTAGTTATTAACTACTGTAGTGAAAACAGCCAGCTCTTTATCTAATCTTACATAATGCCCCTTTAACTAAAAAGACACGTTTCTACATTTTTAAAATTGTTTATTTACACCCACATTATTGAATGATATATCATACTATTTACATACTTTGATCATTATAAGTATCACAATAAAATATAATAGGGCTAAAAATAAACACCCTTTTTCCCAGCTCGATTAACGTTTGTAAAATAACAGTGACATTACAATATATCTGATATCTGATGATGATCGAAACATGACAAATACCACTGCGATGGATTGGTTTATTTTTACAAAAAATTATTTACACTTCGTTATCAATCTGATTAAAAAACAAATCTATATTTCGTTTCGTTTTTTTTTATACTTTCTGGCCAGTTGTAATGGGAGGTTGTGTCAGGGGCTATACGAGCGGCTTTTGACCCTATGACGTCAGATATTTGATTAACCGATCGGCGTTTCTAGTAGGATACCCACAGTTCTGTGCATCACAGGCCAAGAACTCGCTGCAACAGACCATTTCATTGGCTAATCCCTCACATCAATTAGAACGCGGTTATATAACAACTCTTCCAGTTCCCAGTGTAGTAAAGACAAGTAAAACGAAATTTTGAACTATAAAAAAACGAAACGAAATAGGATCAGATTTCTTCGATATAAACGCTGTGGTGAATCCCCGCCCGTAAATTCTGTTTTCAATAAAATTCAATAAAGTATTAATTATAATTATAAAAAGGCTGAATTCAAAGCCGTAAATGTTTTATAGTCCAGATATTACATATTTCTGATCGGTTACATTAAGTATACAGTACCATAATTTGTCACAACTGAAGTGCTGCTCCGTATTATTATATTCTTTCGATTGTTGGTCATTTCTTTGAATCCCACGAATAAAGCAAAACATTGATGCACAAGCAGAAACATATTATTATATTACAGTAAGGTATGATTATGTAAAAGTAAAAGGAACAATTATGAATAAAGTAGCCACACCATTAAATTGCATAATTCGGTTGGTTTAATCGTTAATATTATTGGTGTAAAAATAATTATCAATGAAGTGGTGAACGTTTCCAATTAAACTAATAAAATTGATAAGCTATATACCAAGTGCTGGCGAAACTATAGTGCAGCCATGACAACTTTATTTTACAGTGAAACGTATTTAGGCACCCTAGTACACTCATATGAATTGCCCACGTAATGGCGCGTTTTCGGTGATCAGGGAGATCAGGTCCCGAGTTTACAAAGCATTCCGAGACTAAGTTAAGAATTTATTCAAAATTGTTGGCCTTATTTTAATTACAATATAGCACTTTCTAAAACCAATGTTGTTTTAATGTATCAAATACATCAATAAGAAACTATGTGTAAAGGTTCGCGTTTCTGCAGGATCAAAGATTTTTCTCATAAACAGTGATTAAAGTTGAGAAAGCTTTGTAAACTTGGGGCCGCAAACTGGGCATATCCTTGCATCTTTCACAAAACTGTAAGAGTTGTACTGACTGTAGCCTTTTAAAACCCACATTTTATACCCAATGTCTGCAGCATAAAATTGAAATATGCAACATTCCTATTTTGTCGAATTCAGTTTTTGTGTTTGAGAGACTTCGATTTGTGGTTACTCAATCGTTAAAACATGACGTGTGATCTATTGCAAGATTAAAGAGTATCTCTCAAACAAGATTTACAACCATACATTTATAAAACAAATACAACATAATTTATATGGAAAACAATCACTGGTTTATACACATATAGCACGACGTCTCGACAAGTATTCTCTTATCGTTTTCAACATCATTTGTACTTGAAAATGATAAAAGGATACTTGTCGAAACGTCGTGGTATATGTGTACAAACCAGTGATTGTTTTCCATATAAATTGTGTTGTATTTTTTAATGCGCTTAATCGCTATATGCCACTCAAGGATTACATAATATGAAGATTCTAGGGGAAGAACGATCTAAGTCACATTTTTGTCACAAAACAGACTTTTGGACGAGAATGATTGTTCCACAGAAAGCTTATACAATTTGCAACCAGATATGGGTTTTCTCCGGGTCCTTCGGTTTCTTCCCACTGCTAATGACCCCTACGCACAAGCGAATTATTGAAATAAAGTTGGACCATATGTTAGTCCCGAAATGACCCAGTTTGTGTCGAGTGGACGTTAAACCCCATCTCTCTCTCTCCCCTATCGTAACGCATCGTAACAGTGGGAACCTAGCACAAGCACAATGATACGTACAATTACATAATTAAAATAGAAAATACACATTTATATACATAAATTATCACATTAACTGCATGCTAATACTCTATAGTATTTACTATATTATTATGTTTGGCGCCTTAATAATAATCATATACATAATTATAGAACTAATGAATAAAGCCTAAGATAATAATATGTATGTTTACAATTTACTAAAAATATTACAGATTCTTAAAAATTGAGTTTTAAAACAGACATATATATCTCTCCGTAAAAGCTCTCATAACTACAATTTACAAGATGTCGCCCTCCACATCAATTTAATGTATGTCTGTCCCCACTCGCACTTATTTCATTTTGCTCTTGTCATAAAACGTTCCGTCCCGTCTTTTACTGTCTTCTGTACATATATATAAATATCTAATAATTCTTTAATCCTTTTTTCACTAATCACATTGTATAATATTACACCATGTATACATAACATGTTATTGTCTACGATATCACCTCGGTGGAAGCGGAAGCGGACGTAAAATACAACTAACACACCTCCACGTCTGAATATTTCCTGTTACACAATTCTGGCTAAGAAGAAACAATTCGATACCGTTCATGCAATCCTTAAAGGGGCAGTCCCATATTCCACAAAATGCAAATACGTTAAAGTGTGTAACTCTAAATGTGGCGATAAAGCCTGCCAACCTTGCCTGAAACTTTTCATTATAAATATCTGATTCTGAAATGACATCATCGTTGTGGGTATATAGACATGGTTATCCAGAACCGTGGAATAGGACATCTTGAATTCATTTAATAGATACGACATAGACTTGGCTTTGGTAATGTTTATATTACATTTTTTCACTTATACTCATTTACAACAATCGCAAATCGAATACACGTAAATCTTAAAGGAATAATGTATAATAGCCTCGTCATAAATTTGGTAAATCGTGGAATGGATCCCTGTAAAATGGGGTTGGAAAGGTGAACATTCGAAATAAAACAACAATTTTGTGCGCTTTTCAGAGCGACATTCTTAAAAAATAAAATTTATCACCTTTTGTTGATACAATGGTCTTTTTTAAAATTGTACCCTGTACCGAAGCTTATATAGATACACTATGTAATTAGGATAATATGAAGGCCTATGATACACAATGTCCAGGTTGAAGTATATTCATATTCATTTTATATTCAGGTCTATGATACACAATGAAAAGGTTGAAATATATTCATACTCATTATATATTCAGGCCTATGTAACACAATGAACAGGTTGAAATATATTCATTTTCATTTGATATGAAAGCCTATGATACACAATGAATAGCTTGAAGTATATTTATTTTCATTTTATATGAACGCCTATGATACACAATGACTAGATTGAAATATATTCATACTCATTATATATTCAGGCCTATGATTCACAATGACTAGATTGAAGTATATTCATTTTCATTTGATATGAAGGCCTATAATGCACAGTGAATAGATTGAAATATATTAATTTTCATTTGATATGATGGCCTATGATACACAATGACTAGATTGATGTATATCCATTTTCATTTTATATGAACGCCTATGATACACAATGACTAGATTGAAGTATATTCATTTTCATTTTATATGCAGGCCTATGATACACAATGACTAGATTGAAGTGTATTCATTTTCATTATATTCATTTTCATTTTATATGAAGGCCTATGATACACAATGAATAAATTGATGTATATTCATTTTCAATGGTTTATAAAGTATAAAGTTTTAATAATTAAATAGACATTTACAAGATAATAACAATTTGTGACACGTTCATTATAATTTAACACAGATCTATCACAGAACTAGGGAGTAATTATTTAGCTCTCCGAATTTTGAACACAAATGATCCACTGAGCACAAAATATGCGGCTGTGACTAGAAATAATATAATATAACCCAGACCAATTTCACAGTTTACTTTCTCAAATATATCCAGAATAACACCACCAATAGGTGTCGCCAATGCTTGTGGTAGAACTAGCGCCAAATGCCAAACAGCAATATCCTTCGCTTTGTCTTTCTCGTCTGGTAAAACGTCCATAACCAAAGCAAAATCTACACTCGTAAATGCACCAAATCCAACTCCTGTAAAAAAAAGGGAAATCATTAAATAATAATGACTATCATGTATCGAAACCCAGTGCGCCGTTGTTTCGTATTATAAATTTTAAAGTTTACGGCCGTCGCGAAGCTGGCAAGGATAAGTTGAAAGATAACAAAAGAGAGAGAGAGAGAGAGAGAGAGTGAGAGAAATGGGGTTTAACTTCCACTCGACACAAACTAGGTCATTTCGGGACTAACGCATGGTTCAATTTTATTTCAATAATTCGCCTGCGCGTAGGGGTCTTTAGCAGTGGGAGGAAGCCGGAGGACCCGGAGAAAACCCACGAGGTTGGACAGGCGACCCTACTCCTTGTCACGTACAACCGGGGAATTAAAACACCCGCCAGTTGACTCAATGACAGACCGTATGAGAAAGATAACAAAGATGGCGTATTTGAAAACTGTACTTGTTAAAGAACCTCTTCTATAACTTCTTCATCTTCAATAAAAGGCTTGATCTCGATTTAACCCCGTATATTTTATCAAGCCCTTCACGTAATACCCTGCATATTTCGGCACTAATTTCCATTGGGTACTGACCCCGCTTGGGAGTCTATCAGATTCCTCGATCATCGCGACCAAGTCACGCGCTTTCCAGCTAAAAGTTCAAGGTTCGTTCAATGTCAATGTTTCCGTGGAGGTCACCATATTTGATTTCAGTGTGTTTGTGTCATAATCTCTGATTGGACCCTATTGTTCGCGTGTCTGCCGTAAAGGGATATAACGTAGCTATATAAGCTCGGGAATTGCGCAGCAGAGTAGCAACGTCTAGATGTTGTAAAAATGGTTGTCGTTTGCTTCAGGAACAGGCAATTTCTTTCGCTAAACAAACACACAATTTTGACTACCCTGAAGCTTTTGAGAAAAGGCCTTGCTTTAATGAAGAGCATATAAATCTCTGATCTATAGACCTCTTGCCACATTGCCAATCTTCTTTCCTCTCTCACGCTCACGATTGGTTCCCTCAGTCTCTAATTACAACATTTTGATCTATAAATAATGATGATGTTTCATAGTAAAAGGTGACTTTGTTCTTCGAGCGGTTCCGATCAGATGATTGCTTCTTGAATGGGGTCGCATCCAACCTAAGGTTGGGAATGACTAGGTTAGACCATGAAATGATCCGCCATATGGACTATCAAAAATGAAACCCAAGAGAGTATAAGTAATATTTCTAAGGGTTTTTCTTTCAGATTATGCATTGCAAACATGCAAGATCCTAATGTGTTTTTTTGTGCTACACTCACATTAGTTTATGTATTTAGCCATACTTACAGAAATCAATAATAGCCAGGTTGCCTAGCAATGGTCAATCTAATTACAGGTATTGATTTAAATTGTCATAATGTAGTTTTAGTCTTACCGAAAATGAAGGCCATTACAACTGCAACATAGAAGGCATAATCCCCTTTGATGAATGCGTCTGTTAGTGCACTAGTTGCCATGAAAAAGGCTGAAAAAAATTAACAAGTTGTATATTAAATTTTAGTGGTATCAACGGTAAAGTTATTGATCTATACCCAGTCGTGTGCCAATTTTAAAATTTTCATTTTGTCTTAAATATTGGATATCAGAAGCCCATCTTTTCATGGTAAGAAAACAACATATGTTGATTTAAATTGACCAATAAGTCGTGTTTGCAATGTCGCTAAGAGAGAGAGAGAGAGAGAGAGAGAGAGAGAGAGAGAAATGGGGTTTAACGTCCACTCGACACCAACTAGGTCATTTCGAGACTAGCAATGTCGATGATTGTGAATGATACTGAGTTAGAGAATTGCCTTCTTTAACTTCGTGTAACGATGGGGACAATCATGGACCCGAGAGTGGCCACTTTTGACGCCAACATTAATTAGCATTCTAGTATGCAAGTGATTCGAAATCTACCCCCTTTGGTGCAATATCCAGCGAAGTCGTAAATTCATGAAGCTAAGAGCTTTGAATTCACATTGATATTTGGAACGAATGTGGGCTGTTATAATTTGTGGTGTTTAAGTTGTACTTCTGGATGTTCGATTTATGTCTTTTCTGTTGACATAACCCTTAATATGGATACTTTGTTTTTTCATAAACTCGAATACATACCAGCAGACATGACAATTATTTTACGATGACCAGTTCTATCAGATAAAACACCAAATATAACCGAACTGTAAAAAATGTAAAAAAGAAATGCGGTTAAAAAAAAACCCCTTTAAAATGGTCTCACGCTAAGAAAACTGATTAAATGAACATGTTTGTTCTTTAAAATTCAAATTATAAACGACCCGTATTGGACCCAAAGTTAAACACAACGTGGGGCTACAATGTACTTTTGTTACAGGGACATTAGGTAAGACTTGAAAAAGAGCTGACAGTTCTCGCTATACTAGTAAAAAAATAGATAATGAAAATGGAATATGATGAAAATTTCCGTCAAATTGCTTCACTCTTAACCTAGATATTAGCGATTTAAATTGCGGCAAGCCTCGATTGTCATTAGTACCGTTGTCGATTATCCATTTTTACGTTCATTTCATCTATCACAAAACGTATTCAAATCCACTAAATATCGCTGGCTAACTATAGCACCGAGAACTGATTATGGTCTTGATAAGTTAATTAATGTCTAATTATTAATTTAGATAACATTTAGCGTCTAAAGAAAGACCCGTAATCGACAGATTTAGCATAATGTATTTTTATGTTTTTATATACAAAAATATCAACACAAGTCGATAATGTAAAAACGAACGAGGCTTTACTTTACCGACTTGTGTTGATATATTTTGATATCAAAAAAGCCTAGTAGACGATTTTATTTATCATGCAACCCTTTCTTACACGCACAAATAAATAAATATATAATTCCTTGGTATAGATTTTATTTCATGTAAAGCCACAATCACCTAGGAATATCGCTCGGTAGATTATGAAAGTTGATAAACAAGCGATATCTATTGTAGAATGTGTTATTGGGTGATAAAATTGGTTATCACCTAATATTGGATGGATTGCTTTCCTTTTTAGTTATGTGTAATGTGAGACACATTTTGCAACGACAATTAACTGAAATGGGGTTTAGCGTCCTACTATTCTGCCAGCGTCTTAAAACCACTTAGCCACCGGACAATTAACTAAAAACAAATAAATCCTACGCTGATTGTATTCCGCTTTAGGAGAGATAACTTTCTGCCAGATTGGTCGAAAATTGTCAATAATTGGCGCGATGATTAAGAAAATCTGTTTACCTGCAGGCAGCAGCAAATAAGAGAGGTAGTAACATGACAGCTACAGATGTAGAAGCTGTCCAACAGTTCGGCAATTGGACCATATCACCCAACCAATACTCTAAAAACCTGCAATTCAATTTCATAGAATCTAAAATTGTAAAATTGACAAATACAATAAATAGAACAATACAAGAAGGAAATTGGATAATTGTTAATTTCCGTAGTTGAGAAGTATCGTCAGATGAAATAAGGTCTTTCAAAATTATTTCTTCGAGGAAATGAAATGAAATGAAATAGGGTTTAACGTCCTACTATTCTGCTCCAAACTGGGCTAATGAAGACGGGCATATGGCATACAGTTTGCTATGAGGGAAATTTTGCCCGGACAGCGGCACTACGGCCTACTCTTATATCGAATTCCAACTGTCAAGGGATCTTTAACGTGCACGCCAATGTGTAAACGGAAACTCGGTTTTTCGTCCCATCCGAACGACTAGACAGTTGTCCTTGTCAGGCCCTGAACCACTCACAAAATCTGGATGAACTTTCTCGGCCAATGCAGGGATCGAACACCCGACCTCCAGGCTAGCGAGCCAGTGTCTTACCCACTTAGCCATCGTGATCCCCATTTCTTCAAGGAATCTCCACAGTAATAACAATGGCGGACAATCACGACAGTGATATTATCGTGGGTAGAAATGCATGTTTTTTGTCGATTGACGATCTGAATCATGAATATCCCCAACTTCAAAGAAATTGGTAATTTGAAAATCTCCGAATGAATTTAACAAGCATCACACTATTATATTGTATACGTACCCTGTTATTGTTGAAACACCTTGCTGCATTAAAAAACGTGTAAGGAAAACCCAGCGAAAATCATGTTCTGAAAAATATTATAAAAAATATTATGAAAAATAAAGAAATGGAAAGGAATTGTGGGCGAATGTTTCATCACAACAATACTTCAATCATCTTGAATCTAGCATTATTTTTATTTCCGATTTCGCTTTTAAAATTCTCCGAATACTAAGTCATGGGTTTGTCGATGAATGCCGTGCTCTAACCACTCGAATAAGGATAAATTCGTTTGCTTTTCCAACATATCATTGCTGGTTATATTGAGAGACCTGGGGGTACTAAAAGCGCCTCCAACCCACCCACACACATACACACACCACCACCACCACCAGCTTTCACTCTCGATTATCACGAGGGTTGATCGACTTATATGACTGAACGGCTCTTCGCAAATGGCCACACATCGGAATCGCCAGCCCAGTTGTTTGTAGCAAGCTGTCGGCTAAGTAAAACTTAGATAAATAAACTATAACATACTTATGGAAAACAGCTACTGATTTATTTAGGCGACGTTTCGAAGTGTATTCTCTCAACGTTTTCAAGCTAATACAATATAACAAAATTTGAAGCAATACATATAGACAAAATTACAATAACAGGGTTGAAACCATTCATGGCAACAACACGATCAAAGGACTATGGCACAGTGGGGTTATGATATACAAAAACCAGATAAAGGGATTAATTAACTTTCTAAAAGTCACTGAGTAGTGGTGATGTGAATATAATCCTAGTGGGTGATAGGAATTATTATTGTTTGATTGATAGTTGGTCAAAGATATATTATGGGAGATAAGATAAAGAGATGGCAGTTCTCGCTATAATAGTTAAAAACGAGATAGTGTAAAGGTAATTTGCTGAAAATTTCAGTCAAATTGATCCACTATGAGCCGAGAAAGAAGCGGGTGAAATTTTTGCATAGTCTCGGTCATCATTACTAAAATCATAAATATAAACAGCCAAGTCTCGATTATCCACTTTTTCTGATTTAATTATCAATGGCCGTTAGCGGCATATAGGAATCTAATCCAGCCAACATCGAAGGCTAGCCTTGACATCGAGAGTTTATTATGGTCTGGATAAGTTAATTAATGTCTAATTGATAATTTAGATAACATTTCAGGCCTAAAGAAAGACTTGTAATAAGCAGATTTTGCTCTTGCATAATGCATGTTTAATATTTACCTTTTAATGGTTCCCAAAATCCACAAAAGATTAGTTTGCAATCTGAAACAACAAATAAGATAATACATTTAAAATGTTCACTTGTTAAGAATTTTAATATAATATAACCAAATCATTAGCTGGGATCACACAGTACCACCAAGACTAATGGCCGTCCAAATTGTTTCCATAGAAACAACAGATATTTGCGCAGCGGGCTTACGCATCGGTCATGGGAATGTCTTTGCAAGTATTAAACACATATGAGTAGACTTAACGGGTCATGCTGTTATCAAGATGACTATATACACATTCCAGGCTCCTATCAAACTAGTTCCTCTAGGAACGGTCTCTGATCGAACGATGTCCTCTCATCGTTCCTGTTCGTCCCTATTATTTAAGCTTGCAATCAAAGTGACTTAGGTCAGATATGAACTGTTCCAAATATAAACTCAAAATTGAGTCATTTATATTTTTACTTCATAAAGATGTGAGGCAAATAATATCCCCATTTATGTGTCAGTTATGCAATAATATATCCACGACCTAATATCGGCTACCAAGAATCGACACGAGAGAGAGAGAGAGAGAGAGAGAGAGAGGTTGGACGGTCTGGCGATCCTACTCCTTGTCACGTAAAAAAAGGTGAATCGAAACCACGCCAGTTGACTCAATGATACAGCGCGCACATGCTAACCATTCGGCCATCACCCCCCCCCCCCAAGAATCGATAAAAATGTCCTGTGATACTGTGGGGGAGTTGATAAAGTTTAAATACCGTTTAATTCGATCGGTATTTTTTTTTATATATTTATCATTTAATTTGATTTAATGTCACGGATGCATAGAGTAATGATTAGGACAACGTGAATTATAAATGTATTGATTGGGAATATATTTACCTAATGGGTGTGTATTTATATCATCTTTACCAGGTGTTTCACCAGTAGATATACACGTTATAGTTACACTTAATATCAATATACCAATAATACAACCATATATACTTAATACACCAATATGCTAAAAAAAATATACAAAATTACAAAATATGCAGGTGACCTTAATATTTAGATCTAACCCTCGTATCCGCCATTTAATGATAAATCTGAGAGAGAGATGGGGTTTAACGTCCACTCGACACATACTAGGTCCTTTCGGGACTAACATATGGATCAACTGAGTTCAACAATATTTCAATAATTCGCTTGCGCGTAGGGATCTTTAGCAGTGGGGAGAAACCGGAGGACCCGGAGAAAACCCACGAGGTTGGACAGGCCACCCTACTCCTTGCCACGTACAACAGGGGAATCGAAACCACGCCAGTTGACTCAATGACAGACCTTATGATACAGCGCGCAAGTGCTAACCTTTCGGCCTTCCAACCCCTTCTTGTATACAAGAACTGTATGTACCTCGTGTACGACAACCACCACCAGTGAAAATCAAATGGAATGATATTTTGAACATTGATTTAAGAATCTGAAGCTGCCTTGAATAGATTGTATCTATCAAATTCATATCATTTTTTTAAAAATAAAAATAGATATAAGTAAAATTATTAGAAAGGTATTATTGATTCAGTTACTAAGTATTAAGGTAGTTTTATCTATCAAGTATAATTGTTAGAAAGATATTATCGATTCAATTACTAGGTATTACTGTAGACGATACTTACTGAAAAACTGAGACCAACAGCTGCACCTGATACATTTCCTAATAATATCATAGCACCCATGACCCCCGAATTAAAACCTGAAATATAAGGTTATCAATTATATTATTGCATTGAATTACATGTATATTATATCGAAATGGGGGATATTTTATCCGGTCTACTCTTATATCGAATTCCAACTGCCAAGGGACATTTTACGTGTACACCAATGTGTATACGGAAACTCGGGTGCTCGTCCCATCCGAACGACTATACGTTGTTCATTGCCAGGCCCTCTGTCCTGCACCACTAACAAGGGGGGGCCACATCGGAAAATCAGATAAACTTCCTCAACCAACACCTCCAGGTCAGCCAGCCAAAGTTTTACTCACTATACTAAATCATTATCGATGCTATTTTGAGGAACATGGGTTCATGGATCAGTGTTTGTGAAAAAATAATTCTTTAAAGATTATGATAATGTCGCCGTGTTTACATCGTCTATACGGGTGTTCGATCCCTGCATTGGCCGAGAAAGTTCATCCAGATTTTCCGGCGTGGTTCTCCCTTGTCAGTTATGCAGGACGTAAATGATCCCTTGGAATTCGATATAAGAGTAGGCCGTAGTGCAGCTGTCCGGGCAAAATTTCCCTCATAGCACACTGTATGGCGTATGCCCGTCTTCATTAGCCCAGTTCGGAGCAAAACAGTAGGACGTTAAACCCCATTTCATTTCATTTCATTACATCGTCTATACAATTCATTCACACAAAGTAAAAAAAACCCAAAGGTCTAATGATACAATCCTTTGGTATCCCAGTGAGACATTCGAATATAGAATGGGGTTCATCCACACCTCCACAGCATTTTACAAACTCCTTTCTATATTTTAATACCCCCTGCATCACTAGGATTGTCTGGTTTGATAAATATACTAGTATTATATAACTAACCTCGTTGTGAAGGGTGTGACTTATCTGCCACTAAGGCGTTAAAAGGGACGGTAACAGCAGATTGGGATAATATCACCAATAGGAAGAACACAATATATAAAGCTGAAAAATAAACAAAATAAATTCACTTAAAATATGCAGCACTGTTGTATTGTTCTTGACTTCAATAGAAGAAAAACACTCACAATCTGACAATTGTTTTCCTCATTGCACGAACTTACCGGATTGATGCTTGGCAATTCCAAAGGGTATCAGATTTCAATAATTAATTAATTTCAGTCTATGTTGTTTAGACCTACAAGGGTATCTGACATACGATTTTGAAGGAAGTAAAATATTCATTCGTAAAATGATTCGTTGGTGGAGATTGCACCGTCCGTAATTCACTTGTATAATGAAGTCAGACAGTCAGAAGAATTCGCCTGCTGTGTCCACCCATTCGGCCGAATGGAATCGGCTGTAATTTGGTGCCGATTGATTTGGCCGAATGATTCGGCTAGTGTGTCCATCGCGTTTGTTAGTAAACGTGAAGGATGCAAAACCACAAACACTCTCCTTGACATTCTTATAATAATAATCCATTATGCTACGTTACGTATGGTTTAATGGGCGAGAGCGAGACATTAAGTAATATATTGATACTGCACGAGGCGTTAGCCGAGTGTTGTTTCAATATATAACGCAATGTCTTTATCTCGAGACCATTAAACAACTTAAAATACAGACACTATCCAGCACGTGCTTTTCAATGAAAAATGTCACGCCAGTCCAATATTTCATCTTGTATAGATAATGTACGATTGACAAGTTGTCCATACTATTATTTGAAATAATGGTAGGCCAACATCAAAGGATGACGTCACATCTGTATTTCAAGTATTAATATAAGATCTGTACGTACCTAGATTTCCAACTGGTTCTTGTAAAGTTTGGGGTGTATCTCGACCCGGTGTTTTAGATGGTAATAATACTCCTCCGGGTTGAGGATTCACTTTCGTTGGTTGATAATTAGGAATTGTACCATTCCAATAAGCCTGACATCTCCCTAACACAAGATCACGATGGCACTAGAAGTAAAAATTCATGCGTATATAATTATAAAGCAAGTTTTAATTATCGTCATAGACAATAAGAAAGGGTTATCATTTCTAAAGGGAAACGTGACAATTTTTTCTTTTTACAAAACACATACAACGACCAAATGTTACAGAAGTTGTTAGCCAGGTGAATATTAGCTGTTCTATATGAACCTAAACTTCAGATACAGAAGCTGTAGGATCAAAGATAACTGCGTTTAATATATAGCCTCATTTACATTACAAGTTTTAAGCGTGCCATGAACGGTTCCGAGAACGACACTGTTAAATTTTTTTGTAGTGTAAACCAGTCAAACATAAGCGTACCAATTTGGACCACAGAAGTGAGATACTCTCGGAACGGTTCAATTTTCGTAATGTAAACGTTATCCGGTCTGAGAACTGTTCTCATTACGGAATATTGCGCATGCATCAAATGAACTTTGACCATTTTCCCGCGAGCTCTGACAGTTCTGTCAAAATGGCTGCCCTAGGAACTGTATGGACTCGGTTAGGCCTACAAATTAAGGTCAACTGCAAATGTAAGGTCACGAGGTGTAAACAGGGCTAACGCTAACCCTAACCCTAACCCTAGACCTAACTCTAACCCACAATCTCACCAAAAATAACGTGCCCTAGCCCAGTTTACATCTCGCGACCATGACGAAATCTGCAATTGGCTCTAATTTTGCTCTTGAGCAACTGGTTGTTGGATATTCAGCGCTTTATAAATATATTATTGTTATTATGGACCCCGAAAGAGACAGCTAAAAAAGTAACATTCCCTCTTGATTTCTTTCGTACTCCAAACTTAACTAGATCACCCACCATAATTGTTTTTATCCGGATAGCTTGCATAGGGACTGAAATTAACTTTTCTGCGAAGAACTCCGCATTTAGCGTTCCTGGAACGGTTCCGAGACCGGGACACTTATCGCGACAATGTGTAAAACGCGACCTATGATTTCACAGAGGAATAATCAAAGGTGGCTGAATATAGTGAGCAACTTACAGTAATATTATTTGTTATAACATCTGTATCAGTGGACCTAGAAAATATAAACAAATAAAAACTAATAACAATCAACGCTGGTGTATTAAACTGATCAATGATTGTGTATCACATTAGTCCATGGCTGTATATCACAATGGTCAAAGGTTGTATATCACAATAATCAAAGATTGTATATCACAGTGATCAAGGGTTGTATATCACAGTGATCAATGGTTGTATATCACAGTGATCAAGGGTTGTATATCACAGTGATCAATGGTTGTATATCACAGTGATCAAGGGTTGTATATTACAGTGATCAATGGTTGTATATGACAATGATCAAAGGTTGTATATCGCAATGATCAAATGTTGTATATCACAGCGATCAATGGTTGTATATCACTATGATAGATGGTTGTATATCACAGTGATCAAAGGTTGTATATCACTATGATCGATGATTGTATATCACAATGATCAAAGGTTGTGTATCCCAATGATAAATGGTTGCTTATCACAATGATCGATGGTTGTTTATCACAATGATCAAAGTTGTATATCACAATGATCGATGGTTGTATATCACAATGATCAGTTGTGGTTTATTATATACGACAGTATGTCATATATTCACAAACAAATACAGTGGTACTTTCTTGTCGTAATATTATTGAAACATTTTAAATTACATCATAACAAACGTAGCTGTCTTAAAGCAAAATATAGTCTACCTTGCCACGTTAGACACTAAATGGACAGATAGTTTTGGCCTGGATTTCAGACAGTGGTAAATAACAAATGAAATAGGTAATTAAGGTGTTGACGGGCATTAAATTCGGGCTATCAAGAATCTCATAAAAACTGGGTTTGATAATTGCTAGGAGACTCGGGCTCTTCAGAAAATTAACTGAATCTAATGATCGCTTTATATGGTGTTCAGGGAATCCAAAATCCATGTTTATATGTATTTACCCAATAGAAAGTGTACCATATGCCATAAAATACTTATAAATCTATATTCCTATACAATGTTTTATGTTTATTTGTTATTATGGCACCTATATAAGTATTGATATAAGTATTAAAGTCTATTGTTAAAGTTATAAAGCCAAACTAGGCGTATAAATATATAAAACTTATATAAAACTTACACATTTACTTGTGGAGCACTAAAAGCCATACCTATTAAACCAATGCTGTAAAATATCAATTACAAATATACAAATATATGAATCTTTTTACTTGTACTTTAAATTAAATTTTCTTCGAGATGAACACTGAGCATATTATATTATATATTATTATATCCAATAAATCTAAAAGGATTTTTCTCTCCGCCACCGCATCATACAGTGTTTAGTAAAGAATTATTACTTATACTTTAAATTAAATTTTCTTCACAGTGAACATTGAGCATATTAAATTTAAATTTTGACTATAACATTATCAATATCCAATATGCCTCCACCTCATACAGTCATTAGTAAAGAATTCATATTTTTTTTTTTTAAAAATCTAAACGACCACAAAAGGTGAATCATCATGTCTAGTAATTGTTTTGTAGACCCCCACAGTGAGATAGTCGACAAAAGAAAAAATAGTAATTACTCTACGCTGCGGAAAAGAAGGAAATCTTAAATTGAGTTGAATGTAGAGTAGTTATTTACCAAGAGAATAGTGTTCCTATCATCATCACGGGTCTTCTTTTACCCATTTTATATTTTAATCTGTCACTTATCATACCAAATATAGGACTGAAGAAAAATGTTATAGCTGAAAAACAGAAATTAATATAGATAAATAGCAATCATTGTTAGTTCTTAAACTTTCCTCAGGCTCCTTTTCACCTTCAACAGATTTATGAAAACGCCCCCCCCCCCCCCCTCAAAAAAAAGGAAAAAAAAAAGAAATTACCAAAAAAACCCAAAAACTAAAGTTTGGGAGAAGTTAAAGGGGCTAAACCTAAATGGACGAAAATGGGCCGAAAAGCACATTATATAAACTGGTTTAATTTCGTTTTTAAAATTTGTTATTGTCATTTCTAATCAAAATACGCGAGCAGTCCAAGTTGAATGGCAGTCGTTTGCGTTCTGGTTAGCCCAGTCTACACTTTGAATGCGGGTTGACCATAGTGTTATCAAGCATATACACATACGGTTAAAATAACGACTCGTGAAATCTTGTTGCAACGTCACAGTGTAATAAACCATAGTAATTGTTATATAATTATGTGCCAATTACTAAATGTTATTTAAAGAATATACAATACACATACCTGCCCCACCTGCTACCATAGCACCAAACCAACTACCTTTAGCAGTATCTCCAACCAATGTCTGGATTTGAGAAGGTATCACTGAAAAAGATATATTAATAAAATCAACCCAGCGGTATAATTTCCCAAGAAAAATATTAATTATATAAAGTTATACACGAGATTATAATCATTAAATTCTGAATTTCAGGTTGTTTCGTAACAATTATATATTGATTTGGTGATGCCCAAACTCGTTCTTTTGAATTGTTCTTTTAACTCGAATTCGAAATAGAAAGAAGTAGAAGTTCCAACACATTCCTTCAGTCAAGGTATATGGATTGGTTATTATCAAACTAGTTTTTTCGAATAATTCTTTTAACTCGAATTCGAGATAGATATAACAATATATTCGAGTAGACGTTCCATCAACCAAGGGTCAGATATGATTGATATTCAGATATAATACGATCAGATAATACCTACAGACAGTAATAACACTAGTTAGTGGAGTTTCGGGGATGAGTTCGTCATCAGATCTGATTGCTAATCACATATAATACGGTAAGTATAATACCTACCTTCTACAGACAGTAATAGCACCATAAAATTTAGACCAAATGACGTCATATTCAGTAGAATAACTGATAATTTACTGAGAACTTCTGGTGGAGTTTCGGGAATGAGTTCGTTGTATGGAGGGCTGTAATGTAAGTATTCGGTCAAAATGAAATGGGGTTTAACGTCCCAGTGTTCCGATCCCACTGGGCAAATGACGACATGCATACATCATACATTGTGTTATGAAGGAAATTTTGCCCCGTCCGCCAGTTAAGTACATTGCATTAAATATTATTGTTAGTCTCGTGGGTTTTCTCCGGGTCCTCCGGTATCCTCCCACTGCTAAAGACCCCTACGCGCAAGCGAATTATTGAAATAAAATTGAACTATGTGTTAGTCCCGAAATGACCTAGTTTGTGTCGAGTTGACATTAAACCCCATCTCTCCCTCTCTCTCTCTCTCTCTCTCTCTCTCTCTCTTAAATGGTAACCACAACCCCTTATTCAAGGTTAAGACATATCTTCTTAAATATGAGACTTGTTTAATGTTATATTATAATAAGCTAAATACATTAAACAGCTATATAAAAAGAAAAGCCCCAAAACAAACTAAATAGACAAAAATGAAAAATAAAAAAAATATAATAAATTAATAAAGGTAATATTACATTTTGTCTATGTTAATCCATGTAAATGAAGGCGACATGTTTCATCAACGCGTGTTTCATCAACTCCCAGCAAATTTTATTTTTAGACCCGTCTTCAATGGCCTAGATAGTAGGACGTTAAACCCCATTTCATTTTCTTTCATTTAATTTATTTTTAGAAGTAGCATAAAGTTACACTGCAATATTAAATGTTGTAAACAATAGTTAACGTGTCTATGTGGAAGGAATGTATCTTCTATTGTTCTTTGTAAACAATTGGCTTTGGATGACTGAAGGGTTTAACGCGTCGTGGTTGGAAACCCCCCTTGTACGTGACAAAACCACGTGGATTTTCTTTTGGGTCCTACGGTTTCCTCCCACTGCTAAAGACCCCTACGCGCAAGCGAATTTTTGAAAAACAATTAACCATATGTTTGTCCTGAAATGACCTAGCTATAGTCTCTCTCTGCAAATGAATTCGGGGTGATGGATGGCCGAATGGTTAGCGTTGTATCATAAGGTCTGTCATAGAGTCAACTGGCGTGGTTTCGTTTCCCCGGGTGTACGTGACAAGGAGAAGGGTCGTCTGTCCAACCTCGTGGGTTTTTTTCCGGGTCACCCAGTTTTCTCCCACTGCTAAAGACCCCTAAATAAAATTGAACCATATGTTAGACCCGAAATGATCTGGTTTGTGTCGGGGGGGGGGGTGTTATCTCTCTCTCTCTCTCTCTCTCTCTCTCTCTCTCTCTCTTTCTCTGTGTTATAAAACAATGGATTACTATATAGTATTACTTACCTAGCCTCTTCATCTGTATATAATTTCTTCATGTTTACAATATAGGTGTTATATAACTAGCCCGAGACAGATCGGTTAGATGTTGATTCTGTCTCTTTAGTTATTTAATTCTTACCTTCTACTCATCTGCAAGTAAATATAATATCAGATATATAATTGGTTAAACATGTGGCATAACTAAAACTCTGAAACTATTCCGTCTCTTGATTTAGTTAATTATTACATTCTACTCATCTGATATATCAGATAATTTTAAACATGTAGCATAACTAAAACTATTCTGTCTCTTTATTTGGTTAATAATTACATTCTACTCTTCTGAAATTAAATATAATATCTGATAAATGATTTGTTAATCATTTATGAAGTATGGGCGGATCCGGGGGTGGTGGGGGTCTAAAACACCCCATTACTCAACTACATAAAAAAATTGTAAAACAACACTTTTTATGAGAAAAGTGTCTTGGTCGTGTGCTTTGTCCTGTATCATCAGATGGTGAGATGGGATGAGCATTCAAAGCGCGATATAATGATATATAGACATATGTGATATCACAATTAATGCTTTGCATCAATGAAATTAAATCACAATGTGATCCTATTAATTCATTATAAAAATTGACGTCAAACGGGGTGTTGGATTTCTCTCTTTAAAAAGCTCAATCTGTATGTATGCCTACGTCAATTGGAGACGATGATGGCATCATGCATTGTCAATAGTCACATTTCCTTAACAGGAACCTTGCAAACCCCCTCCGCCCCTGCGTAGCTTACTGAAACCATTCTTCAAACATAAAACATATATAACGCTTTAAAAAAATATATTAATGATCTCTTCTTTCTCCATATGGGCAGTCGTTTTCAATGGCGGTGCGAGGTTTAAGTCGTTACCCGGTTCCTGACTCATGCGACTCGAATGAAACGTTTTAACATTAGGCCTATTGAGTAAAAGTATTGTATATTATGTCGGTCTACCATCTTAATTGTAAAAATGACAAATATAAAGTCTTTTAGTTTGTAAGTAAAGTAACGGTTGATGTGTCAGTGTAAGGGGCTAACAGGAAAAGTACACCATGTTTACCCCACCTAGAAAATACAATCTGTATCAAGTGTTTGTATATCTACCCCACTTACTAAATACAATCTGTACTAAGAGAGAGAGAGAGAGAAATGGGGTTTAACGTCCACTCGACACAAACTAGGTCATTTCGGGACTAACATATGGTTTAATTTTATTTCAATAATTCGCTTGCGCGTAGGGGTCTTTAGCAGTTGGAGGAAACCGGGGTCCCCCGGAGAAAACCTACGAGGTTGGACAGGCGACCCTACTCGTTGCCACGTACAACAGGGGATTCGAAACCACGCCAGTCGACTCAATGGCAGACTTTATGATACAGCGCGCGCACGCTAACCATTCAGCCATCCAACCCCCCATCTGTTCTAAGTGTTTGTATATACCCCAAATACAATCTTCATAATGTGTTTGAATATCTGTTCTTAGCGTTTAACGTCCGCTTCCACCGAAGGTGATATAGCAGACAGTCTTATTTTTTTAGTTTTTTTTTTTTAGCGCACGTGCTGGGGTCTTTCCTGTGGTAGGAAACCGGAGTACCCGGGGTATAAACCCACGAGGTTGAGAAGGTGCCCCTATCTCCAAGCCACATACGCTCACACCAGGGGGGATCACGTGGCTATGTGGGTAAGACGCTAGCTCGCTAGCCTGGAGGTCGGGTGTTCGATCCTGCATTGGCCGAGAAAGTTCATCCAGATTTTCCGGCGTGGTTCTCCCTTGTCAGTGATGCAAGGCGGAGGGGCTGACAAGGAAAGCTGTCTAGTCGTTCGGATGGGACGAAAAACCGAGGTCCCGTGTACACATTGGCGTGCACGTAAAAGATCCCTTGGCAGTTGGAATTCGATATAAGAGTAGGCCGTAGTGCCGCTGTCCGGGCAAAATTTCCCTCATAGCACACTGTATGGCGTATGCCCGTCTTCATTAGCCCAGGTTAGGAGCAGAACAGTAGGACGTTAAACCCCATTTCATTTCATTTCATTTCTCACACCAGGGATCGAAACCACAGCCGCAAGCCAGAGGTGACCGCCAGCAAGAGGTCGAAGCGCGGCACTCTAGAGCACTAGGCCATACCAACCCCCCTTTTGAATATCTCACCCAACCCCATTAAATACAAACTTCATGCCGTGTTTGTATATCTTACCCAACCCCATAATATACAAACTTCATGTCGTGTTGTATATTATCTCACGCAACCTCATTAAATACAAACTTCATGACGTGTTTGAATATCTCACCCAACCCCATTAAATACAAACTTCATGTCGTGTTTGTATATCTCACCCAAACCCAATTAAATACAAACTTCATGACGTGTTTGTATATCTCACCCAACCCCATTAAATACAAACTTCGTGCCGTCTTTGTATATCACACCCAACCCCATTAAATACAAACTTCGTGCCGTGTTTGTATATCACACCCAACCCCATTAAATACAAACTTCTTGTCATGTTTTTATACCTCACCTAATCCAATTAAATACAATATATAATTTCCTTTTTTATCTATTCCTTTTTTTTCTTCATTGTTTTTCAATTTATTGTAATATTATGTAAACCGGGAGAGGGGTTTATATAGGCTTTGTCTGTTCTCCAATCCCCTCAGTTTCTGAATAAATATTGTTTATAAAAAAAAAATTGAATACAAACTTCATATTATGTTTGTATATCTACCCCAATTAGTACACACAATCTTCATGTTGTGATTATAAACCTCGCCCACATATTAAAGGGACAATAACACTCTTGCTGGCTTGAAAGCTCTAGAAAATAAATAATATCTCTATCTAAGTACTAGATGTTTAAGTGTCCTAACTGTTGTGTAAATTATCCATTACACCCTATTTTACTTGTCCAGAGGGTTCGAAAATATTTTAAATCGAAGTTTCATTTGAAAAGGTTTACGTTAGACGTTTCAAACCATTATGTTGAATTTTTCAAAATTTTTAAATAAGGTGTGTTAAGATGAAATTTGTATCATCAATTAATTGAAATATTCTAAAATAGTACAATTTGTTGACCAGAATAAAGATTGGGACATATTATTCAGTTACAACAAGAGTGGTATTGAGCCTTTAACCACATTAATTTCTGGATCCTTGTTTTGACGACCAGTTTGCCACAAATACCAATTAAATGTATATATATCTAGTGGAATTACAATGCAAAGTGGTAATCGAGTGGTATTGAGCCTTTAAATAAAGTCTGAATATTGGGACTATCGCCAACAATATTCATCATAATTTTATTGTCTCTCCCATTAACTAAATGCTCATTCATGTTTGAAATTCAGCGCTTCAATAATAGTTATATTAATTTCTCATATTGTAGTTATCTAAAAGTATTGGTAATTATATTTCAGAAATGATAAATATTTCTATCCAATATATCAAAATACCTTCTATAATTTATATATTCAAACATGTTCTTGTCACAGCTGTTAGTTTTATAACAAGCCCCAATGTCTCTTCTATAATGGGAGATAAAAACATACAAAGATAAAATTAGGTCTAACTGAAACAAAAAACAACCCAGCTTTTGTTTCTACATTGTGATATGCATGGAGTCATCTATTTAAAAGTTAGTTCTATCTTATATATATATATATTCATATTGACATATTTATTTTATTGATTATTATAACACAGCTGAATGTCTTGTTGGGTTTGTACCGATCAATATTCGATCTATGTTTTGCTGAGTGTACAAAATAAACCCGTATGAAACCTATATTATATTTTAACGACATGCAGTGAACTATCTAGTTTGCCCTTTTTTTAAATACATAATTGAAAATTTGTATTTGATTAACATGGTTAAGAGTTAAAGGTGAACTGGGTCTAGACCTTAAAACGAATTTCAAATGCCCTTTTGTTTCTTTCGAGCTTTTCACAAATATAATATATTTTCATTGTTTCGTACTTCATTAGCTGGCTATGTCGAGTATTGTGCAATCCAGTTTTCCATATGACGTAAGGCTTGTTTCCCATCTAGCCACGTGGAATAACAATAACATCCCTCCTGTTAGCTACAGATCTCCACAATTACCAAACATGATGCTGACCTCAACTTGCTACAGGTAACTACTAGACACGAAACATCCTCTTTTACACGGTAATTAACATAAATGAAATGAAATGGGGTTTAACGTCCTACTGTTCTGATCCAAACTGGGCTAATGAAGATGTGTATACGCCATACAGTGTGTTATGAGAAAAAATTTGGCCCGGACAGCGGCACTACGGCCTACTCTTATATCGAATTCCAACTGTCAAGGGATCTTTAACGTGCACGTCAATGTGTACACGGGACCTCGGTTTTTCGTCACATCCGAACGACTAGACAGCTGTCCTTGTCAGACCATCCGTCCTGCATCACTGACAAGAGGGGAATTACGCCGGAAAATCTGGATGAAGTTCGGTAATTAACAGAAGTAGTAGTAGTAGTAGTAGTAGTACATACGTTCTTTAACGTCAGCTTCCTCAAAAGTGATATCGCAGACAAGATCTAGGAGAGCCGAAAAATCACTATAATTAAAAATTACGCGGTACCAAGTAGCGTACCACGTTTGATTTACTATAGAAGCAGTAACATGAGCGTGGTATTTAGCCCCTACCCTATTTGGATGGATACGAGACGAATGTGGCTTGGAGATAGGGGCGCCTTCTCAATCTCGTGGGTTTAATCCGGGTACTCCGGTTTCCTCCCACAGGAAAGATCCCTGCGCGTGCGCTAAGATGATAAAAATGAAGATAAGACAAATTGTCTGCGATATCACCTTCGTTGGAAGCGGGCGTTAAATACTATAAGAACAACTCAACAACAAACCAATAATTCTTTATAAATAAGAATAGATGTATATGTACGATGGTATGACGAATTTTATTACCCTTCACTTGAATAAATCTATTCCATATTTGTTTATTTCTATTTCACGTCTATCAAAAAATCGATACTAGTCATTTGAAAGTCTATATAATATCCCCGTTAGAACGGGGTGGCGTCTTTACTGCGCTGCTACGGCGACGGAAAATGATCTCAGAGCGCGTCAAGAA